CAAGAGTGAAAAAAAATTGTCAGCTATACCAGTGAGTAGTTAAAAGATGCCTGAAGGGAAGAGCAAGACATAAGCACTTTGTAACCTGTATTTAAAATATGTATGAAGAAGGTGTCGATGAAGAGGTAAATTTAAAAGCTTTAAAACAGAGATTTCCATCCACATAAGCGGTCGGAAAGAGAAGAAAAGAAGTAAAATTTTCATGGACTTCAAGTAATAGGGAAAAAGTAAAGTTGGTTTAAAGAAGTTCATAATGGTCTTTCTGAACAGTTGAACCCGGACCTGAGCTTATGAGCTATGACTTCATTGTTATGTAAATGCTTACCATTAAGTCAAGGACAGCAGTGTGATTATAAACAGATCCAGGAAAAAGTGTATTAACAACACTAGTCTTCAAAAACAAACAAACAAAAGCCTTAGAAAAATAATGTTTATCTGGCAGACATAAGAAGAGAGGAAAATAATAAAGCCATCTGTGTGGACCAAAGTCAGGGGTTTGGAGCAGGGGTCCTGATTACCCTGGTTATCCACAGGACTGAGACTGAATTGTAAAAGAAGGATAAGGCAGGCACTGCCAAAGGTTGTGCAGTCTTGAAAATTCTAATCTCTTTCTACTACGTAAGATGCCTGAAGTTATTTTCACTAAAATAGTAGTAATAGCTAATATTTTTTAGTACTTACTGACTACCCGATACTTGTTCTAAGCATTTTATACATAGGATCTTATCTCTCACAACAGCACTACAAACTAGGTTCTCCTCTTCTCCATTGTATGAGCAGAAAAAGTACTCATCTCTGACATCACAGTGTCTGAGAAATGATGGACCCCAAAATACGTATTGAGCCGATAAATAGGGAATGAATAAAAAGGATCAGAAGGAAGAAAAGAAAGGAGGAAGGAGAGATAGCCACAGCGAGAGAGGGAAGGAAAAAAGAAGGGAGGGTGAAGAAGAGAGATGTGATTCTGGAACAACTGGTAATAACAAAGGTCAAACAACATTAAGACAAACCAAAAGACCTCAAACAGAGGAAGATGAAGGTTTGAGATGATCTTCAGAAAAATAGCAAAATAACACCAGGCATAATTGCCTAAAATGCACCAGAAATCTCAAGTAAAAACATCTAGCATGCCAGACAGGATGTAAAAACACACAAGTCTAACCATTTGGGTCCATGCTGCATGTCCCTTGGGCACAGGTTAGACAAACAAGAGAAGTAATTCAGCCTACCGAAGAAGATGGAAATTGTTTCCTTCGAGGTAAATAAAATACAAAAAAAAAAAAAGAGAGAGAAAAAGAAAGGCAAGGGAGAAAGGAGAATGGCAAGAGGAGAAGAAGGAAAGGAGGAAGAAAGACTAACATCCTCATTGTATTTATACTGATTCCTGGCACCCGGATATTCCACAGTATAAAATTCTGCTCTGAAGGAAGTGCCAAAAATAAAGGTACAGTTCAACATTCTGAAGCATGCCTTTCTCTACGAGAGAAATTTGTACGAAAATTAACAAGAAATGTAGTCCATTGTGTGATGCTTGTTCTGGAAGAAAAGACCACTGTTCTTACTAGGACTTTAGTCTAATGAAGCAACTCTTTATTGCAAGAGCAGGAAGGCTAAAATGCAGGGTATGACCGAGTGGTACGTAGAAAGACAGCACAAAGAGTAACATAAGCTCCCAATCTGTGCAAAAACGTACAGAAGAATAGCCTGGGAGAGACTCTGAGAACTTGGTAATATGTTGAAAAAGACAGTTTTTAAGGCCACGAAGAAAGAAAATATTTATAGTAGTACAGAGACTACGCGATACATCCAGAAGGTTGTCAGAGACAGATGAAGTGATGCCTACCACTCTATGCACTGGTTTGATCCGCTTAAAACCAGGATTGGCCTGAGTGTCACAGGGCAGGGAAAAAGACTGCTCACCTTTGACATGTCTATTGTCTAGTACCATTTCTACTACCAACTAGCTGGGCAACTTACACCACCTCTCTGGGATTCAGTTTTCTCATTTGTAGGAGGCAAAAAATTATATTGATCAGAGAGATCGTTTCCAATTTAGTAAGCAATTCTCTGGGGGCCTCCAGTAAGAATGGAAACAGGGACCACTGCAAGAAGGAACATGCAGCAGCAAATAGGGCAAGTCTTCGTAAAAAATTAAAAAAAAAAAAAAGGTCACCGTCTGTTGGAAGAAGATGGACAACTTCAGTGTAGGAATCTCTGCATTACATGGTAGTTCTTTGCAAAAGTGATGACTAGTGAATTTCAGAAATTTCTAAACTCTTATGAGATGAAAATCATGGTCATTATTTTGAATGCCTGTGAATTTTAAGTTTTTAACGATTTTAAGAATTATCTTCCGACCTGACCCTTGGAATCTTTTCCCTCAATCTTCCTCTATCTCAGATTGACCCGAGTCTTTCTTCAGTGCCTGTAGCTCCATCTCATCTTCAAAAGCACCCATGCTATTTCCTTCATACTCTAAATATTGTCACTTTATTTGTTTTTGAAAACCATTCATCTTTCAACAAAGATTTTTTGAATACCTACCATGTGAACAATGACAGGCGCTAGGAATACAATGATGAAAACAGAAACCATCTGAAAACAGAAACTGATGGAAACAACACAGTAATAAGAGGGGGCACAAATGCTCTAATTTCTAAAATATCAGTCTTAGATACGTAATTAAATTTTAAACTAGGGCAAAATGTGAAGGGCAAGGATTATTTTGTTCTTTCTTGATTCCATTAGAGTACCAAGCTACAGAGGTTTTCTAGAGTAAGTGTTCAATAAACACGTGATTGTTTTGTTACATGACCCCTGTGTCATAACTGTCTTTGCGCTATGTGTAGCAGCTGAGTCTTTCACCCACTGTTCCCAATTAAATATTTGCTGAATGGCTATTGTGGGCCAGGCATTGTGCAAGGCCCAGGTGTCCTGGCCGTCAAGGAGAATGTAGTCTGGATGAGACAGGCATGTTTACACATAATTATGATAGTACTTAAGATACACCAGAGTACCATGGGAGCAAAGAAGAGTGACAAACTTCATTTAGGGAAGTAAATATAATTTTATCTTATAATAGGACCCTTAAAGTGCAAAAGTTTTGCAGGCAGAAAAAAGTGGAAGAGGCTATTCTAGGTCATAAGAACATCATGTACTAAAGTACAGAGGCATGAAAAAGCAGTTGGGTTTGGAGATTAGCAAAGCATTAAGTATGGATAGAATTGAGGTTGGGTAGGAGCTGAGTGATGAGAGATGAGGTCATAGCTGGGAATTGAGAGCTTTGTATGCCAAAGTAATGAACTGAGATATTATTCTATGGAGATCAAAGAACAAATGGAACATTTTAAGAATGGCAGAATTGTGATTGGGTGCTTTGATTTATTTGGAAGTGACCACCCCATGACAATGTGGAGACTGGTATATGTAAGGATGGCTTGTAGAAAGGCTGGTTAGGAAGGGTGCCTCGGTGGCTCAGTGGGTTAAGCGTCCAACTCTTGATTTCTGCTCAGGTCATGGTCTCAGGGCCATGAGATCAAGTCCCACTTCAGGCTCCATGCTGGGCATGCAGCCTGCTTAAGATTCTCTCTCTCCCTCTTTCTCTGCCCCTCCCCCTTTTTCCCTCTCTTTAAAAAAAAAAGGCTGGTTAGAAACAGTTCCAGGTTCAAAATGATAAAGGCCCAGTGAGGCTGGAGGGTGGACTGAAGATGTGTGTGCAACAGGGTTTACAGGATATGCCAAGTCAGTGGATGGGAAATACAGAGAGGTAGGTAAACCAAGTTTGCGTTGTGTCTAAGTTGGGAGCCCAATGGGAGCAGTGACTTCATAAAACAGGAGGAAAGGCAAATTCTGAGTAGAAAGGCCACTACTGCAGATTTCAGTCCTGTCTGGTGTGCTCATTGTTCTGCAATTCAGGTAAGGTAATTCACTTTCCTGAACCACAGCTGTGTCATCTACAAAATTGAAAAATACTATCTACTTCATGGGATTGTTAAGAAGTTAAACAGGAGTAAAACATATGAAAACATCTAGCTTACTGCCTGGACAGAGAAGTTGCTTGATAAATATTTGTCGAATTAAGAAACAATAAATAGCAGAGACTAGGGTTGAAAACTAGGCTTTGTTGTGTGACCTTGAGCATGTTACCTAACCTCCTTGACACTTGGTTTCCTCACATGTGAAATAGGGAAAATTTATCCTATCTTACTGGCTAGTTGGGAAGATTGAATTGGAAACCCTATGCAGAGTCTGAGCTAGTAGTCACTGGCACATAATTAGTGCTGAATAAATGTGCATTGAATAAAAATATAAATTAGCTCAACTGTGGTCAGTACATCTTGTTTAAGGAGGTAGAAAATGACCTCAGTTTACTAAATATTACATACATGATCAGACACATACTCACAAAAGAGAACATTGAGTGTTCCACATTAGAATTTAAAATTGTAAGATACCATTGTTCGAAAAGTTAACTTGCTTAGAAAAGTTTATTTTTCAGTGTCAAAAAATGTCATGCCTTTCTATTATATAAAAATTAGAAACTACGTTCATATCTTCTCATTAAAAGAAAAACAGCTAAATCTTCATGCAGAGTGTAGATGACCTGCATAAATTTTGCTCCATAGAACTGATACTGAGAAAACTATTATTTTTAAATAACCCAAGTTTGACCAGCATTACTTCAGTTTTTATTAGTTTGAATGCCTTTGATGATTTGTTTGGATTCTGTTCCTGCTTGGATAAATGCATTTCACTTTGTATATTGTAGCTGTGACAGATAATGCTAGATGATCCCCAATACAACTTCTCCACTTTGTTCTAATAGATGAACTCACCTCTCCAACCTCTGACCTTCTTCCTCCATCCCATTTTTAGAAACATGGCCTTCCAGCTATGGACTACATTTCCCAGCATCTCTAGAAGCTAGATAAGTTTATGTGCTAAACTTCCGGGCAATGGAAGAGGAGTGAAATCGATATCTTTCATTTCTGGGTCATCTCCTTAAACACTTGTCCTGTACTCTCCCCTGTCCCTTCTTCTGTGGGCCATAGCATAGATGTGGTAGAGACCCAGGTTTGGCAACACTGAAGAGGAATGGTATGACATCAGGGAATGGTAATGCAGCAGAAAGGAAGGAACTTGCGTCCTTTAATGACCTAGAGGAGTCAATCTACTTCACCACCTGGACCAGCGGGACTGTAATGTGAGAAATACATTTCTATCTATGTAAGCCACTACATTTGGGGTGGTTTTTTTTTTTATCGTTGTTATTATAGTATCTCAATCTCTACCCTGTGTATTGCAGGGTTTTACTTATTTTTCAAGAAAAAAAATGATTTCAGTTGTGAAAATTGCCTCTAGGACTTTATGGGACAAACAGATTTTTAAAGACAAAGGTCTGATGTGTCAGGCTGAACTCTGAATATTCATTACCACAACAAGGTTATTACCAAGGGCTTTCTATTGCTCCTTATTTAATAACAGTATTTTGAGTTCTAATGGAGAATGCTTAATTGTCAACTTAGTCAGTTTTGATTATGATTATGCTGTTGTTTACAATGAAGTAACATTTTTCTGTTTCTTTTACCATCTTCTGCCAGTGAGCAGTATTTGAATAAACTAAAGGCCTTTCAATTAGACTTAACCACAAATTAGATTAAAAACTGGGGGGTCTCAAAAGAGAATGTCTAAAAAAAAATGGTTCGCTAAGTTTTAACCTTGAAATAATAGTGTCATTTTGTATACCATAACCACCAATTTCCATTAAGACTTTTTTTTTTTTTTTACTAATGGGCAGTCAGAATTGGAAATAGAATTCTATTATATTGTTTTGCCACTCTTGTGGCAAACGAGGTAAAATATGATTCAAGATACTAGTTTTGCATACCTTCAGCATAGGGTATTTGCATCAGTATTTTTATTACTAGTGTAATGAACAGCTATGTGATGGCTTAGTTATCAAAAATAAAGTCAATAAAAAAGATAGGTAAGAAAAGAATTAGAGCATCAGGTGATGGTGAAATGTAGCATAATATAGACAGAACATATCACAGTTATCATATATGGCCACCTACACAACCTAACCCAATCACACATAGGATTGTCTTGGATCAACTGGTTTGGAAAACAATTGCACTACTGATATTTCAGTCACTTTCAATAATTCTCAGCTTCAAAAAAGCCAAATCAGTTTCTTCCCCTCACCTCAAGTAACCAGTGACAACTGTTGTAGTGGAAAGAACTCTTGGCTAGGAATCAGGAAACTTCATTGCTAGGCTTGGCTTCCCACTTAGGAAGTGTGAATTCGGGCAGGTCATTTAACCTCTGTGCAGGGTGATTATGAAGTTCAGAATAGGATCATCTATAAGAAGTATTTTGGAAAATAAAAAGCTTTATACAAATATGCAATAGTATGTGTGTGAATATATGTGTGTGTGTGCATGTAAGAAAAACTAACATCATCAATAGTAGAAAGCCACCTATAAATGTATTTGTTCATATGTATATATGAACACATATATAGAGATATATACATGTATATATATATACATAAAGATACATACACACATATATTTACTAAATTAAAAACTTTTACTATTTAGGATTTAGAAGCAGGACTGGCTGCTTCTAAAAGGAGTCAAGGCAGTTATAGATTAACACACAATGCCAAGGTGCAATGAAGAACTTTAAAAAAAGACAAAGTCCATGTAGATGACATTTAAAAGTATGTTTTAGTGAAGCCCCTTTGCTCTTCATTGATGGTTGACAGCAAAGCAGATAAAGGGAGTTTTGTTGTAATAACAACAGGTTACCAATAATTTATTGAACACCTGTGAATTCCCCCCACCCCAAATGAAAGTTAGAATCTTAACAATGACCTACATCTAATCAAAAGGTTTCACCCATATCCTATTCCACAGTCTCCCCTCTCTGGGTGATAAAGTTAATAGGTCACCTCTGCCAGAGTTTTCAGGAAGTAACATCTGGGAAGTGTCAAGTTCCCATAGTGAATACAAGGCACACATTAGGCTTGTACCCTGAAGTCAGTAGGATATTACTGTAACAGTCTTTTGAACTTTTCTCTTCGTGATCATCTAAGATCAAGGAACAAAACGACAATCCTGAGAATAACTATTCTCCCTTACCTAGTCCCACACCACCTGATAATTGTTGAGGACCCAATAATCTCCTCTTCTAAAATAATTTTAAGTGAGCTACATTCCTTTTTAAATACGTATCAATAAATTAGGAAGGAATTTCATTGTGAGGTGGAGGGTAATACAAACACCTTTGATTTGTGAGCTCAGGCAATGCCATTCTGTTTTGAAACCATCCATCAATACCCTTTGATCTTTATTTTAAACAACCAAGAGTAAAGCATTGAATTTTAAGGTCTCAGTCCTCAGTGTGAAAAACAAATATATTATACTGTATTTTTATTGGACAGATTAGCATTGATGGTCATCTACCTCAAACTGAAACTCACAGATTAATCACTAGATTAATTAGGACCAGCCAAAAAAATGGTTATGTGATGTTACCTCCCACCCACACTCCCAGACTTTAAAAAAATGATAATGTGTAAAATGGGTTCGAAATCTCTGCACAGGAGGCAAGGAAAGAGAGAGCAAGAGCTGATCATTGCCTACCATTCTGTACTTTATTCTACTGCTGTGGTTAGTTTGACTCATTACTTAACCAAAGCAATCACTCCAGGAGCATCTCCAGGCATTAAAAAATGCTCACAACTAAGACATACGTCTTTCAGAAATTGGAGTTTCTTCTCCAGATTAATATTTCTATTTTCTGATACCAAAAAAAGTTTCTAAGGAAAAATTCTGCAGCAATATATTCAAAGCTTGCCACCTTAGAACCATAATGTGCCTTTCTTCTAAAGGAGACCTCCAAAAGCAGTGTCTCATTTAGTATCATGGTGTACTTGCCAAAGAGGCCACAGAGAACACGGGCCCCGTTTTACAAATGGAGACCTGAGTGTCATCCCAGCCTCTCTCCATGCAGAGAGAACAAGAGGAAGCAGTGACAGCCACATATTCTACTCATTTCTTAAATGTGCATTTGTGAGCTCACATGTCAATGACAGAATCCTTAAGCAGGTGCAAAATAAACAAGTAAAATACATTGGGAATGCTGGTCCTTGTGATTAGAATTTAATCCGTCTCACAAAACAACTGCAAAGGGACAAATGTATGCAAGTAAACATAGTCTAATTGATTCGGGACTCACCTGACCCTTCTTGTCCTCTTGGAGTTGTAAATACCTGCCCAGATTGGCAGAAGTCGGCTAGCATAGAGACAGTCCCAAACCTTTAGTCTTTATAGGCATCCCCCCTCTCTGTTCCAATTCCAACATCCTCTTCACTCTGATTGGCTTCTGGTTCTCTCACTGCTCCTTGCCTTTGAAATGTTCTCCACTCAGCAACATGCAGGGTTAATGTCTCCAACTTCCCCCAAAACATCTACGCATGTCCTGGGCATGTGTATTTCCAGTGACCCAAAGTGACAGTCAGTGGGAAGTAGCTTCTTCTAACTCCTTTTCCTGGAGACTTGTCTCTCCCTTGCATGGCTTGTCTTGGCTCTTCTAAAAGGCTAAGGGAGGTTATCTACTCTCTTCATCCACAGGTGACAAACCATAATGTGGCTCTGTTTTAGAAGGATGGCCTGCATGACTAGGGTATCACTGCCAGAAAGAAAACTCAGGTTCTATATTTGAACCCCTACCTTGTCTTCCAAATCAAGCACCTCCAAAAATTATGAGCTCATTATTGCCTTTCTATTTGACATCTTCCTACCCAGGTTAACAATATTTCCTTTCTTAATCTGATTTCCCCCCTTTTTTCTTCTTTATGAAGTTTTCTTTATAAAGTTTCTTCTGACACAGGTGAAGCTATGGTTGTTTTCTGGAAAAAAAAAAAGAAAGAAAAATTCTTTTATTCCTAGCTTCCCATACCATCTTACAGAATAAACATATGTGATTTTCAAGGAACAATAACTGGAATAATTTGTTTGTCATTTCATCTTCATTTATTGATTGAACAAATTAATGTTCAGGTCAAATTCTGCCATAATAAGACAAGGGAGTTTCCAAGTTACTTTCTTGCAGTGAAATATTATTATACTTCTTACTTAGTGAAAGCAAAAGAGAAGCTTAAGAATCATTCAGCTCAGGGCACCTGGGTGGCTCAGTTGGTTAAGCATCTGACACTTGATTTCAGCTCAAGTCATGATTTCAGGGTCGTGAGATTGAGCGACACATTGGGCTCCAAACTGACCATGGAGCTGCTTAAGATTCTCTCTCTCTCCCTCTCTCTCTGCTCCCTGACCCCCTCTCTCTCTCTCTAAAAGAAAAAACAAATCATTCAGCTATGCATAGACTTCCTATTTTAATGATATTTGCTGAAATAGCAAATATCCAATATACCATTTTTGAATTTCACCATGCCAGCTTTGATAACCAGAATGTGATAGCATGATTACCTACATGTAACTTGAATTTTACAGCCCTGGTCTACACAGAGACTGGAAAAACATCTTTTTAAAATCATGTTCAATTGAATTTAACTTCTTTCTGCCAAATAGATAAATGTCAGCTTTCCCTACAGTCTTTTATTCCAGTGAAATTCAGTTAGTAATGGGATTTAACATTTTCAACAATAAGTTTAATCTAAGTTTAATCTTTTGAGGTCTTGAAATGGACTAATGTACCGCTTCTTCCCAATTTCTCTGGAATGGAGATGTACTGAATGTCCTCTCAGAATTCTCAAATGTTGAGTTATTTTTGATTCAGAACATTTCCACTGGTTGCCCTTGAGTAGACATTCCATATTATCACATTACCTTTGGAATCTCTTTAAACTGTGACTCACATTCTTAGTAAGGCAACTAGATATGAACACCTTCTTTTCAACCAACTTTTTTTTTTAAAGACATCTCCCTTGAGTAACTGGTCACCTTGCAAGGTTTCAATTCATTGAGCTGAGTACACGTGATACATATTCCTATGAACTGTTGGGACTTTTTGTTTGTTTTGCTTAACTTGGAAGGACCAAGAGCTTTAATATTGCCCCCCATATCTGAGTTGTAATGTTCACAATATTGTCCTAGAGAATTTCATTACTCAGTATTTCTCATAATTTCTTCACACCGTGCACACTAATTACACATATGTGTGTGCACTCATATATCCAGTTAAAAACTTAAGTTTTAGGTTAAGTCCCACCTATGTAACTCACAAGGCAGGACTTTAGATAAAATAAATTTTTCATTACCCTCTTAACATTCATTATTGTTCTCTGTGCATACCAATCAGGGTACGCTATCTTTCACAATAATCTTTTTCACGTGGTCTATCTGAAAAAAATCTTGTGAAATCATTGTCTCCTTGTCTTCATCTTCACCTCCCCTCTCCAGGTGCTCAAACCAGTCTTCAGAAGTGTGTTTAGCTAACACAGACTTCTGTCTACTACCCAGATATCTTCATTTTAATAAAAAATGAATCTTAATGAATTTCTAAATGGCATGTTTCCAGATACCCGTAAAGGGGGTAGGGGAAATTGGTGTGGAAACATTGCCAGTGCTTTGGAAGGAAGATAGCAAAAAGAAAAGTGGCAAAATGAATAGCTTGCAATCTTAATGAACAAAGTTGTACCAACTAATCATTGTATTTCCATACACTATTTCTAATATTTACCCTGAAGAGTGGGTATTATTCTTATTAACCCCATGTTTACCAATAAGGAAGCTGGAGCTCCTAGTTGTTCTGTGATTTGCCCAGGTTTAGATAGCAGTGAAGTAGCCCAGCCAGGATTCAAACCAGCTCTGTGGATGCTCATGCCCACCTACCTGTGCCTGCACATTTTACTAGACTTTGGGGAAGGGTAAGTGAGAGCTCAAAATCTCCAAGTATCAGCTCCAAGTAATTTGGAGTTTTTGTACATGAAAGGATGTTCAGACCAGAAGACACATATGGAGAATCTAAAAATGTCCCTCCTTCCATCTCTTTAAACCCAAGGAAAGTGTAAGAGTAAAACAGAAAACATGGACTTAGAAGTCAGAAAGCACCAGGTCAAATTCTGTTTCTGCCAATTATTATACTGGCTCTTACCTTGGGTAAATTTAGTTGTTTGGAGCCAGGTTCTTCCATATAACAATAAATATAACAATATCAATTCCATTGGTCTACTGTGAGGATGCAATGAAGATAACTTAGATAAAAGTCTCAACGTGAGTCCCCACTCCTAGTAGGACCTCAATAAATGGTCCTTCCCAAGAACCATTCTCTCATCCTCCCTTGAAAGGAAAGGATGGTCCTCTTTTCATCCATTGTCATAGTTTATTTATAACCTTTAAATAGTTGCAAAAGAAGATGTTTTTCAAGTCTATGGCAACATATTCTTAAATGATCACTGGACAGCAGCTACGCTACCATGGCAAAGAGTATAAATTCTAAATCCTAACTGCTGGTTTAAATCCTGGCTCTACTCTTAAAAAGTTGTATATCTTACTATATTTGCTCAATACTTCTGGGCCTCAGTTTCCTTATCTGTAAAATAGGAATAATAATAATAATAGCACTTACCTAGTGAGATTTCATAAGATTTAAATTCATTAATACAAGTAAAGTGATTAGTACAGTGACTGGCACTTAGTAGTGCTTTATAAATGCTAGCTATTATTATTAACCATGCAAATAATGGAGCTAGAATAGTAATTCTCAGCCAGGGGTGCTTTAGCCCCCCAGGGGACATTTAGCAATGTCTGGAGACTTTTTTTATTGATACAACTCAGTGAGGGGATGACATTAGAGGGTAGAGGCCAGGGACGCTATTAAACATTCTAAAATACATAAGACAGCACCTACAACAAAGAAATATCTAGTCCAAATGTCAGTAGTGCCAAAGTTTAGAAATACTGAGCTGAGAAAAACCATCCCTGGTCAACAGAGATCCTGAGATATTTTCCCAGGGGGCATAAACAGTCACTAACCAAATACTGCTGGAAAATCAAATAGGTGTATAGAAACTGTACCCTATTCAATGTCAAGTAAGCTAATATTGGAAAAAGTCAAATGGTTATTGGCTATATGGGACTGTAACACTTCAGTGTGTCTTAGAATTACATTAAAATATTCTTTTAAAAGAGTAATATTTACTTTTTATAGGCATCATTATTCCAAAATACATTGAATAAGAATTTGGAGGGTGGATAAGCAAAGATACGCAAGGGCTTTAGAGCCTGCAGGTCCTATAAAAATTAAGGCTTGCAAATTTATTGGGATTCCTTCCCCCATGGGATCCAGCAAGAGAAGATGGTCTACGTATTATGGACACTGGGTAGGAAAGAAAATGGGCATGAATTTTCATGCTACTTTGTATCTTCACCCTCCTCAACCTTACTTACTTTGTGGGCAGTGAGATTATTTAAAGAAAGCTAGACGTGAAGTGCTCAAACTATCTCCTTCCTCGCAATCTCAGGGTCTCAGGTGAATTTAGCAGGATCTTGAGCTAGGAGGACTCCTTTTCAATCCTGTGACTTTCTCTAGATATCCTCTAGCTTGGGTTGAAGAGGACATGTTGGCAACTCTAATCAGAACTAAGTAAGCCCAAGGGATGGCCTTTCTTTTAGGCCTTTCCTTAAGAATAGCCTTCAAACTCTGAGGAAGAAAGTAGGAAGCTCTCTATCAGGAGCACACTAGGTTCTGACTTGAGTTATTTGGGACCTGGTGGTTGGTACTCAGGGAACTAGAAAGATACAATGAGGTCTCTTCTTCTCCAGTCCTTGGCAGGGAGATACTGCTCAAACACAAAACACTGTTCCAATGAACAGAAGATACATGAAGAGGTAGGACTCCTTTCTAATGCTTGCGGGTGAGATCACCAGAGAGGTTCAGATGAGTTTCGGATGGACTCAGTACTATCCGCCATATAAAAGGAGGACTCTGTATCATTGTGATTGTAGTGGGCTGAATAATAGTGCATAAATATATCAGGTCCTAATTCCCAGGACCTGTAAGTGTTACCTTATTTGGAAAAAAAGCTTTTTGCAGATGTGACTAAATTAAGACTCTTGAGATGGGGAGATTATCTTGGATTATCTGGCTGGGCCTTAAAGGGAATCAGGAGTATCCTTGTGAGAAGGAGGCAGGGGAAGGTTTGACACACAGAGAAGAGGCCATGTGACCAGGGAGGCAGAGCCTGGAGGAACAGACACCAGAAGTTGGAAGGGGCAAGGAAGGGACTCTCCCCTAGAGCCACTGAAGTAAGTGCAGCTCTGCCAATACCTTGATTTCTGTCCAGTGAAAATGATTTTGGACTTTTGGCCTCCAGAACTGTGAGAAAACACATCTCTACTGTTTTAAGCCACCAGGTTGTGGTGATTTGTTTCAGCAGACTCAGGACACTAATACAGTGGTCATGACTGTGGCTTCTCTTCTCACAGGTGTCCATTAGCCGAACCTAAGTGAGAAAAAGGAAGTGGAGGAAGAGGAAGAAGAATAAAAAAAAACAGAAGGCAAGCAGGAGATAGAAGACTGAACAGGAGCAGGAAGAGGAGAAGAAAGAAGAATCAGAAAAAAAGTGAAAGAGAAATAATTCACTGAATGGTACAGGTCACGTGTGAATCGTATTGGGGAGAAGTACATACAGTCCCTAAATTCCACTCTTATCTACACGGTGGACATTAAGGTTATGCCTTAGGCTTGAGTCACAAGAAGAATTTTGTCTTTAAAACATCTTCGTGATTCATCCAATGGTTATATGTAGCTCACTAAAGTTTTTCTCATCAAGGTTACCAATGACCTCCCTTCAGGCAAAAGACAGTAACCTCTTAGTCATCAAGCCTGACTTGCCAACACTAAACATCTGTCAAGATTCTGCTCATAACCCACTTCTTCCATAAAATTTCCCTTGATCTTTGTTTCTATTTTCTGATTTCCTATTACCCTCTCAGGAGATGTGGCTTTTATTCCTGCCCCTCTAAAAAGAGGCCAGGGAGGCTGCTAAGCATCCTAAAATGCACAACACGACTTCCTACAACAAAGAATTATATTTTTATACCCCCTCCAGCACTTTGCACAGGGCTGGTGTGGAATAGAGTCCTGTGGTGACTGACTACCTATTAATTTGTTCAATAATACAGATGGTCTCATCTCCTTCTTCTTCTACCAATTTATCATATTGTACAATGATGATTGATATCGAGAATTACATCCCTGAGGCATGCTAGACCTAAATCATAAAAAATAAACTGACAAAATTCATTCATTGTCTTGCTGGTTAAAAAAAAATCTACTCATACATTTTAGATTTCCAACTGGAAGAGTTGAGGCCAGAAAGCATTACTCATTCAACCTAATTTAACTCCAAAATGCAATTAACAGCAACTCCTCAAGTCCCAAATACTCACAGCATCTGAAGATTTACTTATTACCAGGAGAGTTACAGGTTTGTCCTAAAATATACCTGAGGGTACCAGCTTTCTGGTGTTTATTTCCCAATATATGGCAACTCTTAGTAGAAAAGTAAGCTTATTTTAAAATTGATTTTATGTCCTGGTTTAAAATTTCCCAAAGGAGATTCTGCATTTGGGAGACTGTTTATATGTTTCATATTGCTCATTTGCATCCAGTGTAACTGAAATTTAAGTCCAGTTCAACAAAGCATCCCACAGTAAGTGATCAGATAACTGCCCACGTGCAAACCATTACATACACACATGGTTGAAGAATCCTGTCAAGGACATAATAACTGTTTGTGAGCATCTCTCATGATTTCACATTTTAATGTTTATTATTTTTTGTTTTTTAAACATAAAAAAACCTACGGCACACTGTGGCATTCCCATCATGTAAGAGCAGTTTATAGAAAACACATTACAAATTAAGAATCACAAACGCATGGAGAATGGAAATAGATTAAATAAAACAAGTGAACTAACTAACACCCTTCCAAAACAGAAAACCAAGACTTAAAATATTGTACACCTTAGTGAAATAACAGCTGCTCTTACTAAAGACCATATATTCCCTTAGTATAGTATTTTGTAATTTATTGCTTTTCCCACCTTGGAAAAATTATGTTACAGTTATATGGCCCCATATTAACATTTTTTTGGCCTTTTATAAGTAACACCTTTGAAACTGGACATTTAGTTATCCATTAAGTCAGTTGCTTGAGAAAAGGTTTCATTTTTTTTTTTTTCTGGCTCTTTAGAATGCTTCAAAAGAATGATTCAGGGAAATCATAAAAGGATTAATTCAAAATGATGAAATGATGAAATTGTAAAATGTAAATGCATCCCTCCACACACACCCACTCTGTTATCTATGTCTCTAAAGCATGATGCATTCACATTACCCATATATACCACAGATTTCTATTTTGATGACATTAATTACTCCAGAATAATGACTAAGGTCAAAAGTCCCACACACCATGAAAAGCCCGGTTTTATGTAGAGAAAAGGGTCCTTGATGAGGCTGATATTACCAGGCTTCTTCTCTCCACTTTCCAAAGAGAATCCTATGAGTTGTAGCCTGGTTTCCTGTTTGTTAATGATAAAATGCCTAGTATTCTACTAGCACTTTCTGAAACTCTTAAACTTCACTGTCTTCCTGAGACAACTCTGCCCTGAAGGGAAAAATAGTTTTCTTCACCCAGCGTCTTTTTCCTTGTATTAATATTAATATCCCATGAGAATATTAGCTCTGGAGGAAAGAATTTGGTGGCAAAATTCCATATTTACTCATGAAATCCACCCCCAACTTCCACTCACACATTTTAAAAGGACAGTCAAAGGAAAAGCTCCCATGCCTACTACCCTCTCTTCACGCTTCCCCTCAGCTTCTTCTGACACCCACTCTGGGTTTCTTTTCTGTTTTTTTTTTTTGTTGTTGTTGTTGTTTTTGGTTGTTCCTGCTGAACCAAAAGCCACTTTTACTAGCAGAGGCTGTTTTTTAGAGTATACTCTGTATTTATTGGGACATAAAAGTATTTAAGTTAAGGGCGCCTGGGTGGCTCAGTTGGTTAAGCGACTGCCTTCGGCTCAGGTCATGATCCTGGAGTCCCGGGATCGAGTCCCGCATCGGGCTCCCTGCTCGGCAGGGGGTCTGCTTCTCCCTCTGACCCTCCTCCCTCTCATGCTCTCTGTCTCCCATTCTCTCTCTCAGATAAATAAATAAAATCTTTAAAAAAAAAAAAAAAGTATTTAAGTTAAAAAAAAAAAAAAAAGACTCCCTTGGCCCTGGCTAGAGTGTGAAGACAGAAAATGATGTGTGTCGAGTCCTCTAGGCTCTAACCCCGCCTGCCTGTTCCCCCACTGCCTGGCCCTGCCTCAGGGGTTGCAGGAAGTGTGTATCAAAGCCTCACGCATCAAATCTCAGTAAGATTTAAACAATGCAGTGGGGTTGACAGCAGTTGCCTATCCTTCCTCTCCTAGAAATGTTGTTTAAAAGACTTGCTGAAGGGAACTTGTTGGTGCTACTGAGTCTTTAAAATGATTTTTAAATGGCTATTTGCATATGCAGCTGAGTGACAAAGCACTTGAACTCTGAAGCCATTCTCTGCATTCAAACGTGGGCTCCATACTCGACCTTGAGTAAGTTACTCTACTTCTCGGTGCCTCAATTGCCTCATTTGAGATAGTCTCGAATGAAAATGGTAATATCAACCTCATAATGTTGTTGTGAGGATTAAATAAGTTAAAATATGCGAAGTTCTTCAGAAGAGTGTCGGCATTTGGTACACACTATGGGTTAGGGATAAAGTATCTGCATCTCTTTATCAGACACACATAGAGATTTGAAGACATGCTTGTAAAAATACTTTGACCTCTGAACAACAGTTGACCTTAAACAACATGGGGGCTTGGGGCCCTGACCTCTCATTCAGTCAAAAATCTGCGTATTAACTACTGACTCCCCCAAAACTTAAATACTAATAGCCTACTGTTGACCGTAAGCCTGATAATATAAACAGTCAATTGACACATATTTTGTATGTTATATAATTCATATACTGTATTCTTACACTAAGGTAAGCTGGAGGAAAGAAAATGTTATTAAGAAAATCATAAGGGGGGTGCCTGGGTGGCTCAGTTGGTTAAGCGACTGCCTTCGGCTCAGGTCATGATCCTGGAGTCCCAGGATCGAGTCCCGCGTCGGGCTCCCTGCTCGGCGGGGAGTCTGCTTCGTCCTCTGACCCTATCCCCTCTCATGTGTTCTCTCTCTCTCATTCTCTGTCAAATAAATAAATAAAATCTTAAAAAAAAAAAAAAGAAAAGCATAAGGAAGAGAAAGAGAAAATACATTTACAGTACTGTACTGTATTTATTTAAAAAATCCAAGGTAAGTGGATCTGTGTTCAAAGTCATGCTGTTCAAGGGTCAACTGTGTGATGTATGCGTATATATATGTATACTATATACATAATATATAAGAATATATAAAAATATTTACAAACTTATGTATATAACATATATATTATATATATATATCCAAACTGGCACTCGGCAAATAGTTGGTGAATTAATACCACCTAACAGAATAAGTGTATTATCTAGAGTATAATTAGCTTTGTCACTGTTTTATATTTGCGGTGATCCATTGCTGTTAATCAATGGAGATAAGCATCGCAGGGTTCAGGGTAGACAGACCTGTATAGATGAAGGGGCTCAGGCCTAGATAGTAAAGAAAGAAATGTACAGAGAACCACCACATGCCATTTTCTGAGCTTGGCACTTTTCATGTGCCATTACTTATAAGTCTCTTAACAGCTCTTTTAAAGTAAATAATGCAGTAAGTTGTATTGTGCAGATGAGGTCAATGAGCTCAGAACTCCTCAGTAAATTATCTCAAATCATACAGCTAGTAAATTAGTGGTGGAGGTGGGATTCTAATCCTACACCATTTTAAGCAAAACAAAACAAAACAAAACAAAAAACCCATAATATGGAAAAAGGACAAAGATGGGTTATGCAAGGGAAGTGATTTTATAAAATGGTTATTATGAATATATCATTGACAAACAAGGTTTATAATTCAAAGATGGTTTGGTAGATCTTAGACTCAGCCTTGAGGTAGATATTCAGACTACATACTATCTATTTTTAATCCCATGAAGAAATTCATCGTACATTTCAATTGTAGCTTCAAACATGGTCAGAGATGGAAAGCCACTTAGGAGACCATTTAGTCCAACTTCCTCGGTTAACAGTTAAGAGACTTCAGAGGTGAAATGATAGGCTCAACGTCATACAGGCAATTAGCAGCACAAGCAGCCGGGATTCTCCTGGATCCAACACTCCTCCCCTTATAGCATGTAGAACAGCCAACTGGGACACCACAGTTTTAAATGTATCCATTTAGATGCATGTAAATTCTAGTTCATTTTAAATATTCCAATTCCTACTTTAGCATCTAAACCTAAAAAGAATATTAAGGTGATTCTTAAAATTCTTTGGGAAGATACAATAAATAATAATATTCTCTAGTAGAAAACAGAGTTTATCTCTAGGAGCTTCTATTTTTAAAACCTGACCAAAATTCTGGTACTGCTGTATGCTGTCAAATGAGAACAAAATCTAAATACTGTCTTCGGGGGGAAAACAGCCTTTTAAAAAGAAGGTGGTGTTTTTCTTCATGCAGAGAGGAATTAAAGGGATTTTAAACTTTTTTGTTGTTGTTATTAGATTACATTCATTCAACAAATATTTAGAGTACCAAATAACAAGAATAGCAGGAATCCTCCTTTCCTTGTGTATTTCGTAGCACTCATTAGAGAGGTGGGTTTTTGATAGTCATTGATTGGTGTTGCCTTTTCCTATGTTCAGCATAGTAGATGGCTTCAGGACAGTAGTCACTGAGATATGTCAGCTACTACTGATGTCCTTTTATAGAGGTAGAAGGAGATGGCTCTTGACTATTTCAGTGTTTGTGTTGTTTAGAACCACGCAGCGTGATATGCATTTTCTTAGTTATACCAGCATCAGTATTGTGAAGTCCAAAGGCTTACAATTTCTTTCATTGTGCTTACACCAGAAATTTATCATTAACAGCACTATTTCTTATCTGGCTGCCATGGATGAGGTAGTATGAAGGTACATATACTAAAAAAAAACTGTACCATCTAGCTATATCATAGTATGAACCTTTATCATGGAGCCTAGGAAGCTTTGTTAATGTGAGTTATAAAAGACAGTTATAATGTGAAAAGCACATTATCCACTGCTTCAGAAATATTGCATTATTTTTCTAAAAGATGTTATTTATTTGAGCGAGAGAGAGCGGGAGGGAGAAAGCACAAGCAGGGGGAGGGACAGAGGGAGGAGGAGAAGCAGGCTCCCCACTGATCAGGGAGCCCAACTCGAGGCTTGATTCCGGAACCCAGAGATCATGATCCGAGCTGAAGGCAGATGCTTAACTGACTGAGCCACCCAGGCACCCCAGAAAAATTGCCTTATTATAAACATAACATAACAGCTAAAGATGCTAGATCTTGGGAATCTCAAACTTTTCTACCTAAACTTCAAAATGTGCCAAACATCATTTTCATAGGAAGGGTTGCAATGGCAATGTGGAAAGGAAGTACTAAAGGAAAGACAAAGAAGGGTGGAAGTACACAATTCTAAGTGATTTTTATAGCAGACGCTTAGCCCAAGTCAGCAAATAAATTGCCAACTGACAAGAAACTGGCATCCGAACTAAGCAAGTTTCTCAGGCCAAATGTCCAGAAATAAAAGAATGCTGGTGGAACTGAATAGGCAGGGAAACCACAATAAGCCACAAGTTAGCTGGATATTGTCAGACTTATAAGGTCCAGCAAAGATTTACTTGCCATATTGTATAAAGGGTGAAGTCCCACTCTCTGAAGATGATTGAAAAGTCAACAATGATGGAGCAACTCATGTTCATTCATCATATGTGTCTATTTCCGTAAAATTCTGTTATAAAATCAATTTGGGATTTAAGGGACCAACATCACAATCTCAGGGAGTTTGTTCCATATAAACCATCTGGTGGAAAAGTCCTGATGAACTATGTGGTGATGACAGGAATCTCTATAAAAATCCACAAATATGATGTCCAACACAGACTCGGCCCTCAAGAGCACACGTACACAAACACAAGGGAGATGGTGCACGCAATGGTAACACAGATACTTTACTGATGTCCATTATGGGAAATCAGCACATTTCATGCTCAGTAAATTAGTCACTAATATTGGTGACATACTGACGTTATCTGATCAGTGTGGTTTTCATGCCATTCAAAGCACCGAAAGCATGGTTGAAACCCTTAGGCAGAAATTCCAAGAACAACACCGTGATTTGAATTTTCATGAATACAATCAGGCAACTGGTCTGTTAAGTGCTGAAAGACACTGTAAATCTGGCTATCACGATGTTAATAAACACCTTTTGCTTAGTGTAGAGAAAGATGATGGAGAGTGTAGGGTGGTTAGTGAATACATTTTGAACACTTGCACTATGCTAGCTCCTATGCTAAGCAAAGCACGGTGTCTTTTTTCAAAGAGCTTACTACCTAGTAAGGCATCTTGCAATTTAGAAATATAGTTATATTGATAGCATTTATACATACTACATAAAATAAAGATGCTTTCTGGGGACCACTGGTTGATTGGACAATTTTCCATGTAGCTTTCAAAGATTCTGATTCTGGATCCATATTGATTTAAAGAATCAAGATGTTCAATCTATGATGATATCAAAATAACAAAAAAAAACTAAATCTTGGTTCCAATCACATACATTTTTTTGGATGCTAGACAGACTTTTGTCTAATAATTAGAAAAATGAACTGCCAATATTAAAGTGGTGATTTACTTTGGTCTGATCTTCCCAGATCCTACCTGGATTCCAAACATTTCCAAATGGCTCTTCCCACAAGTTATGGGTAACTTGGGAATTCGCTCTCCTGATGCTACCAGCAAAAGGTAAGTAATTATTCTATTGGTAAAAGACAATGTTGCCTTTGTAAAATCGATCAAGCAATTGTATAAGGTTGGGGTGTTGAGATCAGTATCAAAATAAGCATGGATTTCAGTCAGGTAGTTGCCACTTTGATGAGCTTCAGTTAAGGTCACATTAGGAAAGTTGGTAAGTTTCAAATGTGTTGATTGCACATGCGGAAGGGCAAAACAAGATTCTTTTGCATCCATGCTTTCAATCTGCAACTTGGGGCCTGGTGGGGGGCGGTTAGAGACCTGGAAGATGTTAACTTACTCTCCTGTATATGCCTATTTTGTTTCCAGTTCACTTGTAATCACTCTCTGAGAAGAGCAATAAACACTAAATATTTAAGGGTAATGAAAATTTAGGCTGAACATCTACTTGTATGAACACGGCATGGGCAAGTTTTATTCTAGCTGCTCAGTGGTACCAGTGTCTGCGACTGTACATCCCACTGAGAAATATAAAGAGTCCCAAAGAGTAAAATTAAGGGTAGAGAACATCTGACCTCAATCATGGGCGTCAGGATAAGAAACGCGTAACACATATGGTCACAACTCAAAAGCAGTGATCTCGGGGTTACTGCAGACAGAGCATGGCAGCTGTTCAGTTGGACATCTGGATCTCTGGAGCCAGAACGGGATTGTTCTCACATGAGATCAGTCTACGAGAAGCTCAGCCCATCTTCGGTAACGGTTTTGAGAATCTGATCTCATCTTCATGTAGCGCCCAACAAATGGTAAATTTCTACATATACATAAGATCCTTGTTTCTGGAAAGTAAAGGTTGCCCAAAAGCAAAATATTAAAACAAGAAGGATCATTTTGGGGTTGTATGGCTCTGTCCAAACTGACCCTTCACCTTTAGTGCTTACACTCAAAAGAGATTGAGGATAATGTAAGGGTCTTGGCTGTCTGCCTGTATTATTTGATATCATCTAAATACATATAACTTTTTACCTACTTTTTAAAAGTTCAATTTCATTCCCTTTTCTGAGAAGAGCAATAAATAGCAAAATGTTGATGGGTAATGAAAGTTCAGCATATGCAAGTCTGGGTTAGTATGTAGGTTTAGTTGTCATCAATTTCAAATGGTGTATTATTAACTATTATAATTGGTAACTAGGAATTATGAAGTATTTGTATATTTAAACATATACATTCAGCTAATAAAATTTATCAGTGCATCAAATAAAGAAATTATATTTAAATTCTTAAAAATTACAAGATTAAGACTGGTGATACATAGAGAAGACTTTTGGATAGACATTTGAATTAATGGAAATAATTTCTTGGGTGGAAGGCCACCAGTGCGAAGTAACTTATGAATGTAAGTATGTGGTTGGCATAGTCCCTGTTCAACAGTGGAAAATTTTTCTAAAGCAGATCACAAAAGGTGTAATAAACAGCATTTGTATACTTACGTAGGCTTTTTTTGTTTTTAAATTATTTATATAACTAGTTGGTACAAATCCCAAACCATAAAACAACTGGGGTTATTTTAAACACAGTTTGAAGGGTTAAGCTGTTTGCTCAATTTACTTGATATTGCTATTTATGTAAGAATTGTACATCAATTGCTGTAACGGGCTGCAATTGGCTGGGGTGGGGGCTTAGCAAAGACTCTGAATGGAGTCTATTACATTACTGTAGTTGCTCAATAAATAAGTACCTTTCCAGGAAAACACACTTACTTTAATGTTATGACATAGTCTAATATTTAAATTAATTGTTCAGAAACTGAGAGAAGTTCTTGAAAAGATTTAGTTAAGATACTTTAGAATTGGAGAATTCTGTGTAGATTTCGATTTAGTCCATTCCTAAACAAATGAGAAGTGGAAACAACTTAATTTCAAACAAATATTTCAAATTATCAGTCACATATAATGGGGGGAGAGGTACAACATGTAAGATAAGAGGCCAAGACAAATTATATATGGCCATTAATCATCAGTCTTCCAAGGACAAAGAGATGGAATGATGCAATAAATCCCTGATCGCAGTTGGAGACAATGAGGGAAAGGTGGATGAGACTTAACTGTTCAGTGGTCATCAAACCAAAATCTTTCTTAAGCTGACAGTGTCAGAGTCTGGAGATGTTATTCTGAAACACAGCCTGGATGACTATGCGCTACTGGAATAGATAGAACAAAACGAAACTGCACGTGAAATGAGAACACAGAGCCAATGTCCCAATTCAGGCTGCTTCCGAGCACATGGGAGGAAGGAAAAGCAGGTTCAGAACTCAACCCTAAAGAAGTTCACACCGTTTTGATAATCAAATACCTGTTCTGCATTCCAAGCCAGAGAGAGGTGTACACCTATAGGTCCTGATTTACTTGGATGCCTCCGTGATGATCCTGATAAATGGGTGAAGAGTTCTGGTTAATAGAAGTCAGCCCGGCAGAGCGGGTGGGGAAGTAACCTCGAGTGGTAGGTAAATCAAGTATCTTTGGAAGCTGCTTTAAGCCCTCCACCTGGGTGACCCAGAGGACTGGAGTCATAGCTTGGACACCTGGAAGAATACAGAATACTGGAAACCAAATTTTAAAAGGGTACCCTTGTATATCATGTGCAAAAGAAACCACATTGTTTTGTTTGGGGATAGGAACTAAAGCTCAAAGGCAGCTACAATCAAGTGAACCTTTAAGGCATGGCTCTTGAACTTGAGCATTCATCAGAATCCCCTGCAAGACTTGTTACAACACATTGCTGGTCCTGCCCCCAGAGTTTCTGAATCACTAGGTCTAGGGGTGACCTGAGAATCTGTAGTTAACCAGCTCTCACGTGCTGCTGCCACTGCTGGGTTGGGAACCGCACTTTGAGAACTGGGAGTTTAAGGAATACTGGACAAAAGGATACCTATCTTACAGAAAACTAGGACTTGTTCTCAATGGAATCTAATCAGTAAGTTTACATGCAGTTAAAATAAAAAAATGAGCAATGACCACCACCGTTACTTTGCAACAGTCAAACTAACCTCACAAAAGACTTCTCCAATGGAAAAAATGGGAAACTCTTTCCACGGTACACATTGGCTTTATTGGCTGTGGTCTTAGTCAAAGCACAGAATGAACCTTGGCCAGCAGCATGAGGTCTCTCAAGCTTGCAGCTGTTGAGAGGAGGCTGCTCTCCCAGTGACTCTGGGCAGGAAGTGCCTCGTTAGAACCGATGCATCTATTTTATTCAGCTCAGAATAAAAAAAAAAAAAAGGCAAAACTCCCTAGGTTTATCCAAATTTCTTCTAAACTGCCCAACGTCCCAAAGCCACCATATCAGATGGTTTTACTGCCATGGCTGCCTGACTTCTGGTAACTGACAGCTTGAGGTTCAGAATGATGGGAAGTTTTCAAAATGCGAAGCCATCAGTCAAGCCTGTATCTTCACTCACAGTGGGCTTAATGATAGCATAAATAAAATGGAAATCCAAAATGACAGACAAGCACAGGGCACTCAGACTGAAAAGCATCTGAAAGGAGGCCCCTTTCCACCTGGATCCAAACTGCTAGGGAGCAGTCCACAAAGAACGTTAAAGATTAGTGTGACTTGCATCAGAAAGAGGACTCAACAGTGTGCAAGTTCACAGCACTTCTCGCCACGCCGCTTTCCAGGACCCGGCATCAGATAAAGGATGCAGTGCTACCGCAGTTCTTTTTTCTTTCAAGTCAACAGTTTAAAATGTGTGTTGTTGAAGGCAACCCAGCCTCCTCTGTGCTCATATCATTTTACAGAACTCCTGCCATCCTTCATTCCCTTCTCCAGCTAAGTGTTCAGCAATAATGGACAAACGAAATTTAAACTAGCATTACCACTACCCTGGGGATAACACTGAATACGAGTTATGCAGTATGATCTGATAATGCTTGGCTTCAAGGGCTGGGGGAGAAACAAACACAAGCACCACCTTGTAGAGGGGATATATTAGAAACGTAGAGTTTAAATCCTATGTGCAACGTGACACACATTTTGGGAACTGCTGTTTCGGCTTTCAGGTAAAAAGGTGACATAAATAGGTTCTCCTGATAGATGCAGTACATATAAACAAATACTGCTCTAAAAAATAGCTGTGAATCATCACACAAGGGTGAAGAGAAACAATCTTGTTTTACCAAAGGGAGGATTTCACCCCTTGTGAACAGACCAGCCTACATCGCTAGGGAAAAAAAAATCGATTAATTACTCATCTCACTAACTCTATGGTTGCCATTTATCCTGATGTCTTGAAACATAGGCACAGGACAAGCAGGTAGGACTCTGGTCCACAGGCTGGCCCAAGTGAAGGATATAAAGCTGCTTACAAAGATCCTTGAGGAAATTACTATGAATCGCAGAGAAAGAAATGAGAGAATGAGAGAGAGAGAGAGAGAGACACCTGGAGGAAATATTTCCAATTGAAATAGAGTATGTCAAGAACAAAGGGAGATGCACTATCTCGAAGTACAGATTTTCACCTTGTCGACCAAGTGTTTTAAAAATCATTTGAACTCCCGGTGGCTTTGTAAGAAAAGCAAAAACAAAAGGAAACTGTAATTTGATAGAAAACCTGATACTGTAACATTTAGACTTGTCCTTTTTTTTTTTAAAAAAAAAAAACCTTTTAAGAAAATATTAAGTCAGAATAAAAGGAGACCGTCCATTAGTGACTAATGAGCATATAATATATTCCTCCTTTCCCTCAAATTAAGATCTTTTCTTACTTTTAAATTATAACATCTGAACTGTTGGTAGGTTAATATCCACTAATTTTGTTTAAAAAATATTGCTTCAAGCCAGTATTCTGATCTTTTATATCCCGTCGAGTATACAGCTGACACAGAGCTCCAATATTTAAGGGTAAATTTAACTTTTTTAAAAAATTTAAATAATGCTAGTCAAAATGCTTTACTAAAGAATAATGTATGAAAGGATGTCAAGTCGTGGGGATCTATGGAGTGATGACAGAAGACAGTCTGGGCACGAATGTCCAGCATCTGCCAGTCTGAGAAAGACAGGGCATTCATTCTGGAATGGCAACTGTGTGACTTAAAACATAATGTTATTGTTCGAATTACAGGCGAGGAGTGTGGTATGGCTCTTTTTTGAGTATGGTAGCATTTTTTTTTTTCATGTTCCCGCCTCTGTGCTCACTGGTACAAGACTCTACCTTTTGAAAGGTGGAGGTCATCGGATTACATATTGTTCTGACTATCCTCCTGAAAGGGAACTATCCTGCTGCTAAGTTTAGAAATACAGTATTTTCCAGCAGAGAGCGAGGAAACAAGTTCTCATCCACAACTGTCACATGGCTTTGTACCATGTCAGAGTCAAACTGTGTTACAGAAGATACCCAGCCACAGAAATATTCCACCATGGGCAGCCAAAGACACTTGCCATTTAAATCCTTTTGCAATTGGCTGGCCCCGAAAGACAGGCAAGTGCTACAAGCCTCTGACAGTCTGCCCCCCTCACTGTAGGTCGTAGTTATTAGACTTCAAAGGCCAGTGGTTGGGGCTGATCTAGTGAATGCTATGAGTGACCTGAGTGGGGTTTGGATTTAGGGAGGATGTGGGCCTAGGTGTGGACAAAGCAGGAGACGCTAAGCTGGGGGCAGATGAGGTTAGAACTTGAAGGTCTGTCTGGCCTGGTCTCACCAGAGCAGAAAAATTGGTTTACTTTGTTACTAATCAAAAGCAAGGGAGACTTCTCTGAAATTTGTTTGGGGGCTTGGAATCTACAGTTCTGTTTCTAGATGTAAGCATTTCTCCTAGCCTTAAATTAGATGTGTCGTGTTTTGTACGGAAATGGAACTAAATGGAATCTTTCATGGTTTAAATTTCTTTTCTCAAATAGGGATAAGCTGATGTTTTTATTGCTAAACATTTGAGAACTTAAAAGTTGAAAGATGTAACTATTTTTATATCATACTTTGGTGCATGAAATGCCTTTATATACAAACTTTCCCAAATTTACTTTCCAGCTTACGGTTCATGGTTTAGTTTTGATCCAAGAAAACCAGATGCCTTTGTGAGGGCAGCTTCCTCATTTGAAGGTCATGAAAATCACAAATTTTCTTTCTTTCTTCTTAAAATTAAATTGAGAGGAAATACTGGGATAGTTTGAGGAGAGGGATGTAAGAATCTCAGAAAAGGAATAATTTACTCAATGATCACTCCTATTCTTGGCTATTATAGGGATATGGAGTTGGGTTTATAGTACAAATCCTGAGAAGAACAATTTGAGATTCCTAAATCCTTCTAAAAAAGGGTTTGCTAAGTAAATATACCACCTAATTATATGTAAGAATTGGGTCCCATTTAAAAAATATTTGCTATTTAACTATAAGGTTCAATATAGATTACAGAAAAAATAACAATTACTGTGACTCTAAATACACTATATATACCATTGACCAGAGCCTCAAAATGGAAAATGCATTTACCTTACTCGAAGGGATAAAAATGGAAAAAAAAATAGGCTTGTTTTCTTAGCTAGGTAGGTAGGCACTTTTAACCCACATAACCTTTAAATCCAAATGTCTTACATGTACTGTTTTGTTAAGCTACAGATTTTATCTCTTTTCTTAGTACAAATATGTAAATTATAACAATAAGAAAAGCTGGTAATCGATTCTGGGAAACTGGATGCATAAGATGTTATATAACCAACTGGTTTCCAACCTTTAAATCAGACACTAGTCAAGGAAATAATAATGTTAGCCAATGGGAAAAACATCCAGCCAGATTTCTCCCAGCTGTGTTTCTCCCCTCTGTGGCCTTCAGTAACTTCAGTGGAAGTTTAGTGTGTTTAGGGAGAAAGATGGCCAGAAGAATCAAAATTATTATACCAAAAAGGTCAATCCTCAAATTAAGTCTTGGACCAGGCTCACTGCAAGAATAAGGTTAATACCTTCCAATGTCCCATTACTATAAGCAATATGGCTGACCAGCCACAACTCAAATGGGGCTGATATCACAAGTTATCCTGCCAAAGGGGTGAGTGAAGGAAAAACAGTTGCTGGCTTTGAAATGTACAAATCAAGCTATTAGTGTTTCCTTAGCATTCCTTTTGATTTCCAACTTGAGCTTACGGTGACTGCAAGAGATAGGAAAAATCCTCAGAAAAGACAGGTCCTTGGATTTAATTCCATATAAACAGAGGGCCAAGGAATTTTGACAAAATTGTTTCTCACAAAAAGTTGACTTTGCCTTTGAAGTTCTTGTGTGTTCCATATTTAAAGTCAGACACCTTCATTCATCCAACAGTAGCACAGGGCCTTCAATAATATGATATAATGCCTTTTTTTTTTTTTTCCCAGATTCAAAAAGGTCTTTCATGAGATCCCTCTCCATTCTGTTATAAAAATCATCAGCTAATATGTTTTCAAGGATTTGCCAGGTAAATAATCTGTGTTACCTTCAACTTTCAGGCCTAACTGGCCTGATGTAATTTTTTTTTTTTTTTAATGGCCACAGATGTGTGAACAGTGTTTTAAATCAGTTCCTAATGAAAAGAATGGACTGCATGGAGTTCCTCCTGACACATCAAGGGAAAAGCTATTTAACTAACTTTTATCCATAGGATTTAAATAAAACCTGTTACTATTCTCCCTTATTTTCTCCCCAGTTAGTCATTTCGATCCAAGGAGATAAAATAGTATAGTGTTGGTTAAAGCATCAGTGAAAATACTGACCTAATTTCTCACTAACCCCCATATTATTCCAGTGTGACAGAGGTTCTGAGAAGTACGGGGACTGGGAACCGCTCCTTCAAAAAGGGTTACTCCCACTGAACCCCACATTGCTCATTAGCACATTAACAGCTTGAAGTCCTGAGGTTAGACAAAACCAAACCAAACCTGTTTAACGTTGTCTAATGCAGAATTTCTCCAGCTAGCCTGAACACATCACTCCTTTTTCCATGGAATCCCTAATGCCAAACAAACTGTGGGTCATGCACAGCTGGTTTTGTGTCTCTGTTTTCCTTCTTAGCACAACTACTGGCTCCTAGTAGGAACTCAATAAAAGATTTCGGTAATGGATAAATGATAAAATGCATGGCTGTCCTCTCAGAGGTTATGTAGATTGTGTTAGGTAATTTTTTGAGATCAAAGATCTCTGTCTTCTGCAGTGAGCACTGGCACTCAAGTTCAGAGACAAAGAGTGCCGTTTCTTCTGGACATTCAAGTATAGTAAGTGAGTAAAACATGGGGTTGTGGAAATAGAAGCATCTTTACAGCATGTGAGAAATCTAACAAGCAAGTATACGTTAACAAACACAAAAGGTAATTAGGAAGGTATTGCTTTATTGCCCTTGTCCCTCTGAAGAACATTCCCTAATGGCCCAGTGGGATTCAGTTCCTGGATGCTTTATTCTTAGTTAGCATTTAACAGAAATCTTTCTCCAGTGGTAGATTAGCATGTAAAAAGCAGAAGTTCTTAAAAACACTTTGATGTTGAGGAAGGCTGAGATGCAGAAAGTATATAGCGCCAGATTATATGGAGAACTCTTGCAGAGCAAATCTCATGACACAGGAGTTTGGCAACTGTGCATTTGGTCAGAGTAAACTGAAAGACGGTCCAGAATACGACTGAAGTGACTGCAGTGAGATATTTGGCCACAAAAAGATAAATAAATAAATTGTGCTATGAATTCTTTACAGTGTTCTACAATTCAGGTATCACTTGTAAATTCTTTATTGCTATTAAAAATGGATGATTGGAAATAAAATTTTAAGATACTGCATGTAGTAACAGACTGCTGAGATGATGGGTGTAACAATCCTGAGCGTTTATAAAGTGGACTGTCTAATGTTATATATGCATATCTCCATGACATGTTATAGCATGTGAGAATTAGGGAGAAAGCTTTTTTAAAAAATCAATGTATATAAACACTCCCTGAATCTAAAGTGCTGGCAACTTCTACCTCAAGGGGAACTCGTTGCCCTCCTTTTTAGCCAGTCATTTGTAAAAAAAACTCCCAATTACAAATCCAAATTTTGTTTGGAAAAATGTGACTGACCACACCTGAAGAATGAAAATGCAAAGTGAAAAGTATCTCTCTTTCTCTGCTGGTGTAAGTTGCCATTCGTGAGCTGATATTACCTGAATTGATTTAACTTCTACCATTCCCAAAGACCAAATATATTGTTCTTTCAGTCAGTGTTTGGCAATGCTGAAGCGCAGAAGCTGCGGATATGCCTGCGCAATAATCTGGGCCAAACTGCAACAGGGACAGATACGCTGTCATTTGTAAAACACTCATGTAAAGCAACGAATTACATTTTGCTTTTATTGCTTTCATAGTCCTCTTTCTTAGACGGTGGACTTGTTCCATCCATTGGTAAACTTGTGGCATCTTCCTTGATTGAAGGTGAATCTGGAGTAACTGCTCTTTTGGTAAGTGCTGGCAAGGTGAGAGAAAAGACAAAAATAAACCGAGATGAACAGAACCCCCAGGCTGACAAAATTGCAAGTAATCACTGTATCTAACCTAGTCTTCTGTAAACTTTACATGGACTAACAGACCTTCAATGTAGGAATAAACGCAGTACGTTTACTGTATTTTGGAAAACATCTATTCATAGGATTTAATTTGGGAGGGATATGAAGAGTATCTCAGAGCAGGAGATGTGTGTTTGGTCAATATACAATGATACAAAGCACACACACAGTGTTGGAGGGAGAAATCTTCAGGGCCTTCTTTTTACAGAATCTTCTTTGTTACACAAACTAAGACTAGATCCGGAATCTAGGTTTACTGTCTTTCTACAACCACTTACCTGTCTTTGAGTTCCGGATGGGCATGTCCCACTACCTATGGGAAATCCACCTGCCTGATATCTAATCTCTGATGCTTGCCCATCCCTTACTTTCTCCATCTTAGAAAGTGACACACTCATCCCCCCCAGCCCCGGTTTCTCAAACTTTGGTTCCCTCCTTCCTTTGTCCTGTCTGCTCCACCCATCCCATTTAAGGGTAAATTCTGAAGATTTTACCTCCCAAATTGACCCCAGGCCTCCAGCTCTATACCATCTCCATTTCTATCACCTCAGCCCAAGCCACCATTTTCTCTTTTCCTATTTTCATTGTGTCCCCTTCTCCACACCACAACCAGAATTATCTTTCAAAAAGGTAGATCCGATTATGTCACTTTCCCACATAACCCCTCCCCCCCAATCCTCCAATGGCCTCCCAGGAAACTCCGAATAAAATCCAAACATCTGACTGTGGCTGAAAAGGCTCCTGTGGAACTTTACCTCTCCTCTCCCTCTCTCTCTCTCTCTCTCTCTGCATCCCCTTTTCCCCCCCTCACTCAGAGCTCCATCTCTCTAGAAGACCATACCCGATTCTTCTCTGCTCTATCAGGAAAGCTCTTCCCACCCAATTTTAACTCAGCTGATTCTTGCCATTCAGGCTTCAGCTCAATTGTAACCTCCTCAGAAAGGAATCTCCTGATCACTGAAGTAGTCTGGTCCAGGTACTTTCTATCATTTTACCGTCATAGCACCAAACACCATTTAAAATTATTTGTTTACTTGCTTACTGCCTGTTTCTTCTATGGGATGAGGTGACGTTTTCTGTCTTGTTCACTTACTGTATCCTCCCTGAGGCCAGAGAGCCTCCTGCATAACCTCTTAGTAAATACTGTTTGAAGAAGTGAATACACTTACGGGATTTTTAAGAGATAGGCAATTGGGGATTTTCTAGCTGCTTTCTAGAAAATATCTACAGAGTACCTTGTGAATCGAAATAATCAGAACTCAGTTATTTCAAAATATCCGACACCTAACTGGTCAGGGAAAAGATCATCACACACACAAAAGTCACTATCACATGAACTGAAACTATAAAAAATGGAGAGACAAATGTTGTGCTTCCATAAAATAAATAAATCCTTAATGGACAAGAAAACAATTTTTTTTTTTTTGCCTTTATCAGTACCCTACATTTTGATTGTCATAAATCTTTGGCATTTTATTCTGCAAGTCTGAGGACAAACTACATATGAAGCAGTTCAGTTAGCCAGTGGATCCTGAGGTACAACATGGAAAAGAGTGTGCTGTTCTTGCTGTGGAGAAATAATTTTTCATCGGAGGGACTTAAACCCCCACTAAAGGCACTTCAGAACACAAACTGAGAACAGTAACTTTTCTTTTCATAGCAATGTAAACTGAGGTAAGAAAGCAAAAGAAAGTTCCTTTTAGTAACTTTCATTGACTTGCTTTTTAAAGAATATCAAGTTAAATTAATATGTAAGATTCATATTCAAATCCTACAATAATCTGAAGATAACTTTCCCACCCATCCACCTCTTGAAAAATCACAGTCCTTTCTTTTTTGGTTTGTTTATTTTAATAAACGTTATTGACAACAGTTTTAGAATTATAGAAAATTTGAAATCTGCATTTATTTTTAAAATTTAGTTTAGGGATACCAACTCCACAAACATTTGGCATTTTAATCTCAAAGGACTCGAGATTCGAGAAGTCATCAGATTACTACAGCCCTCCCTCAAATCCAGTCTGGTCCCAGCCCCAAGAGTGAGGGCCCTGTCTTGACAGTTGTGTTCCTTTAGCCTAAAAGAAGCTATACATGGAGACTAGTGGTCAGTCACTACTTATAAAAAGTAAAAATGACAGTTTCAAAAGCTGGCATTATAAGTCTCTCTTTCTAAGCCCCCACTGTCTAGAGGCTGAAGGTAATGGAATCCAAGCCTTCTAAAAGAGTGTCCTGAATCACGGCCATCACTTCTAGCCAGCCAGGATAAATTTGGTAGTAATCATGGCTCTAAAATAATGGATTTCTGTGTTCCTATTTCCAATGGTAATATAAACTTAAATTTATACATTTCTTCCCTTCTTCCTGGCAGAAGGAATCTACCTTTTCTTGAATTGACCTGAACTACACAAAGCTGACATAAATTACAACTTAAAACAAACTTTCATTAATGCTGGATCATTTCAGAGACCACAAATTATGCAGTATTTTCCCATTTCCTTTGTTTTTTCCATGGTCAGTGATTCTACGCTTTCGTTTGGTCACAGTTTGACAGGGCACCTAAGTCAGCAGAATGAATGCCTTCGCATCTACGGCACAGACAAAAGGGCCTCGTCCCGTACAGATCCCAACCTGAGTGAGAAGGAACCTGTTCTGTGGGCTCATAAACTCACGTCTGCCTCAGCACCTATGGTTACGTACTCCTCACGTCTCTGTATAGGTCTAAACTGCTCTAAACTCCAACCCCCAGCTTTCGTGTTCCATTCAGAAGGCAATGAGAAAATCAAACACTTGCTGGTTAGACATAAAAGCTGGGGTGTTGTTAGTAGCATTTTATTTTTACAAGATGCCTTTTCAGCCAAAGTGTGCATACACCTATCAAATAGCATCAAAGGGCTACACAGAAAGGCAGCAGCCTCTTACCCCATCTCGTCCAGTCCCCCAACCTGCACCCCAGAGTCAAGCACAATCAACCCTTTCAGCTTTTTTGTGTGTGTTTCTTTCAATTTTTGTAAGAAAGAGAAGCTTATATGGCTATTTTCTGACTTATCATTTATAGACGTATTCACGCCCATCCACTTCCCCTCACCCCATCCTCCTTGTATAGTTACATTTGAACTTCTAGTTGTGTCAATAGTGAGTATTTATAATATTATGTAAATATGGCTCACACAGACCTAATAAGTATACTATGACAACATTTCTTTTCTTACCCATTTTTCCCCTAGAGTTATTAATTGACCCATGTTTTTATTTTTGCTTTTTATTTGCTCTTTCTCTGTGACTATCCTTAATTATTTCTAATAGCTCAATGAGATCTGCCATATTCTAAATGCTCAGCTAAATCAAATAACCTGACATCTTTATTTTCTAAAGATTTTCCTAATGGAATCTTTCCTTTCTTCCATAAGGTTGAGAGAACTAAACATGAGTGTCCGGATTAAAAGTGACCACCCATCCAATAGCTAGAAAAGTGAATAAAGTAAGTCCTGCAGGGAGGCAAATCATCACAAAACTCACTGGGGTTCAAGAGAAGATCCTTAAATGTCGCAGGGCTGGGGGTTGGAGTGTTAGTAGTGGTGGAGAAGATCACTTCAAAGGAGTGGAGGTCAAAACAAAAGGACGTAAGGTTTTTCAACAGCAACATTAGATTTTGGAAGAGAACAGTGTAATGACTTCAGAAGGAAAGTCACTTTCAACCTAGATTTTTATAGCCAGCCAAAGTCTCGTCAAGTGTGAGCGGTGGAAGAAATCTATTTTCATAAATACAAAGACTGAAAGCATTTACCTCCCTTTCTTTGATGTGCTCCCACAGAAGAAAGAACTGAGACGAACAAAGGAAGGCATGCGTTCTGAGAAACCTGGGCATGAACATAGGAGGGGGTGAAGAAAAATCTCAGGATGACAGCCATGCAACAGGTATGGGCTGGGTGGGCCCTTCTAACCTACTCACTCCTGGCTCTTGTTCTCTCCTCTCAAGACTCGCTAATCAGGTACTATTCCTCTTGAAGAGATTTTCTAAGTATCTTTTCTCTTCTATTGTCCCATTCTTTTTCTTCTATTTTCTTTGTGGTTTTCACAACTTTGTCTTCCACCTTTCTAGTTTTTCATATTTTACATTTCTGAGACCTCTTATACTGTGTTCCTTTTTCATAGCACCTTGCTCTTATTTTTAATGGATGTAATATTTTCTATCTCTGAGAACATTAATGATATTTTAAAAGACATATTCTGTTCCCTGTATGATCGATTTACTGTAGGTTCATTTTTCTCTTTGTTGGTTTTGACATTTCTCCTTCTTAATCTTGGAGGTTTAAAAGAAGGTTAAAGAAAAATTACAGGATAATTTCTGTAAAGCTGATAAATTTCTGTAAAAGCTGAAACTGTTTGTGCTACAAAAATGGAGCACTATTCAGGATGATCCTGATCCACTTCTAAAATACCACATTATGAAAAAACATATAGAAAATTCAAGGTTCCGGAACGCCTGGGTGGTTCAGTCAGTTAAGCGTCTGCCTTTGGCTCAGGTCATGATCCCAGGGTCCTGGGATCGAGTCCCACATCGGGCTCCCTGCTCAGCGAGGAGCCTGCTTCTCCCTCTGCCTGCCACTCCCTCTGCTTGTGCTTTCTCTCTCTCTCCCTAATAAATAAATAAAAATCTTAAAAAAAAAAAAAAAGAAAATTCAAGGTTTATCAGAAAAGTAAATAAGAATAACTATGATCTCTAGAAATAAGTTTAATTCAATCATTTAAAATGATTAACAATAAGGTACCTATGATTAAATTTTTAAAAGTATCCTTGGAAGCATGGAGGTAGGTATGGAGGAAAATCATAAAACAGACTTGTCAAAAAAGAGGAACAGTAAAATATAAAGCTATGAATTAATAAATTAATTAACTTAACAATAAGTTAATGAAGAGGTTTAGTTAGTTTTTTTTTTTTTTAAGATTTTATTTATTTATTTGAGAGAGAGAGAGAGAAACAGCATGAGAGGGGATAGGGTCAGAGGGAGAAGCAGGCTCCCTGCCGAGCCAGGAACCCGATGTGGGACTCGATCCCAGGACTCCGGGATCATGACCTGAGCTGAAGGCAGTCGCTTAACCAACTGAGCCACCCAGGCGCCTGAAGAGGTTTAGTTTTTAAGCTGGATTTTTTTCAGTCCAGATTTTACAATGTAGACTATAATAAGTACTTTCATACCCAAGTTACATTCTCAATGATATTTTTTCCTATTCTTATTTAACTTTGTTTCCTTTTGAGCCAGTATTTATATAGAAACCTATGGCTTCCTGTGAGGAATGTATCTTAGAGAGATGACCACAGCTGGTCATGAAATGCCACTGAGTATAAAGCTGGATGTCATTTCTTTCACTGCTTGTCATAATAACAGTAAAAAAAAAAAAAAAATTCTAAAAATCTTGATGTTTTCCCTCTAATGTCTCCTAACCACTATTTCCTAGGTGCCTTTCTAGGGAGCCTTATGAAAGTCATAATGGGAAAGTGAAATAGCAGGAGAACAATGACCTCTGTGCCCATATCATGGTGCTATTTATCTCCAGGCTCCCGAATGTCTTAATGGGGGGGATACTATGATGTTTGATGATGTTTTGTCCTTACTCTCCGCCTACATGTTCACATGCATCCAACAGACCTGAGGAAAATTTTCCATTTCTTCGTATGAAACACAAAACATTTGTGTATGTGTATATCAGATTCTGAGGTACCATAATTGGCTTGAGATACAATCTACATTGAAGGGCAGCTGCCAGATTAGGATGGCAGGGGTTTATGCAGACATAAAAAATCACTTAGCAAAATGGTTAGGACAGGAAAGAGAAAATGTTCAGCCTTTGGAATAAAATAATCATGATATAATGAAAACCAAACCATTTATCAGAAACTGATAAATATTTATTCAATGAATCCATGAATATAAATCAGCAAAAATGAGAGCTATCACTTTTGGATCTGACCTACTTCTTTGTGGCTTATTTTGGTATTTTATTTTACAGCAACCTACATTTTTTAAATGACAGAGTTGTCAGTTTTAATATACAAACTCTATGTCCATGGTAAATTGAGGAGCTAAATAATTATTTAAATAAGAATCCATTAAATAATATTTGAGATCCAATGGTTTGGATAAAAGTGGACTTAAAAAAACTCATATATTCATTCATCTAATATTAATTGAGCATTTACTATGTTCCCAGTACTATGTAGGATGCTGAGGAAACAATGGTGAACAAAATGGACATCGTTCCTTTCATCACAGAATTCATTTCTTTGGTAAAGAGAATAATCACTAAACAAAAAGTCACTCAAGTAAAAAATAACTCCATAATTATTCTAAGAAGGGTTTTAAAGGAAAATTGTAATGTGTTATGGGCACTCATAATAAACACCATATTTAAAACCATAGGTTCCAAAGGCTTCTTTAAGGATATTACATACAAACTGAGACTTGAAGAGTAAGTATAATAAGGAAGAAGAGAGGTAAATGGTGGGGGAGGGTATCCTGGATTAACAAACTCACACCTTGTTCACACTGGTAACATTTTATCAACATTTAAAGTATATTCACAGAATGAAATCTAGCCACTAAGAGTATTAGTGTTCTTATTCTTTGCACAAGATGATATATTTCTGAACAGTTCTATGAAAAGATTTTCTACTTTTTGATGATTTAAATTTTATAATAATATCATCTAACTGCCTTTGCCCACTCATCCACAGTTACCAGCAACCTCCACACAAAAAATTTGCTTAATTAAGATTACTACCTTGGGTGATTCATTTTAAGTTTTTCTGAGAAGTGTAACGTCTAAAAAGAAGATATTCCATACACTTTTTAGTAAATTGGGTAACATAAATGTATCTGGGGGGCATTATTTGTATAATTCATAACAACAATTTCTTTAAACTCCTAACACGACTATTACTATCATGTACTTGCCTTACATTTTAATCTTTCTATGAGTTGCATTTCCTTAAATCCAATTTAAAAACTGGTACAGGACTTCATTACTTACGATTCAAGTGTGAAAACTGTGGACTAGACAGGAAGCGACTGTGATCACGCCAAGAGAATGAGTGCTCTAACCCATGAGCGAGGGAACTTTCAGGAAAGAGTCTGTCATCCTAAAACAAAGAACGCAGCACTTCAGTTCAATGATTACAAAATGTAAGGATCAGGATTCATTTAAATGTGCTGAAAATGAAATTGAACCTACTATATGAGCTATGTTATACAACAATTTAATGGTAAAAAAATAAGTGCACGCTAAAGAAAATATTACAAAAAAAAAAAAAAAAGGGAGAGAGAGAAGGAAATCACTCATGGCCATAACAGCATGACATATTTCTTTTGAGTCTTTTTTTTCCTGTGGCTTGGTTTTGTAAATGTTGTTATAAAACTGTGTTCTTCATTTATGTATACTAATACTCTGAACACTTTTGAAGTCACTATGTTACCTTAACCTTTAGCTTATGTGTTACTCATGTACTATCTAGTGGATAAACTATGGTTTCCTCAGCTATTACTTTATTGGGCATTTAGGTGGTTTCCAATGCTTTTCTCCTATAAATAACAATGTGAAAATATCTTTAAATATATAACCTTTTCTATATTTAGGACTATTCCTTATAACAAATTCTTAGGTAGAAATACTGGGTCAAAAAAACCCAATTTGATGTTTTTAAATACACTTAGCTACACTGCATTCCATAACGATTATACCAATCCTCTTACTCATTCAACAAATATTTAATACATAAACAAAGATGAATATAGAAAAAGGCCCTCTCCTCATGGGCTGTATGAATGTGTTCTTGTACCCAAATCTTAGCTGAAAATGGGAATTTTAACTACAAATAATTTATTAATTAGATTAAAAACAAATGCTTTAATATGTTTTCTATAATAGTGAACTTGCAGTTTTTTTTCTCTTGGATGTGTTCTAATTATTTACACTACCCTTTACTTTTTTCTTTTTTTCACTGATTCATTCATGCAACAATAATTTATTGGGCACTAAGTATGTGCTGGTCAAAGAGCAAACAAAACACTGAGGTATACAGTTATGAAACCTTCAGGCTTGCAGAAGAGAAAGGCACCAAATAAATAAACTATGCAAAATATAATATAATGAAAAATTACAATGAGTGCTAGAAGAAGAATAGGAAATAGTTAAATTTAGATTAGAGGTCCAGAGGAGGCCCCTCTGGGATGTGACATTTAAAGCAATATTTGAATGCTGAGTATGAATCAGCCAGGCAAAAGCTTACGGGTGGAGGATGAGAAAGTGGGAGGCAAGGGGGAGCAGGAGATGGTGGTCGGGGAATGATGTCCCAGACTTGTGTGAGGGGCTGAGGTGGGAAAGTTTGGTGTGTTTGAAGAACTGAAGGAAGGTCCCTTGGCTTCGGCACACTAAACCAGGGAAAGTGGTTACAATGAGATCCAGAGGTGAGATTTGGATTTGGGATTTTTTTTCTTAGGTACGATGAGAAGGCACTCAAAGGTTTTAAGGAGATTTCTATTTAAATTTTAAGGAGATTTAGGGGCGCCTGGGTAGCTCAGTTGGTGAAGCATCTGCCTTCAGCTCAGGTCATGATCCCAGGGTCCTGGGATTGAGTCCTGCATGGGGCGCCCTGCTCAGCAGGAAGCCTGCTTCTCCCTCTGCCTGCTGCTCCCCCCTGCTTGTGCTCTCACTCTCTCTCTCTGTCAAATAAATAAATAAAATCTTTGAAAAAAATGAATAAATTTTAAGGAGATTTAAATTTATATTTCTCAAAGATACTCTGGGCTCTATGTGAAGAGACTGAAATAGCACAAGTGTTGAAGTGGGAAAACCAGTTTAAAAACTGTAATTGAGGATGACCGTGGGGCCAAGGGAGAGGAGGGGATCAAGAATGCTACCAGAGTCTAGATGAGACATCTGCAGGTTAGGTGGCCCCCATGGATTCCTCCCAAACTTTGCCCCACAGAATAGGGCCTCATGCCACAGGACCATTTGATGAACTAGTCGTCATTCTCCGTATCAAGTACCAAGTTTATATTTTATTTCTTTGTCACATATGTATGTATGCAAATGCAAAAGAAAGGCCAAAAAGAACAAGTTTATGTATAGTGGTAAAGGCCTATTATTTCTGAACTAAAAGCATGGACATTATCCTCAGATAATTCAAGATCATTAGCCTGCATGTACCAAGAGGGAGTTTAGGTCTATTTAAGATGAAGGCCCTGAGTGATTTATGGTTTTTACTAATTATGGGGATTTCATAAGAAACTAGAAGTCATTCAGTGTACGATGTCTGGAAAGGAAAGGATATACATCGTGTCCCCAGTGCATTCCAGTAACTACTTTGAATGAGCTGACATGGGGCAACTAAAGGTGGGGCCAACAGAGCTAGCTTATCACAGTTCAGACACAAAACACTTAAGGCCTGGATATGGAGTTGGAAGATGCACAAATGAAAAGGAGAGTTATGTCCTCAACCGGTGCTAGAAATCTCCATTTAATTAAGCGTGGTTTCTATGAAGCATGAAAGAGAAAAGCATAATAAATGGCTTCCCACTAACAGATGCTTTGATCATTATGGGCCAATAAGAAAAAGAAAAAATAAGGGAAGCAGTGGAGAGAGCAAGAGGGGAGCTGTAGGTCTGGGCGTCGTGCTGAACGAAACACAGTGCAAAGACAGCCTTAAAATGGGCCTACCAGAGGAAGGATACAGAACCCGAAGACATTCAAATCCTATTCATCCTTCCCAAAAGACATGGTTTTAAATTTCTAAAACAAAATCAACTGGTATCAAGACGTGAGTTATATGTTTTCTGTTTACAGAAAAAGAGTAATTTATATTTTCAATGACAAAACCAGCTTACTAGCATATGACAAAATATTTTAGCAAATTTGGAAAGTACAGAAGAAACTGAAAGAAAATAATGCAATAAATTAAAAAGTAGCCTACTAGCCTAATTTAAGGGTATGTTTTTGGATTCTTTTTTTTTTAATTTTTTATTGTTACGTTAATCACCATACATTACATCATTAGTTTCTGATGTAGTGTTCCATGATTCATTGTTTGCATAAAACACCCAGTCCCCCATGCAGAGCGTGCCCTCTTTAATACCCATCACCAGGTTAACCCATCCTCCCACTCCCCTTCCCTCCAGAACCCTCAGTTTGCTTTTCAGAGTCCATAGTCTCTCATGGTTCGTCTCCCCCTCCGATTTCCCCCCTTCATTCTTCCCCTCCTGCTATCTTCTTCTTTTTTTTTTTTTTAACATATATTGTATTGTTTCAGAGGTACAGATCTGTGATTCAACAGTCTTGTACAATTCACAGCATTCACCATAGCACATACCCTCCCCAGTGTCTATCACTCAGCCACCCCATTCCTCCCACTCCCCCCCACCACTCCAGCAACCCTCATTTTGTTTCCTGAGATTAAGGATTCTTCTTTATAAATACCTTTTTGTCTTGAGATTACCATTTGTTGACAATTTTATTTCCTACTTTTTCATGTAGCATGGGAATTTTTTCTACCATCGTCATTATCATCATTATGGTTATACCATAGTTTATTTGACTAATCTCCCATTGTTGGAAATGCAAGGCCGATTTCAGGTTTCTTTTTTTTTTTTTCCTGTTATAATTTGCTAAACATCTTGGTATGCAGAGCTTGGTCCACATTTTAAATTTATTAACATAGATTTCCAGAAGTAGAATTATGAGGTAACACATTTTAAGGGTGCTTTTTAATAACCATTTCATCTAAATTGTCAAATTTATTGTCAGTATGCTGATACTCATAACATTTCCTAAATATTCTTTTAGTGTCTGTGAGAGTTCTAGTAACATCCCTCTTTCATTCTTAATATTGGCAATTTGTATATTCTCTCCTTTTTCCTAATCAATCTGGGTAGAGCTTTAAAAATTTTACTGATCTTTTCAAAAAACCTGGTTTCGTTTTCATGCCCCTTCCCCATTTTCCTGCTTTCTATTTCATTGATTTCTGCTCCTATCTTTATTATTCTCTTCCTTTACTTTATTTAGGTTTGTTGTTTTTTTTTTAGTTTCAAGCTTGGATTATCGATTATCAACTTTTCTTCTTTTGAAATATACACATTTAATGTTATAATCTTCTCTCCAAGCACTATCTTAACTGAGTCCCAGACATTCTGATAAATTGTACTTTTATTTTTATACACTTAAAATATTTTCTAATTTTCCTTTTGAACCCCCAATGGGTTATTTAAAAATATGTTGTTTATTTTCCATCTAGGAATCGTCCAGATATCTGTTATTGATTTCTAGCTTCATTCCATTGTAGTTAGATGACATACTTTGCATAATTTCAATCATCTTAAATTTACTGAGATTTGTTTTATTGCCCAGAATACAGTCTATTTTGGAGAATGTTAGATGTGCACTTGAAAATTACATGTAATCAGCTGTTGTTACGTGGAGTATCCTATAAATGTCAGTTAGGTCTAGTTGGCTGATAGTGTTGCTCAAGCTTTCTATATCTTTACTGATTTTCTGCCTACTGTTTTATCAATTACTGAGAGAGGGATGTTGAAATCTTCAGCTATAAGTATAGATTTGTCTATTTTTTCTTTATGATTCTATCAAGTTTTGCTTCATATATTTTGACACTCTGTTAATAGGTACATACAATTTAGGACTGTTATCCTTTCCCTTTAAAACTGTTGACTTTTTCAAACCACTCATATGCCTGTTTTTCATGTATAGAAATGAGGAAGCTTAACTCTAATTCAGCTTTATGTTGCAATATTTTATAGGTCTTCAAAAGACTATCAGACTCCCTCATATCACCTTGAAACGTAACTAATGAAATGAACTGTAAAAGAATACCCCCAAAGAAAAATATCTCACAATCCCTTTGAACAGTCAACATACTAGAATTTGGAAAAACCAACCAACCAACCAACCCTCAATTTTCTCCAATTTTATATTGATATTTAATTTGTGGAATTTCTATACAACTAAATTTTACAAGGTAATCTTAAAATGAATGTTTCTTTTGAATTCTTACCCATCTTTCAATCAAATACTTAAATATTTAATGGAAGTACAGGTTAAAAAAGGAAGATTCTTTGCAATTTTAGGAATCCTAGCTTTTGCTTTTTACCAATTCTTATATCCTTAGCACAAGGACCTATTTTTATTGCTGTCTTAAGTCTCAACAAGCTAGTTAGCCAGAATTCCCTGCAAAAATTCCACTGGGTGAAGGGACTTGCATTTTCTAATATTTTCCCTGGGTTTCTTCCACTTCTCTTTCATAACCCACATTGTAATTGGTTTCTTAAAAGCTGTTCCAACCTGACTAAATCTCTTTGCTAAACTGATCTCTAATGATTAATATTTAATGACGCCCACCAAGTATTTTTCTCTCAGGAATATTTTAAGTTCAAAGTTTAGAAGACAGATGATACATGTGATTTTTTTTTTTAATTTTAATTTATCTAACCCTTCCCCTGGAGAGAAGGAAAAAAAACACTGATGTGTTTCTGAATCTGTGGCAGCAATGTTTTCCTGAATTTGTCTCTTGCCTAACAACTTAGTGTACCTCCATCTCTTCCCCACTCTTAATTCCCAATTCTCCATCAGTGCTCGAAAAAGCTTAACCTCTTCTTCAGTAAATTTTATTCCTATTTGAAAGTTCACCCTGGCAGATAGTTTGCTTAAGGCCTGTCTTCCCTATCTCGATCTGCATGGATTCAATTTTAGCTTTTAACCTCAATGAGGGTGAGGCTTTCCTTGTCTCAATCCTTCTACCTACCCATCCAAATAGTCCAGAATTTAGCACAGCACCATTTGCAGTAAGGAACCCAAAAATGGTCATATATGCTCATTTCTTGGCCAAAGTGAAGAAATTAAAGTTTGCTATGGTTGAAGCTGGGAAATAGGAGACTGCCACTCTCACATTCCAGTTTCTTCATGTTGAAAAATGAGGTTGCTGGAGCAGATCATGTCTAAGTCTTCTGGGCACTAACATTTGATGATTCTAATCTGTCTGAACAGAACCATTGAAGAACCAGTACTCTATGCAAATGATCTTTACCAGAGGAAATGCAACAATACCAAAAACCCAAAGCCACACCTGTCCACATGAAGGGACTCACGAAAATAATGTGCCAGATCAGGCTATTTGATTAATTTACCTTTATCCAATTGATATTTTATTATATATAATTTAATATTCCTAGTGACTCACTAATGAAAAAGATTGTAATTGTTTTTTTTAACATACTTTAGATTTGGACCTATATGGCTTTCATCCATTTTCAGAAATCAAATCTACTCACAGTGGATAAAAATTTGCCATAAATAAGGATACTCAAGAGGATGTGCCACTAACTTGGGAATCAAAGGAAGAAATCAAAGATGTTTTAATCATGGTGCTTCATTGGAATCAGTGCTTCTTCTCTTAAGGTGACCGTTGTAAAGGAAACAATGCTTATTTGGATAAATATGTTATGAGATTTTTAATTAAGACTAATAAGACATTTAATCAATATTCCTTATATTTTTAGCCTCTAGAATTTTTAGCGACTAAAAGTGTTACCTTTACAGGTGAATTTCTCTACAATCTTTCCTAATGTCCTTGTTTAGTAAATTATAGGTAAGGTGAAAGTATGGTGCTTATCAAGGGAACTAAGTTTGGTAGAGGGCAGGCTCTAGTAGGTTAAAAAATTAAAATGCTCATCTAAGTATCTGTGTTGATTCCTAAATAAGCACCTTTGACTCACTGCTATTTTCAAATTTTATAACAAAGAAAAATTCCAATTCATTTGGCAATCTTTTGTTTAGAGCTAGATGAAATCAACTAGTTAAATATTATAGCTGGCAAGTTAGTATTGATCACTTCAAAAGAATAAAAATCTCTTTAGGCTTCTGCATGATTTGTTTGCCTACAAAGTTTCAGATGTGTCATCTAAGCATTACTGGAAAAACAGCATTTAAATTTTTTGTGAGAATTCCAGAAAAGCTGAAGCTAGGGGGAAAAAAAACCTATTCACCAATTTAGCACGTGTAGTATGCTCACTGTGTATTCTGGAGTTAAAGATGAGGCACAGTGTCCTCAAAAGTCATATAATCCAGTAGGGCAGCATTTCCCAAATTTCAGTCATCACCTATAGTTATACTTAGTATTTTTTTATGTTAGCTTAAAGATTAGCCTTGCACCCTAAATCGCTATATAGGAGAGGCTTAAAGGATGGGAGACTGGTTGGGGATAGGGGAAGCCTGCAGTTGTATTTGCACAGCAGTTTATATATGATTTCTCATCTAAGCATGGAGAGAGGTGATTATAAATGAGATACCTGGAGTATTATGGGGTTAAAGCTCCTCAAATTCTCCCATGGTTGCTGCTATTGTTTCTAAGCGACATCTGTAAAATTACCTCAATAACAATACACTGGTGATAGATTTTAAGAGTTATTAAATGAACATCACCTCTAATCTTGAATTGCACCAGGAATTATGCATAGCATGCAGCAGCTACTACTGGAGAAGATTTAAGCTATGTACAGAAATAGCTGACCTAAGAGAGGAAGTGCTAACAGCCATTAACTGCCATGAGCAAAGTATAAACAAATCATGGAGAGATTCAAGGAGGGAGAAACAGCTTCCAGGAGCAAAGCATGTACTTATATCATACAAATGCTTACACTGAACAAATATGACAAAGGGCTTTGGCTGCAGTTTCTGTCTGCAGAAACTGTGCCGAAAACCATTGTCAACACTTCCTCACCTACCCCATCTTATCCTGCAAAACATCTGCTTCTTTAAAAAGACATTACGTACTAAGTCTTCAACTAGAAATTGAAAATTACAATTTTCCTTTCAGGAGGAGGAATAAAGGGGAGGAAAAAAACATACCTTCTGTGATTTTACTATAAAATCCCCTGCTAATTAAAACTGTATATTTAGTATGGGTAGAGAGCAAAAAAGGGCGGGCAGCAAATGGGGATTTTTTTGGACAAAACCATGCTCCTCTGTGAATTCAGATTAGGAATGCTATGTTGACTTTTGAACATTCTGTTCTATTTGAAACAGCTGGGACAGCAAGGAAGACTGTATGTTTTACAGAAACCCAATTTGATGAAAGAGAGGCCATGAAAGGCTTCTGGTGTCCACACGGAGAGAAAATGTCGTGTCAGATTCAGCTTTGAATTGCATTCTAAACAAACTTTTAGAGCAGGCTTTGTCCAGTTAACTTGGTCAGCTCAGTACAATATTATATTATGCTCTCAGAAACTGTGGACATTGATCCTACTGAAAATTTTGAAAGCTTTATAGAAATCTAATTTTTTTTTTTTTTTAGTTTTAATTTAAATCCCAGTTAGTCAGCATACAGTGTAACGTTGGTTTCAGGCGTACAATCCAGTGGTTCAACACCTCCATACATCACCCGGTGTGCATCCTGACAAGCGCCCTCCTTAATCCCCATCAGCTACTTAACCCATCTGCTCTCCATAGAAGTAAACAGCAGGAGGCTGCTGTAGCCTAGACAGAGAGTACCTGGCTTGTCTACTTCCTGCTCACCGCTCTCTCCACCACCAGTGTGGTTATGCTGCATGTCTCACTGCTTTCTTACAACAGCAACAAAATGAGAGAAGCCAGTTGCCAATCTGGTTCTGATGTGCCAACAGTTCCTTGTCTGTCAAGAGTCATGCAGTCAGGGTTCTACAACCATAATGTTAATAGTGATCCTCTTCCAAACCACTGTGCATAAAACTCCCCTGTGCCTTGTCATCATAAGCCTCTTTTCAAAAGCCTTTGTAGCTGTCACATGCTCTACGTGCATTAGCTCATTTAATCCTCGCAGCAACCCTGACAGGTTGGCCCCGTTATTTGTCCCCTTTTACCATTGAAGGTTATAGAGCAAATAAATGGTGGAGCAATTAAATGGTGGAGGTAGTGTGTTGACTACCTTTTCTCTGAACACCTACAGCAATTTATTGAGGCCTCCTCCATTACAGGATTTAGCCCTTTGTCTCTTGCACTACAGTTTGTGTGAAGGCTTTAAATCCCTAAGGGTTGGTAATGACTTTTCTTCTTCTGCCATTCTCTCCAGCTGCGCCCCTGCCCCGCAGAGTGCTTGTATGTTATAGAAACTCAAATGTTTGTTGGATGTTGTATTTAAACAACAACAAACACCAGTGTCCTGCAATTAGAATGGAAGCTCCAAAGAGGCAGGGGGCTTCATCTGTTTTGTTCACTGATGAGTCGCATGCACCTAGTAAGTTCCTGGCACATAAGGGACACTGAGGGAATATATGTTGAATGCATGGGTAAGTATGAGGACTTTCCAAAGAGCGGGGGAAGTAATCATTTGATCGGTAAATCAAGAAGAGGACATACTGTATACATGCACACAGGAAGAAAGACGAGGTTGGTAATTTCTCCTTTCTTGAGACCAGGGGTTGGCAAACATAGTCTTTCGAGGGCCAGATCGTACACATAGTAGGCTTTTTGAGCCATCTACTCTCTGCCATACCTACTCGACTCTGCTGCTGAGTGTGAAAGCAGCCACAGACGATATGTGAATAAATGTGTGGCTGAACTTCAATAAAATTTTATTTACAAAAGCAGTCAGCAGGCAGGATTTGCCTCATGGGAGGCAGTGTGTTGACTCCCGCTCTAACACAATGGGGCAAGAATTAATCTCTTCCGTAAGACAAATAGGTAACCACTCCCTCCAGGAAGACCATGCCTTTGGCATCTTTATATGTCCTGCATCCTCACCTCATTTAGGTAGTACAGGGCGTTGTGGTGTAGTAGCAGCTCAGTATGTTTGTCGAATTAAACTGAATCCTATAGTAACTGATTTCCTGGAACCGCAGTTGTCAGGAGAACCAACAAATTCAAGTCACTGCAATGTGCCTTTTCTTTGAAGTCTCCTAGCAGAATATGTGGGCAGTTAATAGCTGTGGAAATAATAGCATATAAAACTAGGGCAGCACCTTCTCTCTTGACAGAGGACCAATGCCTCTTACTTGAAGCATATCCTTCAGGATGTCAACTATTAACCGGAGGCAGCTCTTCTGATTATCCATGAAGCCAAGAAACGATTAACAACTGTCTCACTGCCCATCTGAGCTCTTGCTTCTTTTGAAACATTTTCAGTGAATTATTTTCATAAAAGGCATAGTACCTACAACTGGCCAAAATATGCTCCCACATTTTCTTCCCCAAAATATGATCTTCTCATGGGTGCTGAGTTAGATTATGCATTATTTTGGGCCAGACATCTGTTACAAATGGTGAGAGTCTACTTATTCATTACTGAAATGGATCAATGTTTTACAATGTTTAAGTAATATTAATGTAAGAACAAATGTCATCATAAAATGTGCTTTGCGGCCTTTTCTTATACTTGGACTACCTACTTGCAAAATTTTGCTAAGTGTTGGCCTCACTTACAAACCAGGCCTGATTTCTTCTTCAGCTGCAAATGTAATTTTAAAGAGAACTCCAACAAGATTACTTGCTGAACATGTTAAACATTCATAGCTTTGCCATATGCTGTTATGGAAATTACACTGATTTAAAGCAATTTGGGTATCACTAGATAGTACTGACTCACCTGATACCCAATCTATCTGTAGTGAGAAATAATGTTTTAAAGGTGTCATTTGCGTCTAGACCTCTGTTGAACTAAGAGGCCCATACTGTGTTTATGTATTTTTGGAGACAACGGATTTTCACATATTAAAAATATGGTCCAACATTTGGTGATTTCTAGAAAAATTCAGGTATAGGAGGCCCAAATTTACACTATTATAGCTTAGCAGTCAAGGATATAGATTACCGAAGCCAGGCAGATTTAGGTCTTAAACTTGGCTCCACCATTTAATTGCTCTATAACCTTCAATGGTAAAAGAGGATAAATAACGGTGCCAACCTGCCAGGGTTGCTGCGAGGATTAAATGAACTAATGCTTGTAAAGCATGTGACAGCTACAAACAGAGCACCTTCACGTGGTTGGCTCAAAATGAGTCGGTAGTATTATTAGCTATTGCTGCCTAACCCTCCTACTTCTGTTGAAGGTTAGCAGCATCCCGTGTAAGTGGTGGAGAAATGCTTGAGTGTATGGGACCTGATGAGGCTGTTGGAAGATGATTTAGTGAAATTAGGATCCGCTATACAAGACAACAAGGTCACTGTTATAGTCAATAATCCCCAATGATAAAAAAAACAAAGGGAAAAAGGCACAAAGTCACAGGACACCCTTTGCACAATTAGAGCATCAATAATGTGGCATAACTGTGTTGTTTTTACTTGGGATGGGAAAGTGGAGAGCTCATTTTAAGCATGCTAGGGAAGGACTTATGGACATGAACACTGTCTTTAGATCCACTGAGCATTCTATCCAATTACATTCAAAGGACGGAAGAAGCTTCTTAGAAATAATTACATTCGGCTGTAATAAGTGAATATATACAGTGTAATGAATATTCATACATATTGAGGTCTGTGAGAATATAAAAAAGACAGAAGAACCTTTACCTTTTTTTTTTTTTTCGCCCCTAACTTGACTTGGGAGTAAACATTTGAATATAGATGGATTCTCTCTACGTCAGTGTTCTGAATGGGGAGACAGTTTTGCTCTCTAGGGGATGTTTGGCAAGTGTCTGGAGACATGTTTTGATGCCATAACTTGTGATGGAGGGTGCCACTCGCATCTGGTGAGTAGAATCTAGGGATGCTGCTAAATGTTCTATAATGCGTAAGACAGCCTCCACAACAAAGAATTATCTGGTCCAAATGTTAATGCCAAGGCTGAGAAACGCTGCTCTAAGCTAATAACTGTTCAGGACCAAATGGGTTTAAAATCATCCACACCCCAGGTGGATCTTGGGGAGACTCTAGAGAATGGTAGGCTTTTTTGTCAATATGGTCAACTCTTTCAAGTCTCCTGTGTTGATTCCACACTAATGAACCATAAGCTGAAGTAGTTGTATGGAGTTCACATCTTCAGGAAAAGAATGATTATAAATGCCAAGATTAGAGTTTACAAAGTACTACGTGTTACTTGACCTTCTGGAGACTTCAGCACTGAGAGTAGCTGGACTTACTACACACAGAGGTGGGCATCCACCTGTGCTGAGCCTCTGACCAACCAAGAGACCAGGGGTCTCCTGGTACATGATTTCTTAAGCAACATCAATGCCAAGAGACAAACAACATGTTAAGCAACAATGGCATAAAATTAAAGATAGCTCCCAAGTAAAAAGTTATAGGTATAAACCTCTGGAAATTTTATTCTCTACTCCCACAGAACTGAAAATTAAGGAATATCTTTTCTTTTATAAGCACCCTTACATTAACCCTGCAGGGGCAGCTTAGAAGGCTGTAGCCACAAACATGGATAATGCTCAAAGACTGAAAATGTATAAAAAGGACATTACTTTTAAGCCTCTGACTCTGTACTTGGTGTCATCTTGGTGCTGCTGAAGAGACTCTCCGTGAACTCTGTATTTAGAATATCTCCCATCAATTCTCTCAGAAAAACTGTGGGAATCCTGAAAAAACAAAAACAAACAAACAAAAAACAATGTCAAAACCAGTAGATGAAAGGAAAATCAGTACTTGAAATAAGAATTAGAAAGTATTGGGGCGCCTGGGTGTCTCAGTCGTTAAGCGTCTGCCTTTGGCTCAGGTCATGATCCCATGGTCCTGGGATCGAACCCCGCATTGGGCTCCCTGATCACTGGGGAGTCTGCTTCTCCCTCTCCCACTCCCCCTGCTTGTGTTCCCTTTCTTGCTGTGTCTCTCTCTGTCAAATAAATAAATAAAATTAAAAAAAAAAAGAATTAGAAAGTATTGATAATTATAGGTGTTTAGAAAGATCTCGGGGAACCATAGGTCACCAAGGAGAAAGAAGGAAATGGTTGCTCTGGATGCTACCTTAAAAATAAAAACAGGGTTACAGTTTGGTTATTTGCATTCTTTTCACAACTAGTTCTTATGCAGTCTGAAATGACTGACACTTTTAGCTGAAGGGAAACAGGTTCAAGTAACAGTGAGTTGTCCAAAGATGGTCATTAATGACACCACGTCACTTTCGAATGCTGCGTACTCTCTCTTGGAGTAGTGCCTGACATTAAAATAGTCTGTGTTTAAAAAAAAAATGTTACTGTGGCACCTGGGTGGCTCAGTTGGTTAAGCATCCGACTCTTGGTTTCAGCTCAGGTCATGATCTTTTGGTCATGGGATCGAGCCCCGTGTGGGGCAGGCTCTGTGCTCAGTGTGGTCTGCTCCAGATTCTCTCTCTCCCTCTCCCTCTGCCCCTCCTCCTCTTGCACATGCACGCTCTCTCTCCCTCAAATAAAATCTTAAAAAAAAAATGTTACCTTTAAAACTAAAGTCCTCTTTCATCATTAATTCTTAAACAACATTCTACCCTGTTAACCAATACATCACGTAGATTTTTAAACTGAAGGATACTTCATCTGCTCTCAAAAGCACAGAGATTCAGGTAGTAAAGAAATTAAGAAAAAAATGTCATTCATTCATTCATTCATTCTTTCCCCCCTCTCTCCTTCCCTTCTTCCCTTCCTCCATTTTTTGGGGAGAGGATGGAATGTAGCAGTCATGATACCCAGTTATTTAGACATTTCTATTATGAATTAGGGAGAAATTAGAATAAAATGAGAGCAACTGATCTGCATATGTAAGAAAAATTATCTGTGGGATTTAGTTCCCCAAATAGTCCCAAGAAACTTATTGAGTGTTCAAGCTGGAAGGGGTATTAGAATTCCAAAATTCTCATTTTTATATATAAAAAGTTATAGCCCAGTGGAAGTTAAGAATGATTTGCCCAAGACTAGGCAATTTGTGACAGATTTGGCTTGGAGCCCAAAGCTATTTCCTTTCTACCATACCAAATATGTAAGGTTTAAATGTGGAATTGTAGAGTTGAACAACTTCTTTCAAAATAAGGTTAAAAAAATGAGAGGGCCTATGACCTGTTTAAAGAAAAAAGGCAAGACTACCTAAAAGGATGAGATTTGTACTTACTATAGCTTATACTTACTTAGTCAGAGACCATAGTATTATCAAGAAATATACATGTGAAATATATCTTCACAGAGATGCTAGTAATACCAGTGTGAGTACGAGCCATAGAGATAACATTGCTCAAGCCCCTCATTCTACAGATGAGGAAATACCAAAGATATTAAATAATTTTGTCTGGTACATGAGCTCGGAACAGAGCTTACATCTTTGGGCTCTTGTTGACAGCATCTTGATTTTTAGAAAGTTTTAGGGGCTTGAAAAACATGAGCTACATCTCATAATCCAAAGGCTTCATGCATTTTTATTTAAGGCCATGTTTAGTTGTTTTCACTAAGTTGACTAAACAAGCTCTTTTTAATCATAGAGGGGACTTTAAAGTACATAGAGAGTGGGTTTCAAGCTAGAGGCAGTTAAGGCAAAGAAAATGGGCTTTGTAGTTAAACATGGAACTAGATCCCAGTTCCAATCACTTTATGTACTCCAAGCTTCTGTTTCTTTGGCTGTAAGACGGGGGGAAATAATGCCCATGTGTAGGGTGTCTCTGAGGATTTGAAAATAAGTGTAATATAGGTTAGAATGTAGCTACTGCCTGCTGCATAGTATGTGCGTATATAAGCTAGACTTGTAGATAATCACTAGCCCATAGGATAAAAAAGATAAAACATTTTGGTAATAGTAGAGAACTTTTAAATTGTACTTGTGAATATTCTGTTCAGTGTAGACCCCTGGAGAAAAAGGGAGCTGTCACTGGAGGTTAAATGTTTTCTTTTTTATGCTGGTATATGATAGACATCTGTTTTTCACTGGCAAATGCCACCTGTTTCCAACACCTTCTCTTGTCTGCCCTTCCTTCCCTTAGATGACTTCTGTTAGCTACAGAGAAAAAAGTGGAAGGGATATGGGTGTAACATATTGCCTGCTATCCACACTGGGTAATAGGAGGGTGAGTCAAAATTACATCTCCTTGGACATTGGTTTCATAATCCTTTGATAGGGATTTAGACTGCAAATATATAATCAAATCATGAGAAAGAATCGAAACTTTAGCAAAACGTACTAGAAACACTTCGTTTGTTTTATTTGTGACAGCCTAGATTTCTGGATGTGTCAGTTCAACCTTGGATCCTGTTCAATAATGTTTAGTTACTGAACTATCAAAATATGCTTAATGAAATGTGACTTTAAGATAGCATAGATCTTCAGAGTATAGGGATAGAGGGTACATACCTCAATATCATAAAAGCCATCTATGAAAAACCTACAGCAAATATTATTCTCAATGGGGAAAAACTGAGAGCTTTCCCCCTAAGGTCAGGAACGCGGCAGGGATGTCCACTATCACCACTGCTATTCAACATAGTATTGGAAGTCCTAGCCACAGCAATCAGACAACAAAAAGAAATCAAAGGCATCCAAATTGGCAAAGAAGAAGTCAAACTCTCACTCTTTGCAGATGATATGATACTTTATGTGGAAAACCCAAAAGACTCCACCCCAAAACTGCTAGAACTCATACAGGAATTCAGTAAAGTGGCAGGATATAAAATCAATGCACAGAAGTCAGTGGCATTCCTATACACCAACAACAAGACAGAAGAAAGAGAAATTAAGGAGTCGATCCCATTTACAATTGCACCCAAAACCATAAGATACCTAGGAATAAATCTAACCAAAGAGACAAAGGATCTGTACTCAGAAAACTATAAAATACTCATGAAAGAAATTGAGGAAGACACAAAGAAATGGAAAAACGTTCCATGCTCATGGATTGGAAGAACAAATATTGTGAAGATGTCAATGCTACCTAGAGCAATCTACACATTCAATGCAATCCCCATCAAAATACCATCCACTTTTTTCAAAGAAATGGAACAAATAATCCTAAAATTTGTATGGAACCAGAAAAGACCCCGCATAGCCAGAGGAATATTGAAAAAGAAAAGCAAAGCCGGTGGCATCACAATTCCGGACTTCAAGCTCTATTACAAAGCTGTCATCATCAAGACAGCATGGTACTGGCACAAAAACAGACACATCGATCAATGGAACAGAATAGAGAGCCCAGAAATGGACCCTCAACTCTATGGTCAACTAATCTTTGACAAAGCAGGAAAGAATGTCCAATGGAACAAAGACAGTCTCTTCAACAAATGGTGTTGGGAAAATTGGATAGACACATGCAGAAGAATGAAACTGGACCACTTCCTTACACCACACACAAAAATAGACTCCAAATGGTTGAAAGACCTCAATGTGAGACAGGAGTCCATCAAAATCCTAAAGGAGAACACAGGCAACAACCTCTTTGACCTCAGCCGAAGCAACTTCTTCCTAGAAACATCGCCAAAGGCAAGGGAAGCAAGGGCAAAAATGAACTATTGGGACTTCATCAAGATAAGAAGCTTTTGCAAAGCAAAGGAAACAGTTAACAAAACCAAAAGACAACCGACAGAATGGGAGAAGATAATTGCAAATGACATATCAGATAAAGGGCTAGTATCCAAAATCTATAAAGAACTCATCAAACTCAACACCCAAAGAACAAAGAATCCAATTAAGAAATGGGCAGAAGACATGAACAGACATTTTTCCAAAGAAGACATCCAAATGGCCAACAGACACATGAAAAAGTGCTCAATATCGCTCGGCATCAGGGAAATCCAAATCAAAACCTCAATGAGATATCACCTCACACCAGTCAGAATGGCTAAAATTAACAAGTCAGGAAACGACAGATGTTGGCGGGGATGCGGAGAAAGGGGAACCCTCCTACACTGTTGGTGGGAATGCAAGCTGGTGCAGCCACTCTGGAAAACTGTATGGAGGTTCCTCAAAAAGTTGAAAATAGAGCTACCATATGATCCAGCAATTGCACTACTGGGTATTTACCCCAAAGATACAAAAGTAGGGATCCGAAGGGCTACGTGCACCCCGATGTTTATAGCAGCAATGTCCACAATAGCCAAACTGTGGAAAGAGCCAAGATGTCCATCGACAGATGAATGGATAAAGAAGATGTGGTATATATATACAATGGAATATTATGCAGCCATCAAAAGGAATGAGATCTTGCCATTTGCAACGAGGTGGATGGAACTGGAGGGTATTATGTTGAGTGAAATAAGTCAAACAGAGAAAGACATGTATCATATGATCTCACTGATATGAGGAATTCTTAATCGCAGGAAACAAACTGAGTGTTGTTGGAGTGGGGGGTGGGGTGGGAGGGATGGGGGGACTGGGTGATAGACACTGGGGAGTGTATGTGCTCTGGTAAGCGCTGTGAATTGTGCAAGACTGTTGAATCTCAGATCTGTACCTCTGAAACAAATAATGCAATATATGTTAAGAAAAAAAAAAAAAGAAGAAGAAGAAGAAGGTAGCAGGAGGGGAAGAATGAAGCGGGGGAAATCGGAGGGGTAGACGAACCATGAGAGACGATGGACTCTGAAAAACAAACAGGGTTCTAGAGGGGAGGGGGGTGGGAGGATGGGTTAGCCTGGTGGTGGGTATTTAGGAGGGTACATTCTGCATGGAGCACTGGGTGTTGTGCACAAACAATGAATCATGGAACACTTCATCTAAAACTAATGTTGTAATGTAAGGGGATTAACATAAGAATAAAAAAATTAAAAAAAAAAAAAAAAGAATGTAAGCTACATGAAAAAAAAAAAAATAAAATAAAATAAAATAAAAAAAAAAAAAAAAAAAAAAAAAAAGATAGCATAGATCTTTTTTTTTTTTTTTAAAGATTTTATTTATTTATTTGAGAGAGAGAGAATGAGAGACAGAGAGCATGAGAAGGAGGAAGGTCAGAGGGAGAAGCAGACTCCCTGCTGAGCAGGGAGCCCGATGCGGGACTCGATCCCGGGACTCCAGGATCATGACCTGAGCCGAAGGCAGTCGCTTAACCAACTGAGCCACCCAGGCGCCCAAGATAGCATAGATCTTGAGAGCCACATCCTATCAGTGTATCTGATCATCAATATGGCATGATCAGGCTGTACTTCCTACTCATTAGATTCTCAAGTAATACGTTAGATTTAAACAAAACCTAAATGTAACATGTTATATTTTAAAGCCAATGTGAAATAAGAGGTTAATGGTTTTCAAAGAATACTCTCACCATTGCTAGCTTCAGCCACATGGGGCCAAGGTATTGTAAATCACTACAATTGTCCATTATATATGCTTCCCTAAAGGGATATGTAAGGTATTCTCTGGCCTGAACCTTGTCTGGCAGGACTGGTGGCAGAATTATTTATTTTGCATGTCTCCTCTGTGAGAACTTCAAGAAGTTCCAGTAGGTAAGTCCACACATGTAATTAATTTCCTTGAAAATGAAATGATTTGTGGTTAGAGTTCTATCAATAAATGGCATGGGATATAAAATCTAAAACTCTGTGGATTTGAATTCAAAGATCATAGTATAGAGATAACCTGTATACTATCATATCTCTAAAACAAAGAGTACTCTGAAAATTTGTAGTTAAAGAAGATAGTCCATAAATTAAAACTGCTTGTCAAAAAAGTTATCTATTGTCAATGTAAAGTGTAACCTCTTTTAAATCTTAGGTGTTTCTCAATTAAAGTTAAAGCTTTAGGAAGCCAAATGATCTTCTAGTGTGAGGGTAAAAGTCTCTATTTTCCTCTATTGTGGTAATATATAAGTTCCAGTATTTTCAATTCTGACTTAATGAATGTCAATAAACTCTGAAAAGATGGAGTATTAAGAGTCCCCAATGTTTTTTGGTCTTTACTCCCTCCCTACAATCTTTTTGCACATCAGGAAGATGTCACATGTTCTCACTCAGATAAGAATACTGAAAGAGACAAGCCAACTTTTTCTCACTCTGAAGTCTTTGAAATCTTCTAGTAAGCTCAGTTTCTCAGGCACAGACTCCAGATGGTCCAAGGCCACTCGGGTACTCTGAAAAAGAAAACATAAGGAAACCAAACATTATAAAAAATTGATCAATACTCTCAGAATCCAAGTACTAAAACTCACTTGTACCATGGTTAGAAGCAATTCAAGCAATAGATTTAGAGAGTCAAATAAGAACAGATATAATCGTATTTCTGAGATAAATACATCTTTTTAAGTCAGGAGAATTATTTCCTTTCACAGAGTATATGAGATGCATTTGCAAAACTGACTCAGATATAAAAACTCTTCCTGGATAATTACTTTCAACTGATATGCTATGAAACTTTCTATAGAGCATTTCATACAATATTAATTTATAAAAACCTGCTTCAGCGAACATCAGAAATAAAGCACAAAATAATATTGAGAAACAGATGAATTTGCAGTTACTTCACTATGGAGCATATTAGAGATCCTCACATGTTGCCATTATACAGAAGAAAAAAGTTCTCCACAATTATTTTAGTTAAAAAAGAAGAAGAGGTTCTCATAAAACTTGGGAGAAACATCTGAAATTAAGTATTTGCAACAGGGACACAAAATCCCATTGATTATAAATCAAAAACTTAGTTTTTAATTAGCTGGCCACTGATTTACACCCACCAATACGAACATTAAGAGGGAATTATCTAAACATTATTTTAAAGGCAATATGAACTAAGAAGTGGTAGAATAACCTTGAGAGCAGAGACTATATCATAGGCATCTCTGCATTCTTAGTCCTGTCACAAGACCAGCACATCTCTGTATTCTTAGTCAACAGATATTAAATTTAAAATGAATTGCAATTATTCAATGAAATAAACCACAAACCCTGGGGCTGGTGCACGGGAAGAAAGTGAAGTGCCTTGTGAGAACCAGGACGTAAGTTTGCACAGTGTTGTTGAGAAGTGAGTGGCCGCCCAATATTCCATGTGCTGCTTCCCCTACATCTCCCACGTGAGTGGTTCCAAACAACACACTATATAAGTGCAAGTGACATGTCTCACTTATGAGCTGAGTCAGTAAAGAGCTTATGTGCTCCTGCTTCCATCTCAGCCCCTGCCATGAGGACCTTGGGGGCCACGTGCTTCAGATGGCAGAGCTCCGAGAGAGCTACTGACCATATTGGACTTCATGTGAGTGAGACATCAACTTCTACTGTGTTAAGCCATGAGATTTCAGGGTTTGCTAGTTATTTAATAACACAAATGCCTTAATTATTAAAAATAATGCCTGAGAAGGACATAAATTGTAGGTTAGTCAGGTGGTCAATTGGTTCTTTTTTTGGTGGGAGGAGACTCCAAATTATGAGTATATGAGGATTTTTTTCCTCAGAGGGAGTTCAGTCTTTCTGGAACCAGAAAGGGTTAGGAACTGGTGTTACCACCATTTGGTATATCCACTTACATTTAATCTTCCTATTTTAAATCCTCTATCTCACCCTAGTGCTGTTGTCTGCCTTCACTTCCAATCTAGAGCTTCTCCAGAACATACACGTATGCCTCTGCAGGGTTTGTGTTGGGGTAGGGATGGAGACAGAGTTGAGGGTCTAACTCCTCCTTGCAGACATTTTCGATATACTAATTTCCACCCTCCCCTTCTGTAGTATAGTAAATGGTACATCCGATTCAAAAGCCTCCCTAAAATTCTGCAGGGTGAATATTTGCTTTTCGTTGGTATCCCCTTGATAGGCGCTTGCATTTTACCTTCTCTGTTTTGAGTTATTTTACCATTTTTCTTTCAGTATTCTCCAACTTGGGAGTTATACATGTCTTCTAGTTGTCAGTACATAATCAGTGTTTCTCTTTGTTCATATTCTTATTTTTCTAATGTGATCTTTGAGAGAGCAGAAACACCCTAAGTTCGCCATTTTGAAACGAAGTCATATGTGCTGTTTCTTCAAGTTCATAAAATCTTCCTTTTCCAGTTCCATTTAAAGGATTTAGTATTTTCTTCCTTTTGCTTAACATTTATATGCTTGTTAGGATTTTTTTTTTTTTTTTTTTTTGCCCCATGTGCTCACTTAAATGCCCATGCATTCTAAATGGCTTCATTTAATTTTTTCATGTGTTGGGAAGATTCATCAGAATGACATGTTTCTTAATATAGGCCCCAACATGTAGGTTTAGGAGAGCAAGTAATTTTAGCCACCATATGTGCTATATGCTTTTTAATAGTAAAATTAATAGATTTCCTCAAAAATTATATTGGCCCTTTAACAATAAAATACAAATCCACACCATGGTGATTTTAAAACAAACTTTTTTTGCATCAGAAAAAAAATCTTCATAAACAATGATTCCAATAGATTTGTAGTTTGGAAACTTTATTTCCCTTTTGTTAATCCTGTAAATTTTCTCATTCAGAAGTGACCCTCTGAACTAGGGAGAAGTATGTTAAACTCATTTTGTTCTTAAAATAAGCACATGATTTCTTTCCCTACTGTAAAATTCAGCGTGTTATGCAAATATTTTTGTTTAAAATTTTCAACCAACCAGGTGATTGCATGAAGAAATTTTTTCTTGCATATTTTCACATACTAGTTTATTTTGACTATTTGATAGTTTTTGGATGCATATTCAAAATGGCTATATATTTTTTTTGAGTGAACCTTAAAAAACTCCTTGGCTCCTACTTTCTTAAGTACAGTTATTTTTCTACTCTCCTCCCCTATCCCCTACATCTCCATTAATATCTTTAAACTTTTTCATCATCTATTTCAGTTGTGGCTTACTTTATATTCCTTTTATGTGTTGTTTCTAAGTATCTTCCTCAATATCTGAAATAGTTTCTAGTACACATGCCTTTCCCTACATCCTTACAGTTTTGTCAATCAGGTAACATCAAATATATATCTAAATATAACAGAAAGGTCCACAGGACAGAGATGACACAGTTCTTGTTCTTTAGAAGCTTTTAAATTATGGGGGCGGGGAGGGGGAGAAATTTGCATATGCAATAGATGTAAGAATTATACAAAGAAAAAATTCACTGCATTTATTTTTTAAAAATTACATATACAGATGCTGAGATTTTTAAGGCATCTGAAACAATAAGATATGAAATAATGAAGACAATGAGTCCAGGCCTGCAGGCATCTCACATCTCATAATTTCAAGATTAAGTGATATCTGGGGCGGTATATTTATTTTCTGACTGCCGTCTCTCTCTGCATGCGAGTGTGCTTAAAACCATCACTTCGGCATATAGACTCAAGAGTACACATATTCACATTCAAACATTTTTTTTTCTTTTAATAACGTGAGATTGTCTGAGATTCTATGATTAGAGTATGGTCACATTACATGTCACTTCAAGTTCACTTTTCCCCAAAAACTAACAGTGCTAGAAAAACAGAAACATTAGCAGATGAATAATCTAAATAAGGAACCTGTTGGTTTTTAGATGCCGTAAGGACCTATATAGCATGTTAGTTCCTAGGGCAAAATACCTCACGCAGAGTCAGGGAAACTTTTTAATTTTTAAGTGGTTAATTATTTCTGCCTTACACAGTCTAATGCTTTAAAAGGCAAGGACAAATCCCTACTACTAGAATTAAGGAAATAATTTCTCCAGTTTATTCAGTAATGGCACCAGCAAATGACAGGTGCTTAACCTGTCTTTAATTTTCTTAGGTCAATTTTCTAGAAGAATTAATGAGACATTCACAAAAGGGTTTAAAGACGATTTCTCTTTTGAAAATATTTTAAGATACTAAATTTCATATCAAAATTGAAAACAAAGAAAAATTCACAATTAAGAATCCATTTAATAAAGGACCAATACTTTGTGTAGAATACTTGGTTTATCTCAGGAGCTGAACTTCCCCTGAGCTAAGAGCAGTGGCAAAGCAAATGATCAATTACTCCTAATTCTGTTTAGTAGCATGATGAAGGACTGAACCATAAAAATGTAACTCAATTTTGAATATACTTCTTAATCCTCACACCATTGTATGGTGCAGATACTATTGTTATTCCCATTATACAGATGAAGCAACTGAGAACCAAAGTGTAACTAACCTCGTCAGTCATGCAGTGGCAAATCTGGGATACAAATCCAAGCAGTTAGAATGCAGAAATGGCAGTGTTCTTAGTATAGAAATACTTTCATGGTAAATCCCCAGAAGCTGTAACATTGCTCGATGTAAATTCCTAATCCCTCTCTAGCTATCAACTTTTGGCATCTAGAACTTTGGAGATATGTCCCTGATGGGCTTATTTATGGAAGAGAAGTTTCGAGACACTTGAAAGGAAGGAAGAGGTTCATCTGGCTGAAGAGTCCGTGCTCAAGATCATGCATCCAAGCACATGCAAGCACAGGAGGGCTCAGGATTTTCTTTCTTTTGACTTGAGGAAGTTAGGTATGAGATTCAGTTTTATGATACTCACTAACACACCCTTGTCTTTCTTTGTAACATTTTGCAATAGTATAGCACACTATCTGGCCACAAGAGGTGCTTCAGTAAATGTTGGCTGTAAAGACAAAGGCAGAGTTACCACTCTCTGATCGACCCACCGGTTCTTGGCTTCTTTATTAAAAACTGAGAAGCGAAAGTTTGCAGTTTCATTTATTTTCTCTAGACTAAGGCAAGATCAAGTGGTAGAAACAACAGTGAAATTCAGAAATCGTGTCCATTCGGTTCTGTGGCATTTGCACCTACAGGCAGGTTTAGCTATCAATCTGTCCAAGAGCACAAAGAATAAGCTGGCAATTTTACCATTCCCAAATCTTCAACACACATCAAACTGCCATGTAGTTGAGCAGTTTGTACTAGTCAACGGTATATTTTTCCTTAGTTGTTCCTTTGTTTCAGACTACAGGGAAATTGAGTAATGAATGTAGTATGACAACATAAATAGCAGCAATTAGGAACTAGAAAGGGGCTTTACTGCAGTTGTTAGTTTCCTGTCTCCTGTAGAGAAAGCTTAAAGAAACAGATTTAAACGTGGGTATACTTTGGTAAATATCCTTCTCTTTGTAAAAATGCACGTGTTTATTTTATTCGGAACATATAACAACTACCATTTTCTGAGAATGCTATTGCAATCATACATTTTGAGGTTTAGATGATAAAAAAATTAAAGGAGATGCTATATTTTTATTTTAAAAATAAGTGTGTGCATTTTTGGCACTATACAGATGTTAAATAAACAAGGTTATGAAGCAGTTTATTTGGGTTCAAAAATGCAATTCTATTTCATTTGGAAAGAGATCCACTGCAAAACTTTCTTGACAAATGGCTGAAAGGTGGTAAGAAGACCTGAGTAAACAAATTTCAAGGGGAGGAAGGGTGAAATCATAAAAAGGATAGACTGTCTGTCTTTTTACTTGTGGGGATTCTATCCAGCACAGCTGTATCAGCTTCATCGGGCCCTCTTTTCATCCAAACTGTATCAGGCACTCATTGAAACCAAACGGAACAGTCGCAGAGAATAGGCCAGCAAGTCATTTTGTGGATGTACATCCTTCAAAGGGCCTTAGTGCTTTGAGTTGTGTGGATTTCTCAGAATACCAGAAGAGTCCTCTATTTTTAGATTGTGTACTTTAAGAGAGTTCTAAAAATCAGACACCCACTTAGATACAAGTGTTTATGTGTATCTTGGAGTAAGAGGGTAAATAAGGCTTGTTACATATAAACACCAGTTCACGTGGCAATATGACACCAGTGACTATATTTGAGCTAAAATCTAGAAGAATTTTTGTCAACAACAAATTCTATGACTTCATATAACACCATTCTAGTCACAAGTAGTGGAAGAGCTCCTTTAAAAAGCACCCATCTATAAAATTTGAGAACAGGTGGCATATCTTCATTGAAAAACTTGAATAAAGAAGGCTTTCTAGATCTTTTCCAACTCTCATTCCCAATAATATTTTTTAAGTGCACTATATGAAACTTACAGAATTTGCTATTCCAGAGTACTGCTTTTTTTTTTAGACATGACCAAATTATAAGTCATAGTCAACCCATGATCTTATTTTAGATTAATTGGGGGAGTTTTTTGAATAATACGAAGAATGAGTTGAAGGGAAGACAGAAAGAATAAACAAACATATCTCTTCCCCTTGAGATTTTTTTTTTTTAAAGATTTTATTTATTTATTTGACAGAGAGAGAGACACAGCGAGAGAGGGAACACAAGCAGGGGGAGTGCGAGAGGGAGAAGCAGGCTTCCCGCAGAGCAGGGAGCCCGATGCGGGGCTCCATCCCAGGACCTGGAATCATGACCTGAGCTGAAGGCAGACGCTTAACGACTGAGCCACCCAGGCGCCCCTCCCCTTGAGATTATTGAGATTCCCTTTCCATCTTTTTCTTGCCACTCCCTCATGTGAGGGAAGAATCACATATGAAGACAAGTGAAGACTAGTTTAATGTTCTCTGTATGCCCTTACCACTGGTCTAAAGGCAGGAGGGTCTTGAGATCCACTATCTGATTTCTGTGACATCACTTTATTTCTTAAAATTGAAAATAAAAATTATTCCCAAGGCAAAGAATTTTAAGAATATTTGCCTCCAAGATGTGACTGCATGTTAACCAGGGGTAAACAGTATATGCAAAGACTTCCTGAAAGAGATGGAGTTTAGCCATTTCTGCTACGGTGGCAGGTAAAGAGACCATGCTTCTGATTTATTGGTCCCAGACACATGCTTCACGCCGGCAGATGAACAGTGGTGAGGTGGAAGGCAGGCTGAACCGGAAATCGGCATACCTGATTTGTGGATATGCATAGTTCCAGTAATGTTATTTGTGTTCTGTAGTTTGGGGAACATCCAATTTGCAATTTTATTTGCAAAATGGGGATAAACAGTGATGGTCTTTATTATCTCATACCCACAGGGCAGCTGTTATTATTAAGTAAGAGAGTGAATCTGAAAGCGCAGTGAAAGTTGTCAAATACTTTGCAAGCAGCAGGTATTTTAAAAAGGCTGATCCTGTGACGTACTGTCAACTCTGGTAATTCTCAAATGCAGAAGAGGAGGTCAGTGACACTCTAAAATTAACAGCTAATAAAAATTTGTCACAGAGTTTGATGCAGAAACAAGGCAAACTTAATTAAAACTATATCCAATATTTAGAAATACATTTGCTGTTCTATAGACATTATCCAAAAGACAAAAGTAATAGGAGTTTAATGGCACATAAATACTTTTATACATACTGTGCCCTCAGTGGAGAAGGTTCCCTCCTGTTTCCTTATCTGGTTAAAACTTTTCCCCCCAACATTACGAGCATTTTCAAGCATATTGGAAATCTGAAAGAAATTTACAGAGATCACCCATATACTCACCATCTAGATTCTATTATTAACATTTCATTATATTTGTTTTATCACATTAATCCATCTATCTATCCCTATGTGTATCCATGAACCCAACTTATTTTTTGGATGCCTTACAAAGTAAATTATATACATTAGTACACTTTCCCCTATAGACTTCAGCATGCATATCATTAGCTCCACTTGGATTTTTAATTTTTAAATGTAAAATTTATGTTCAATGAAATATACAAATCTTAAGTAAACTGGTTAAATTTTATTATCTTTTATCACTTCCTTAGGGAACGCTCCCCTGCCTTCACTGATCCCATCAAACAAGCTCTCCACTGTGCCCTGAGCCTTTCCTTTGCAACACTTACCAGAATATTTATTTGTGTGATTATTTGATTAATGGTCATGTTGATGCTGGGAAATAAGCATCACAAGGGTAGGACATATCTGTCTTCACTCGCCACCGTACCTCCAGCACTCTACCCCGTACCTCCATAGAGGTGGTATTCAATAACTACTCCCTGAATGAATGAATGAATGAATGAATGAATGAATGAATGGGTCTTATTCAGGGATGGAAAGGTTCCCATTCATTTATTCAATCTGCAAACATTTAGTGAATGCCTCCTCTATATCGGACACTGTTCTAGAGTTAGCTGAGGGAGCACACAACAAGATGAGGCCAAAGATGCCTCTGGGGCAAGATCTTAAGAGGGCCTTTTTGGCCACAGTAAAGTTTTTTATATTTAATTCTGAGTGAGATCAAAGGTCTTCAGAGGACTTTGAGCAGAGGAGGGATATGCTCTTATTTACAGCCCAAAGTAAACCCTCTGATGTTGTTTTCAGATCTCTAGTCCCTCACCCCCACGCAGGAGAACTCCTGGAGTCTGGGGAACTGAGAGAAGGAAAGACAGGCATCTCATTCCCAGGTTAGAGTCCTGCTGAGCAGCAGAAACTCTGAGACCCACCTCATGGGCACCATCCAGGTGGAGCTCCATGAAAAATATACTGAGAGAATATACCATATCCCTAGATAGTGACTGGTGCCATATCAAGAGCCCTTGATTTACCCAAAAACATACTTTCTGACTGTAAGCATCTGAAAATGTCCTAAATGTCCACCAAATGGTTTCTCTAATAACGTTAGATTATTTACATTAATCAGATAACATTTTTATTGTGGTAGTCTTCTGAGGTGAGGCAGCAAGACACAGTGGAAAAAAAATCATTGATTAGAAACCAGGAGATACAAGGTTCTATCTCCGCTTTGCCATAACCAGTTGCATGAACCGGGAAAATTATTTAACCCATGGGCTTCAGTTTCCCAATCAGGAAAATGGAAAAGTAGAATCTAAAAATCTCTAAGAGACCTTCTGGCTGTAGCTTTAATCACTGTGGCTTTAACTTCTTTTCCACAGTAAGTTGGGTGTCTGATTTTTAAGCTTAAGAGGTTGGAAAGAATGTGAAAAATGGTTTTATAAAGAGAAAGTAAAATAAGGAGAAAATCACATATGGGATTTTAGGAGTTAATACATACCCAAGCATACTTGTGGGGTGGAAAAACCTTCACTGCTTTATAGCAGAAAGCAAAGTTAATGATTACATAAGAAAAACAGGAAGAAAGGCATTTTGGCCTTCTTGGCTGTTTGCCCCATCAAAAAACTCCAGATATTTACCATTTTGTATTTTTAGAACAGATACTTCCAAAAGCAGGCAAAGAATTGCTTTTCATTTTTTTTTCACTTTATAACTGCCCTTAAATATATATATATATTTTCCCTTCATCTAAATACTGCTAATCAGGTTCCAGTTCTATTATCATGAATGTTACTCCATACTTCTGCTTCTGTCCAATCATGACTTTGCACATGAAGCCCTTCTGTCTGAATGTTCTCCACACACTGCTTAAATTAGCTCACGGATTCTCCTCCAAGACTTGGCTTGGTCTCTACCTTCTCTAACATGGCAGTTAAAAGTGTGGGCTCTTGAGCTGGTCGGCCTGACCTGAAATCCTGGTTTAGTCACCTGCTAGCTATGTGTCTCTAGGGAAGTTCCCGGATCCCTCTGCACTGGAACTCAGTATCCCCACTTATAAATAGGAATGATAATAATACCCACAGTGTAGAATTATTGTAAGGACCAAATATACTGGTGCATGTAAAGTATTTAGAGCAGGGAGGGACACTAGTAAGCACTCAGTAAGCACTAGCTATTGTTAAAACGGTAATCCTAGTTATTATTCTGTGAAAGGCTCCCCTAAAGTCTGGGTTAGGTGCCTATCCTCAGTGCTTCTTATGCACACATGTCTCCTGTCCTGTGTCTGATCATTTCCTAACTGTGTGCTTGCTTGTCCCTTTTAGTAGACAGCAAATGCCTTAATGGCAGGACTGTATTTTTCCCTATATTTCTAGTGCTAAGTACCTAGCATCACACACAATAGATTTTAGTTTTATGGGGGGAAAAAAAACCTCTCCTCAACACAAAGATCAATAAAGGCACAATAAGAACTCAGAAATGTTGTGGAAAGAAAAATACACTACAGATTATCTTTTAAAGGTAGAATTGAAAAGGCAACTTTTTGAGGTAGAGAATGTTTCTAAACAGACTAAAAATTAAAGGAATAACAACAAAAAACAGAACTGGAAGAAAAATGAGGGACTGTAAAGTTGAGTTAAAAGGTGTAGACAAGAGTTAGAGACAGGAAGATGAGAAATAAGATCTTCTTGTGGACCTGCGAAGCTGGAGCAGGAAGCTTGGGATGGGGAGAGCACCCTCTTCCTGTGGACGAACTGGCAGGGGGCTAAGCCACACCAGGCTGTGATGGGGACACCCGACCCAGGGCAGATACTGAGAAATGCTAATCATTTCCCTGAATACTGCAAAGCCCTAGTCCCAAGGCCTCAAGACACGCTAATGCGGGCAATCACGGTTGTCTCTTCTGTATTTAACATGGAACAGAGGGTCCTGACGTAGAACACTGATAAGGAATGATAATTGTTCTGGTTGATGTAGGGTCCAGGCTAATTTACTTAAAAGCACCTTCGTGAGGTGAATATAATTAATCTTCGCTGTTTTCAAAATAAAGGGCTATTTTCTTTTTAAGAGATGTCCTGGGTTTTCAAAGAGAATGACAAAACAAATTAATCATTCTCTATTACTCCACACACAGCACTTGGATTTTGAAAGAGCATGTGAACAGTTAATCCCCTATATGGATGAGTTTCTGGTGACAGGCAGATCAGATCTAAATAGAAATCAGGCAAGGTATTTTATTTTTATCACTGTGGCTTTGAGACTTAATTCAAAAATAACCGAGATCAATCCTGCCTATACTTTTAAAGTTTGCTTTCATAATTAATCCTTTTTTCAACACTTAGAAACACTCTTTTGGATCTTGTATAAAGCATTCCCCTGGCCGACTGCTGCCAAAGCAGACAGAAGCAGAGACTATCTAGAATATTTTAAAACCATTGAAAATTCAACTGCACTATCTTGTAAGGAATCCCAACTGCCAGGCCATACTTAGTTCAAAGTACCAATAATTTGACATTAGAGCAATGCATTTTGGCAGACAGCTTACCTAAACAACTAATGTTAAAGGTGAACTTTAAGTATGTTTGAGATGCTCTGTTAAGCTATGTCTTGAACAGAGGGCAAGAGGGCATAGGTGGAGTATATGTGAGCAAAAGTACGTATTTTTAACTAAAAACAATCCATTTCTAAATTTTCTGCCATTGGCTGAGAAAGATGGACTACCAAAGCCAGTGGGCATAAAACAGCTGACAATAGGATTTGGTGAGCAAATTCCTCTGACATTTGCCACAATCAATTGTTTTCCTGAAATTTAAATTGCTAGAAAAAAAATTTTTTTTCCCCCAAATGAAAGCCATGCATTTATTTAACTGGACAATAATGAAGCTTTGTGGCCTTGTGGTTAGTGTGAAAAGGAGTTGGTCTTGCCAAAACAATTTGAAATTTTGAACTTAGGCTCCCTCTCCCCACACTTCATTTTAATATACTCAACTAAAAGGAACAAGTTCTGTAGCCTCTACTGGACACATTTAAAAAAACAAAAAAAACAGAAGTGGCCAAAACCATATGACTTTGGACATTTAAAGTATGCTATGAAAACTCTAGAGAACATGCAAGACTCTGGAAATTGTGCAGCATTTTACAGCATTTACTATACAGAAAGTAGATGAAACATCAATCTTCCCTTTATGCAACAAGAATTACTAAGCACTTACTATGTGCAAATCAAACTATATAACATCACTACATCAGACTTCATTCTGCTAAAGCTGCCCAGATTTAGTTCAAGCATATTCTTTTGGTTCCTGAATGAAAATAAGTTAATAGGGCAATAGAGAGAAATATGTATACTGATTGCACTGTAATGTTTCATTAACTGACTTTTTTCACCATTAAACTGGGAAATTTTAAGTATAGTGACTATACCTTACTGTTCTTTGGATCTATGGTGTTAATACATAACAGCTACTCGATAAATACTTCTTGAAGGTGGTGCTATAGTTGCTTCTCAGCCATCGGGAACTATACACATGCAATATTTTAAAAATATGCTAATGTAAAAGATAATTTATATTCAATTTGGGAATGATCTCATATGCTCTCCAGTGAATATGGGTGTGCCAGGAGTTCTGGGATACACTCTAAAAGAAATAATGAAGTTGCAACAATAAATCATATTATGTGAAAAAAGTATTCAACTTTTTCTTTGAGGATTCTTGCTCTCTACATTTTCTTGGGATATACTAGGACAGGATGCCCTTGAGAAGTACCAGTCAGAAGGACCAAATTTGAAGTATTTTATATTGCTTTATACTGCCTTAACCCCCCCCAACCCCCCATCATCAACTTTAGTTGAAGGCCAAAGGTGAGAGGTTTATTCTATATAATTTCTAAGGTGGTGCCGACACATATATATCACAAAGTCATGCAGAACACTACTTTAAATATAAATATGCTCTCTCTCTCTTAAACTTAGAGGGAATCCAGTGATTCAAAGGAACTTTCTAGAGATGGAAACAAGATACCTATTGATAATGAATCTGGGTCTATCAATATAATTGATTTGAATATCATTTGAAGTCAGTTGCAATTTGCACCCTGTGGGAACCATAGGAGATTCATTTGTAACAAAAACAAACAAACAAAAAAACAAAAAGAAGGGAATACAGAATGGAACTTTGCTCCCAGATCCTGGAGCACAACAATGTACTTCTGCTTAATCTTTAGTGTATCAGAAAAATTAGTCATCACCATTTACTCTGGTCTAATGGGTGAAGTTTAAAAAAAAAATTTTAGTTATATGATAAATAATTTAGAGAATGATAGTAAAGAATAACTTTGTTAGAAATTTTAGTAAGAATTTAGGCATATTACATATTCCCTGGTTTTAAAGGTATGAATGCAAATGACTTCTGATGAACTATCATTCACAATTCTGGAAAATACCCATCTTATAAATATTGATTTCAGATTTCAAATATATTTCTAATGAGTCCTAGTTTACCATTACTTCTGTCTCATTATTCTTGCACTTGCATCTTCAAAACACAATACTTCCAAAATATGACAACTCTTAACTGTCTAAAATTGATAAAGCTATCTTTTCACTACATAACTGTAAGTTTTTCATTTTTTAGATTTATAAGCATCAATTAGAATGGTCAACCCAACAAAAAATTTTCTGTATCATCTTCTCCTTCTAATTGCATTTTTATACAACCTGCTTTCAACATTTGCGCACTTATGAACCATGTAACGTAAATTTTGGTGAACAAACATAAGTTGAAAGAGTATTGAATACATTCTTTAAGCAAAATGGGCTGGTCCAGGTTCTTGTTGCAAAATATTACATGATGAAGTCCTTCTTGTTGAATAACTAACTGGATGAGACTGTCTTATTTCCTTTCTGTCCTTAGAATATATTGTTCATTCATTGATTCTTCAGTTTGCAAAATTCATCTAGAATATTATCATTTGAAGACTCAATCTGACTTTTTGCTTATACAATTTCACCATCTTCATTAGTTTCTAGAGTGCCACTGTCTGTCTCTTTATATTCATCTTCTGATTCATCTAATAACTGTAAAATGTATTCCTCTGTCAGATTCCTTTTCTTTGTCATTATGGAAGAAAATGAGAAATTCTGAATTCTCAACCTCCGTTCAGTAAAAGTAATAATAATAAGGAAAAACACTACCAAGCTTCTTCTTGAAAGGTAATAGAACACTTGGGAGGTATGTCTCCATGACACTGCTACATGTCTTGGGATAGCTGTTATCCTAGAATAGCTTTTCAAGGATGTTTGTATAACAAACAGAAACAGTGTCTCCCTCTGGTACAAAGGTTGGGTAAGATTTCTTGTAGCTCTTTTTATAAGACTGGGGGTTGCATAACCTCAGGGTTCCTCAGCTATAACACAAATTCACTTCATGTGCCACAACCACCTGGACCCTTGTCCATTGCCCCTATGGGACTTGAGAAGCAAAGGGAAGACACAAACATGTATGTAGTTCATGGGGCCTGCTGTGCCATGAATAATAAAGTCTTTTGTCTTGTGTCCTCTTCCAGCATCCATCAAGTGTGTCAGGATAACCTGGTGAAGTGCATGTACGGTAAAATCTCTTCATTTCTTGATAAACTTTGGACAACACAGTAAGAAAACTGAAATATTATGTAATAGTAATGACTTAGTTCACTTATTGCAAATCCTTCTGTGTGATTCCATTATTCCTCCACTTTCATACTATTTTAGTTTTGCCTAGCATAGTCGGGAACAATTGATGAATAACAATAAAATAATTCCTAGGATGGTGAAACAGAAAAATGTTTCAAGAAAATAAGTTCACCAAGATCCATTATGTATTTATTACATGGTACAATAGACCCATGTGGTATTTGCGAGACAGAATCAGTTTTTTCTCTTTTAAAAGGGAGGAAAATTTCTCTTTATTCTTTGGAAGATATTTTAAAAAGAACAACGGTAAAAACGATGACAAAAAAAAAAATCAATCCTAATCAAAAGGAATGGAAAGACCAAGACTGGGTCCAACTGGTACAGTGAAGATTAAATCACCCTTTTAAAGCTCTCCACCTTTTATCAACACCTTTCAGAATCCTCTTTATCCATTTAGTGCCAAATTTCTCTTCCCTTGGAGCCTTCCTAAACTGTTCCTGGGGTGGGGTGTGTGGCTAATAGAAAGTCTGACAATTCATGAAGCACGTGTATGGCACTGCCTTGTGAGAAGACTTGCTTCCCCCTCAGTCTTGCACATGGAGCATCCATCTGGTTGTCACATGTTGAATGGAGAAGTGGCTGAAAGGTAATAAGCGTGATACTACCAAGGGGATCAACACAAAGGTAGTACAAGGAGAAAGAAGAAATGAGGAAGGCAGGTAATCAACATAACCTTAGTCACTATGCCAAAAGCAACTTGATTAAATAACTAATTTTCCCAACATACTGATGTACAAACAACTTATTTGTTTTGAACTGTTCATACAGTTTCCAAAAGTGTTGTTTTTGTGAACTGCCTGGTCTGTTAAAATTTGTTAAAATCAGAGAATTAGTCATTTGGCAAATTCATGATTGGATATATTTGCCCTTGAAGTTAGGCCTCGTGAATTTAAATTTTAGTAAGATGCTTGAAAAATTAAGGAAAACTGTCTGAGAAAGAATCTTACAACTGTTTTGGTAGATTAGAAAGAAGAAATACTAGAGACAGAATACATGATACTAGCAGTCAAAAAGGCATGAAATTAATTCAGTGGAAATGAATAGGACTAAATCCAATAGACATGAAGGCAGAGTAGCACCGGGCCCTAGGGGATGGACCATAAGGCATATTCTTAAAGGGCATGTTGACGATGGCCAAAATCAGTGATTCTCAACCATAACTGCACATTAGAATCATCTGGGGGAGCTTTAAAAAAGACTGGGTCCTACCCCAGGTCAACCAAATCTGGGGGCTGAACTAAAATTATTAAGATTATTAGTAAGATCCGTAAATCTGTATGTCTCAGAGCCAACATTGGAAACGAGCGAATTAAATTTTGGAGGCAAACTTCAGATAACATAGAGTGTCCAGACACATAACCTGTGTGGTGAAACTCAGACCAAAATTCAAATGTCCTGATCAACGAGCCCAAACTTCCTAGTTCATATACTGCTTCTGTGACTGGTGAAGGTAACGCACACATAAGGGAGGAGTATTTTTAAAAATTAGGAAAGGACTTTCTCATCCATTATCTCATTTGCTCTTCTCTGCAAAACCATGAGACAAGCAGGACAAGCACTGAGCTCATTTTATAGATAACAGAAAAATTAGGCTCAGAGAAGTTCAGAGATTTGCTACTGGCAAAAGAGCAGGGGTTCACAACCATATCTTCTAACTCCCAGTCTACCAAATCCTAATCAGTCTCTAAGAAATTTGGAGGTCACCTGCCTTTTGTCTTTCCCTCTCACTCAACTGAGAACAAATACACTCTTCTCCAAGACTAAACAAATGTCTAATGAGGAGCTTTGAGGTATTAGAGCACAGAACAAGTTCTGAGTTAGAAATGATAGAGAAATGCAAATGATGAAGACAGGAAGTTCTCTGAAAAAATGTAGAGGAGTCCTTCAGACTCCTTTTGTTTTGTCAGGGAGTCTATACTTAATGTGTTGTAGACAATCCAGTTAATGTTTGATGACAATGAAACAAACAAGCCAAGGATGTGTTTCACTGGCCTTTGCTGTGGACAGGTAGAGAGGGAGATGATAGTCGTGAAAAACACTGAAAAAGACCCAGAAAACCATTTATGTAACACCGGCTATGCAAAATAATTAGGAACAGAGCCTGGAGAGAATAATGAGGGAAGGGTTATTTTGATGGTTTGGCCTTTTACTGTTTGATGTTCAAGTATAATATAATTGGGGGCAATGATAGGTTGAAATCATTCACTAATGTTAAATAATTAACATAAGACCACTTTGGATATTTATATTAATAGTGCTAATAGTGACAATTTATGCTCTCTCCAGCCTTTCATCTGAGATCAAAGTTTATTAAAAGCCCTAAACAAACTTTATAAACACTTGTGTAAGTAGAATTAGAGTTGGTATGCAGATGCATAAAGTAAAACAGATCAACTGAAGCAAAATGTATCACTGAGCAAGCTCAAGACAGAACTAGTAATACAACCTAGAGGCATGCCAACTCTTTTCTTCAAAATTCAAAAAGCAGAAAACTAAGTTCAAAGTTGCTTTATAAAACTTTATTGATCAATACGTGGAGGGCATATTCCGACAACCCTACATATGGTCCATGAATGTCAATGTCCTATTTATAAGTCCACTTCTGGCCCTGCTCAAGGTAAATACAGGACCTGGCTGTTGATCTCCTTCCTCTCTACTTTGCACATTCACCAGACCCTTGTAAAGTGTTCCTTAACTCATGTCTTCATTGCTCTTACCAGTCACAAGAGGAGCATGTGGAATGGAAAGAACACTGTGTCACTAATCAGGCCACTTGAATTCTAGCCCTAGTTTTGCCACACTTGGCAATTCATAAACTTCTTTGGCCACTTCTCGTCTGTAGGGTGAAGGGTTTTGAAAAGGATCTCTAAGACTCCTTCCAGCTGTCATGTTATCTAAAATGTGAGACTCATGGCATCAGGGACCTAACCTGCTATACACTGAGGGATGTAACCATGGCAGAGATTCAACAAGCACCTGTTATATAATATTATATGATTAAATCAGGTACACTGTTTGATAGTAACTATTGGTAAGTCAGAAATTTTGAAGACCAGAATTTTTAATTCCTCCTAGACTAGACCAGAGCCTTTTAGGGAGGGGACATTTCATGTATCACCTGGCCTAGCCCAATCATTAAAAAAATAAGAAAACTTAAATTTAGAGAGGTTAAACAACTTGTCCAGGATCATGTGCCTGGCCATGGAAAGAGATATGACCAGAACCTACTTTTCTGACTCTGAATCAGATACTATTTTTACTATATCACCATCAAACTAGGCATGTAATAATTTTCAGCTGAAACTTGTAACTGGTTAAAACTAGATGCACAAAGTGAAAATCCCCCAAAACAGCTTTCTATTTAAAGGCTACTTCAAAAATGTAACACACACTATTCCCACCAACCATATATTAAGTGTATAATACCAATATTTTGTTTTATAGTTGTTAGGATATTAAAAAAAGACTTAATACACTATTACTCTGAGATTTCACCCATATATGCTCTTTTAGAGAAAACAGAAAGCATTTCTTCTATGTATTATATTTTTCAGAAACATCCTTCCATTGTGTTTTGTAATACACACTCATATTATCTTCACAGTATAAAGCAAGAGCTTCTTACAGAGAGAATGCCCTGTTACTGATAGTATTTAGAGCAGGGCTATGAAACACATTGTCTAGCATCGCAGTTAGACGGGCGGTGTGACTACTTATCAGCATCAAATATGAAGCTGTCAGTCTGACCTCCAAACACTGAGCAATTCGATAATATTAAATTCATCTGCCAGTGAATCTGTATTCATTATGTAATTTCTCAATGACACTTTCCCTATGTCACTGTGTTTATGAGAAATTTGACAGGGCTGTAAGAAACCACTTTTGCAGGCTGAAGGAAGTCTTATATTTTTAAATTGGTCATCACCTTTTGCCACAAGGTTGCAACTCTGAACACACATTCTATTTGTTTGAGTAGCATTTTCTTCACTTGACCTTAAATACAGTCATGTTTTAGAAATTTAACCCTTTGAAGATGACCCCATTATTGGGAAACATACATACTTTAATACTGACGAATGCAGAAAACAGGCTCTGTATTTTGGGACAAGGTGGCGAAAGGAGAATGTCTAGATTGTTTCAACCAAGATCCCTCATGAGAGATTCATGAGGATATTTCCGTTTGCCCTCAATGCGAATATACAGAAGGTAGACTAACATTAGAGCAGTGGGAAACTTGGCAGAACGGGGTAGGACAGGGTTTGTGCAAAAACTTTTTCCGGTTTCAGTTTGAATGGGTTCCCAGGAAGTGTCAAGTTCGAACAAATCCAAAATTTTACAATGTAGCTCAGCCAAAACTGCTGAGATTCACCTGATTCTGGGTCAAAACTGTACAGAGCACACTGCGTTTTATTTGGTGTAAAGCCAAGTCGACTGAACCTTTCAGGCAACTTCAATGAGAGGCTCATAGCCTTGGCAAAACCAAAAATGAACCTAGCTTGATCTTTGGTTTTGAAATAGCAAGTCTGGCTTTATAAAGAGATAAAGGCAAGTTTTACTTAGCTTTAAGATTCTTACAAATACTCAGAAGAAGCACTGCAAATAATTAACAGTTATTTGGCCAGATTTACATTCCCAAGTCAGTTATTTCCTGAGCTTAACCAGGACACTTCAGTAAGTACATTAACTCTATTGGCACCATATACCCCTAAGTGCCGTAAAACAGAATCTGGTGTTCTGACAAAGAATAATGGTCCTTCCTCAACAACTTACATGCCTGCAGAGTGGATTGCACGTGTAGTAGGATGAAGCACAACTACTGCAGGCTCCAGGGTGGGAAGGAAAGAATTAAAAATAAAAACTCCAACAGCAATTGTCTACTGTAATGGCAGACACATGAAGGAAGAGTATATAGTGTTGCCTGGTGATTTCCACAGACACACACCGGCATTCTCTTGTAGTCTTGGACACCAAGGTCTTGAAGATCTACTGATGTGCAGAGTTCAAATCTGTTATCACTAATATTAGCTGAATGAATCCTTTAGGGATATGCCAAAAGCTCCACCAGTTTTTTTTAAATAAAAGCCATATTTTAAAGAGTTTTCTAGTGTTTTATAATTTTTCTCAATATATGTAAATTTATGTATACATTTCTCCATATTGCTACAGGTTAGGATTTATTCTATAAGTTATACTATGTCTTTAAGTACACATTGAAAACAAGGGAGATTAGATTGTCTTAGGTCACTTGGGTTTGAGAAGCTGATTAAACACTGATGAATTACAGCTAAATGATTACACATTTGCTCCAAGTCAATGATTTTCAAAGTTTTGAGTAGATACTCCCCTAAAATAATTTTTTAAATTATATATCTCCCTTACCTCCCACCCCCACACACATTTTTAAGTTTTCTAAATGTTTTCATCATAAATTTAGGTAGTTGCAAAGGATGAAATTTCTGGAATATCATAAATACTGACATTTTCAAATGAAACTCTTATATTACTCATATAAACTTTCCCAGCAAACTTTAAATACTTCAGTAATTTGTTACCACCATTTATCCACTGACAAAATAACTAAATAAGATCCTCCTTAAAAGACAGAAATTTTATATTGTTCCTTTGCCCTTTGAATTTATTTCCCATCTATTTTCCCCAACAGACTTTTATCCTAATATAAAAAATATTTATGCTTGGAAGTCTTTTTATTGGTTATCCTACCATACTTCATCTTCTCTGTAAGAAAAATGTATATATACAACAGGGAAAAACTGATTTTTAAAATGCCCTGTGACCATAATGCTCCAAGGGTTATATATTTTTATAGATGGAATTACCATTTCAATATTAGGTCTATTAAAATTTTTGAGAAAAACTATTAAATGTAAACCCCAAAACTTCCAAAAGTATATCCCTTAATGGGATGGATACTGCTTTCTCTTCTCCTATACTTAATTAACTCATGTATCATTGGTTAAGTATTAACTTTTGTTTGAATAAGACAAGGTTCCATTTCATTTCTATTTTTTTGTTGTTGTTTCTATAGATTTAATCACTGAGAAATCTTGTTCACATAAAAAAGTACATGAGAATGAAAGTAGTTTGGTTATAACAATGTCACTCAATTTCTTGACTGCCGTCCTAATTTTATGGCAAAGACTACACAGTGATCTGTCATCAAAAATTAATTTTAATGATCTATCAGCTCGATTAGGTCCTCTTTCAATTTTGTTGAAAGCAAAGAATTAGAAACCACTTGACTTGCCAAAGGACTGTAATGTAGTTATTAAAGTCACTCACTTTCTGTTTTGGAAGGTATATGAAAGAGGCTTTATTTACCAAGACTTGTCAAATAACTACAACTGTTCTTCTTTCACTTAGAGGCATTTCAATGAGTTCTACATATGCAAAAAGTATTGAGAAAAGTAAAAAATCTTATTAATGTTAATACCATTCTATACATTTAATTTAAATTATATATCTCCCTTACCTCCCACCGCCCACACACATTTTTAAGTTTTCTAAATGTTTTCATTTAAACATTTAGGATTTATTCTATAAGTTATACTAACTTATAGTATAAATTTTTAATACTTTTATTTTATATTAGCATTAAATATATTTTCATTAAAACCTTAGATCTGCAGATTGGCAAAGCTAGTCTTTATTGTAAAACCAATTAGCTCAATCAGGCTTACTTTCTGGCAGGAAAAAAAAAGTCTGACTTCATGTGCCCTGTGACAATGGCCTTTTGAATTATAATCCTAAAACAGATAAATGAATAAGGCACGGAGCCAAGCCGAAGTTTGTCACCTGGATGAAGTAAGACACTTTCAATGATTTCTTTCCAAGACTCAGTTTTGTTTTCTGGATCTATATGTTCTCAGATTATAGTAGGGTGGTAAAAGAGGTGAGATCATCAAATAAAATTGTCATTCCTCCCCCTCATCATCAATCAACAATATATGTTGATTTCAGAACACCCCCTTCCCAATACCTCATCTATCTAATAAAACTCTTTGTCTTATCAAAAATATATGTATGACTAACAGGGACAAGGAGACTTGATTAAAGAGGATATGAAAGCATCAAAATCATAAAGTGCCCCTTGTCTGGCACCTTGAAGTGCCTGGGGGAATCTGCCATCATGCGACCCAGGATGGGTGAAAGGTAGGCCTTTCTCTCATCAAGTGGGAGGTTGAATAGGAAAAGTAAGATGGCCTCCTCACGCAGCGTCATGTCAAGGACTCTGCGCTTGAAGTGCTGTAGAAGCTGAGGATACAAAGATCGGTTCTCTTAAAGCTATTTGTGTCTGAAGACCCCTTGGAAAATCTCTGCATGCTCCTAGTGGTGTACTACTCCAGTGTGAAGACTAACTCACCAGCTATCTTGAACATTACCCTCAGGGACAGCATTAATCATTTCATCATAAAATTAGGAAAAAGAAAAAAAGTTCTGCTAACATGTTTCCATTCCCTCTGTTTTTTGGCAAAACATGTCATAGGCACAAAAGAGTACATAAAATATACACATGGAGTTTGAAGAAAATGACAATTCTTTGTGGTTTTAATTAGCATTTCCCTGTTTACTAATGAACCTGAATATGCTCACATATTTCTTTTTCAATTGAAATGCTTGCTCATGTCTTTTACCCTCTTTCTTTTCCTTTTCTTTCTTTCTTTTTTAAATCTGGGTTGTTTATCTTTTTCTAATTACTTTGTTGGCAATAAGATCTGGATACAAAATAATTTCGATACAAATCGCTACTCAGCTATATATTTTGCCACAAATATATCCCAAGTGGGCTTTTCTTTTCACTCTTTTTATGTTGTCTTTTGACTTACAGAAGTTCTTAATTTTAATGTGGTCACATCAGTTACATCCTTTTGGATCTATGTTTTCAGCGTCTTTTTTCCCCTCAGAAATCCTTCAAAATCCCAAGATCATGAAGATATTAAACGGCACTTTGTTTTCAAGTTTTATGGTTTGCCATGCCCATTTAGGCTTTCATCCGTTTCTGCATCTGAGATAGGAGTTCAATTTCATTTTTTTTTTAATACTACCTATTGAAAAGTCCCTCCTTATTTCCCCGCCAATAGGTGATGCCAGTTATATCAGAGACATCAAGTTTCCATGCACACGTATTTCTGTTTCTGGGTAATCTCTTTGATTACATTGGCCTATTTTTATATTCCTGTGCCAAGACTACATACACCATCTTTTTTTTTTAAGAGTTTATTTATTTATTTGACAGAGAGATAGAGAGCACAAGCAGGGGATCAGGAGAGGGATAAGCAGGCTCCCCACTGAGCAGGGAGCCTGATGCAGGGCTTGATCCCAGGACCCTGAGATCATGACCTGAGCTGAAGGCAGATGCTTAACCAACTGAGCCACCCAGGCACCCCAAGACTACACTAACTTAATTTTCACAGCTTTAATAAGGTTTGATACATAGTAGGAAAACTACCCCCAACTTGCTCATCTTCAGAAGTGTCCTGACTATTCCTGAGTGTCTTCTCTATGAAGAACTTGTATTTTTATTGCTGTTGTTAGATTCCGCCCCCCCCCCACGTATTTTGTATTTTTTGCTACTTTTGTACTGGTATACTTTTAATTACATTTTCTCTGTACTTGTTGCTGGAATTAGAAGGAAAATGGACTTTTGTAAACTGGTTTTCATAGATTAAACTTATTAAACTCTTTTTCTTAATTTAACTATGAATTCCTAGAGCTTTCTATATAGACAGTAACACTATTCAGAAAATAATGCTAGCTTCACTGCTCTGGCCAGGTCTGCATGCACAGCATCTAACAGAAGCTGAGGAATGGCGCATCCTTTCCTTGTTCCTGGTCTCAAAAGAGGACTTTCAAAATGCTAAGGTAATGTTTGTCATTGGGTTTTTCATATGACTTAGATTAAGTCAATTCCCTTCTCAGTTTGCTAAAAGGCTTTTGATGATGATAATGATATCATGGGAATAAATGCTTCTTATTCAACCACTGAGATGACCTTACTAAATTTATTTCTCTGTAATCTGTCACATGGTAAGTTACATTGATTGATTTTCTAATATTAAACCAACTCTGAATTCCTGGAATAAACTCAGCTTGTTCATGATGAATTATCCTTTTAATACATTCCTGGATTTATTTTGCTAATATTTTTTGTATAATATTTTTGCATCCATGTTAATGCATGAAAAGTCCCTTAATTTCCCTTATTTATATTTTCTACATCTGGTTTTGTTTCAAAGGTTATGCCAACTCATAATGAGTTTGGCATGTTCCCTCCTCTTCTAGTTTCTGGAAGAGTTTTTATAAAATTAAAATCATCTGTTCCCATAACATATGGTAGAACTTATCTCTAAAATTTATTTGGGCTTGGTGGCCCTTTCTGGAGAAAATTGTAATTGATTAAAAATTGTTGATGAAACTTTTTATTATTTAAAAAAATTTACTTATACTACTATGTTATTTCTTCTTAGTTCTGGAAAATTATATTTTTCCAGGAATTTAGTTATTTCTCCTAATTTGCAAATGTATAATTGCAAAATTATTCACAATACCCTTGTATGTGGTTAAATTCTCAAATAGCTATAGTTCTATCCACTTTTTCACTCTTGTTTTATTCATTTGTATCTTCTTTTTTTTCTTCATCAGTCATGCTGGATATTGGTCATTTTATTCTTTTTAAACAACCAGCTTTACTTTATTGGCCCTGCATGCTGCATGTTTGTTTTCTATTCATTATAATCTTTTCTCTATTTTTTTTTTTTTTAGGTTTTTGTGCCGTGCTTTTAATTTCTTATGTTGCATGATAAGTTCATTATTTTTTACCTTCTTTTCTAATATAAGCACGTAAGCCATTAAGTTTCTCATAAATACTACTTTTGCTGTATCATTCACATTTTATAACATAAATAATCTTTTCTCTATTTTTTTTCTTTTGTTTTTAGGTTTTTGTGCCATGCTTTTAATTTCTTATGTTGCATGATAAGTTCATTATTTTTTACCTTCTTTTCTAATATAAGCATGTAAGCCATTAAGTTTCTCATAAATACTACTTTTGCTGTATCATTCACATTTTATAACACAGTGTTGCTATTATTCAGTTCTGTATATTTCATAATTTCTACTATAATTTATTTTCTGAACTTGAGTTGTTTAGAAGTTTACTTTGAAACTTCCAAAAGTCTATGGCTTATCTGGTTCTCTTTTTGAATCCCAGAGTTATAATCATGTCACTGAATTCTGGCCCATGGAAATGGACAGAAATAATATGTGCAAATCCTAGTTTCTACCAAAGGGAAGTTAAGTGCTCTCCTTCCTTTCTTTTGTCTTGTTACAAGGCAAATATAAGGGCTGGAGGCGGTACAGGCATCTCGGATTAGGAATGGGAAGCAGTATTTTGAGGACAGTGGAGGAAAGAGACAGAAGCAGCCTAGGTTTCTGACACCGTGTCTGCCACTGACACCACACATTTGGATTGTTACACAAGAGAGCAATTAATTTCTATCTTGCTTAACCCACTACTGCTTTTGGATTTCTCCGATAATTGAAGTCAGGCCTAACTTTACTATGAAGGTATGCGAATATCATATTAATGGAAAGGAAACTAAATATAGATTTGAGAGTTGACATGAAAAACTGAATTTACTTCTCCAAGCTGAACTGTCTTACATTCCTTTTAAACTTCCTCAAATGACTCTTACTGTACTGTCTCTATCGCCTCTTCACCCTTGACCTCCCACTTACTAAGTTCACTAATTCCCGTCTCTAAACAAGGGCATCCATTTACCCCTGCCTTTTTGGCACCAAGTGCCCAATCCCTAATTTTCCAACCACATTTCTAAAGTTGGATTATGTCCAACATGCACTGTCTCTATTCCTACGTGCAGTCTTTCACCGCTGCACTCTACCCTGCATAGAACTACGACATTTGCATTCCTACACACCACATTTACCAGCCACAAGCCCTGATTAGAAACCATTAATGGGGGCGCCTGGGTGGCTCAGTAGGTTAAGCATCTGCCTTTGGCTCAGGTCATGATCCCAGGCTCCTGGGATCAAGTCCCGCATCGGGCTCCCTGCTCAGTGGAGAGCCTGCTTCTCCCTCTCCCTCTGCCTGCTGCTCTGCCTTCTTGTGCTCTCTCTCTCTGTCAAATAAATAAATAAAATCTTAAAAAAAAAAAAAAAAGAAAGAGATAAAGAAACTATTAATGGCTCCCCATTGGCTCTATGGCCTTGCTACCACTTTAACTCTCAGAGTTGTAGGTAATAGATAGCAATGCAAATGATTCTTGTTCATAGATATGCAAATAAATGTTGTCTGGGGAGGTTCAATTAATTCCCTTCCTTCACTTCGGAAGAAGCCAGTTTGCATCTATTTTAAATTCACTTCAGCACTCTAGTGCCTACCTATGTGGTTCTTTGCTCCTTTAAGTCAGCTGTAACATTTTACTCATTCTCTCATTAATTAATGAGTTAAATAAACTCAGGTGTTATGACTTCATTTTATATTTGTGTAAGAGTCATGATTTCATAATTTTACTTTTTTGGAAAAATATTCTTTTAACAAACCTTTTTGTTCCTTACTATCTTCAGAGTTTGATTACAGCCCCAACATGGGATGCCTTCTCTGGCTCTTTCTGCCTGACACTACTGATTCTTTGCATTTCAGAGATGAATCTAATTTCCTCCATCATGTCCTCAAACTACAAAATCCATGGTTTTCCTAGAACCTAGACCATGATGACGTCTTATTTTACAACTTTTTTTCTTTGTAAGAGCTCCTACAAAACACGTTGTTTTTCATTCATGTGGCACAGTGTATTTTTATCTTACATCATTAATTTATTTACATGTAACGTCTCTCCTCAAAGTACAGGTTCCTTGAGAGAACTGATCACAGTTTTTCCTTTTCTCCTCTTCAGTGTCAACACAGTGCCAGTAAATATCCACTGCTATGTCTCATCCATGGCCCATCAACTGGGGCTATCAATCTAGATTTTTTTCAGATAATTACTTAGCTTTATTTGGGGAATCAACCTGCCATATTTTGGCAGAAAGCTGGTTCCTTCCTAAAAAATTCACATTAAACTTTAATGAAAATCATAAGAGCTTTCATGAAACATCAAGTAAAGTACAATACTAATTAGAAAGGCTAGGGAAAAGAAATAAATTGATGTGCTTCTGGGGAATTTTTTTCCCTCAACTATTGAACTGGTTCTGTGTATACCTATATTCATAAGAACAGTCTTACGTGAGGATCATATATGCACAGTTGGACCTTCATTCTTTCCTTCTACAAATGTTTACTGATTGTCCAATATATATCAGGAGTTTTTGACAGGCTCTGGGATGCATTTGCAAGTAAAATGTAATTTCTAATCCAAGAAGCTTACCTGCTAGTGAAGAAGGAGAGGGAAAAGTTGAGGAAGAGGGGGAGAAATAGACACACGATTGTGACCTAAGCATTTGGATCACTGGTGACAAGCCGTATCAAGGTGCTCATTATGATGAAAAGACCATTTTATTTTCATGTATTGTAACTATTGAAACTTTCACATCTCCTAACGAAACAATGAAATTTCAAACTTTTGCAGATTTGTATCACCATAACATATACCCTACATTCAACACTTTTTATGTTAATACCAACCCAACCAAATGTAGACCACCAACATTTTCTAGTTTAAGTGCTGAGTTAGTGAGAGAATAATAAATGATCTCGAGATTACTTTCAGCATATTTGATTTTATGAACTATAAAACACTTTACCAGTTGAATAGTCTACCAAGTGTATTAATCTGCTGCTTATAATGTCATATGAAGTCAAAGAACTTCATAATATTTGAGCATTAACATTATTACCAAGCATTTTCATTTTTATGGTTTTACTTATGATAATTATTTCAAATTAAAACCATCTTGAGAAAACTGCCACTGCAAAAAATCTCATCCATTTAATCAATTTTATTTTTCTCATGATGACTTTTTATTTTTACCTTTACTCCTAAAGGAACCCTTAGAATAAGGCACTTAAGATCATACTCCATAGTACTTTTAGTAAAGAGATTATGTAAATACAAAAGACTAAGAAATGCTAATAAAAGTTATAGGCTTTTGGTTGTTGTTGTATAATTTTCAGTTTTGCATGGCATACTGGCATAATTAAAATGATTAAATAAGAAATAATAAGCAATCACATAATGATAACCTAACATTTGTCTGGCCCTAAATATTTTCACATGTATTCTGTCTCTTAATTCTCACAACAACCTGACAAAGTTTAATTATTATCATTTTTACAGGTGAAGGAATCAAGAAACAAGTGATTTGCTGAATGTTGTATAAGTGGCATTTTGTATGCTGAACCCAAGTCCACAGACTCAAAATTTCTGTTTTTGTTCATACCTTTAAAAAGAGCATTTAATTCACAAGCCAAATCCTGTTGGCAAGACACTTCCTAAGGGTAAGTAAAATATACGTAGAAGAACACTAAACATTTTATTCACCTACAATGTCATCATACTGAAACTGAGAAGGTCAGTGTAATTTCCAAATGGCCCAGTTAAATCTAAGGAATAGATTATTTACCCATGAGGGTCTGGACACTGTCAATCAAAATCACTTGCTTACACAGGACTAAATGTGCTCCATTAGCATCTTTCCATTTCTCACACTCACAAAATAAATATTTTATTCTTTATTGGCCACATTGTTTAAAGATTTATTTTTTTCCTGTTCATTAAAAACATATAAAGAAAAAATAAAAATCACCACTAGTCCCAAGCCACTTTTAATATTTTGTGTGCTTGCTTTCTGAAAGTCTTTTTTAACACAAAATATTCAATATTTGCAACATACTCTCCATATGCCTGTATATTCTACTCCCCCCTCCCCTATATAACAGCATGGCAATATTTACTTTTGAAAAATATGACTTTTTATGGCTGAATAATCTTTCGTTGTAAGGTGGTACCATAATTTATTTTACCATTCTTCCAATTCACATGGGTTTTTATTACAAAAAGGTTTATTTATAAAAGGAATATAACATTTTATAAAACTTGAAAAAATAGAGAAAGGAATGAAATCACAGTCCTAACTCTCATTAACAAGTCACTTTTATGAGTTTTTCTCAGTCTCTTCTATTCTTTATTCATATGTCTATCATTACATGTTATCACTGAAGTACACATGATTTTATTTCTTTTTTCAGTTTGTTTTCTATTATAAGCCTTTTCCGTAACCACAGTGGTATGCTGGGTGGAAAAGTATACACTTTATCCAACCATTCAGTACTATATTGTCAAACAATAAGTTGTCTCCCCTTTCTTCCTAAAATCATTTAAAATAACTCATTTCACAATAAATATTGCAAGCATGTAGTCTTTACGTTCACGCACCTTATTCCCTAATGCTAGATTCCTGCAAGTAAGATTATTGAGAAAAAGGCTGACCAGCTTTTAACATTATTTGAGTACTGGTGAAAACCATGTACAAAAGGTATTAAGGTTGAATTTCTGAACTTCATATAAACAGCACCCCAATCTCAGCTTCTGATCAACCAGTCCTTTTAGCGATTGGGAAATACAGACACAAATATATAGGATATTGATTACATTTAAACTAATTACATTTTTCATAGATTAGTACATCTTGGTATCATCAGTCTTGAGAGAGCAGTGACCACTTAAATAGGCACATTTTTGTTTTTTCTTTTTTCACTTTAAAAATCTGTATCCACATACCTTTCAGGTATAGTTTAGCTTATTCTCCCCTTTGAATCCTTTGAATCTAGAAATGCCTTCTCGAACTGCTTCTTTTGGGGAGTGCTCTGAAATCCACCTCAGGACACAGCAGTAATTCTGACAGAAGGAGAAAGAAAATGCCCCAACTTACCGTTTCTAATGCATTTAGACGGTCCTGCAAATAAAGCATAATGCAGAATTATAAAAACAAAGCTATTAAAATCATTTCAAGTTCACTTAATTTTCAGATTTTCTACTTATCCTCTATTAGTAATAATGTTTTAAAAATCTCAAAAAATGAAAACTCCTACTCAGGATGATTTCTACAATAGAAGGAGTCATGAAAGAATCACTGTACTCCTCATCTCAGCTAGTGTTCGGACCGCAAGGTTTAATTTAACAGTAAATATCATAAACTCATATACAGTGACTAAATGGGATAAACCTTACGACTTTTGCATTGGTAAAATTATTTATCTACTTAAGGATTTATAAGTATTACATACATTTGAATATATGAGCAACTAGATGATAGTAGTGATATAAAAAAGGACGTTGGTACACATACCTGCACTCAGGTACACAGTATAAAGTGTGACTTGGAAAGTAAAGTTCATACATAACTTCATCAATTCAAATTAAGAAGTAATTTGTTAACTGAAACAAGGCAGGAAAAATAAATAAGAAAGATGTCACATGCAGGCAATCTTGAACCCAGATGGGCCTTCTCCATCTATAGTATCTTCGAAAGTTCTACAGACAATATTGCTACAAAGTTAAATGATTAGGTCAATGGTTGCATTCGCAAAGCGACAGCTGTATTCTCAACTCTTTTCAGAGCTGACAGCTATGTACAGGAAGTCTTTACCAATTAAAAGAGGCTGAATATGAGAGAAGAGAGTCTGAAGATTTAAGAAAATAGCCATCAAAAAACCCGAAATCTTGACATTTGCAACGATGTGGATGGAACCAGAGGGTATTATGCTGAGCGAAATAAGTCAATCAGAGAAAGACATGTATCATATGATCTCGCTGATATGAGGAATTCTTAATCTCAGGAAACAAACAGAGTTGCTGGAGTGGTGGGGGGTGGGAAGGATTGGGTGACTGGGTGATAGACATTGGGGAGGGTATGTGCTATGGTGAGCGCTGTGAATTGTGTAAGACTGATGAGTCACAGACCTGTACCTCTGAAACAAATAATACATTATATGTTAAAAAAAAAAAAAAAAGAGAGTAGGAAGGGAAAAATGAAGGGGGGGGAAGTCGGACGGGGAGATGAACCATGAGAGACTATGGACTCTGAGACACAAACTGAGCGTTCTAGAGGGGAGGGGGGTGGGGGGATGGGCTAGCCTGGTGATGGGTATTAAAGAGGGCACGTATTGAATGGAGCACTGGGTGTTATACGCAAACAATGAATCATGGAACACTACATCAAAAACCAATGATGTAATGTATGGTGATTAACATAACATAATAAAATAAAATTAAAAAAAACTTACACTAAAAATAAGAATTTTTCCCTTGATATTAAGACAACTCCTTTAAGTAAGCTATATTTTGGATTTTTCCAGTATTCTAAAAGGACAAAATATCTGATTTATATATTCTGCCTTCTGGAATATTCCAGCATCTTGAAATAAAAAATATCAATAAGAAAAAAGAAAATAGCCATCTTTTTGGGGAAGATCAAGGCCACTTTTCCTTCTTTTCTCTCATTTTAAGCAATGGGAGATGTGTGACATCTGGATTTCCTTTTCGTTTAATCAAATTAACTTTGCCTAAGAGGCAAAGTGGGGAACTGGTACAAAGAGCCACTCAGCTAAGATCTCTCAGTAAACCTACAGGGACCCAAGTGGACACGGACACTTAGGAGCAGCAAGAACTTGGCGCTCATGGCCGCACTCCCAGCCGCACTCCCAGCATTACCTAACACATACAGGCCTTGCCTTTAAGGACTTCCACAATCCGACCTCCCACCCTCAGACTGGGAAACTGAGTTGAACATTTCTACCCTTTAAACATTTGGTTATGTGGGTACAAGTGAAATGAATATATTATGCAAAATCAGCCCAAAGCAGACTGTTCTTAGCAATATAATCTGTTTAATTGCATTTTGTTGGCATACTTGAGAGAACTTCACCCTCGCCCCCATAATTTTCATGAAATAACTGCTGTTTTGTTGGTGACTTGTGTACTGTCACTTTTGAATGCTTCATAATAAATGCATATAATAATGCCTCAAGGGGGCTTTGATCTGTTGTTACCAGGCATCTTATTCACAGTCCATCTGGGACAAAACCATTCAGCAATGCTTTATCATCCTTTGCAGATTGAACAGAAGAACCTCATTAGATACCTTACAAAGACAGAAACAGCCTTTGGGCAGTATCACATTTATATGAACCATCTTGGAAGGCTCAAAATATTTACAGCCACTATTTGGGTCTTAAGTTTTCCCCATACCATATATTTATGAGCTCATATTATTTAGGATTAGCACATTTTAAAAGCAAACATATAACTAGTTTTAAAAACACACATAAAGCTAGTTTGAAATCAGAGTTTTCATATGATGTCAAAACAATAGAATTTAATTAAATTTTGTCTGTCTTAATTCAGATCTCCGTGTCTGGCAAAGATAAACTGATATAATTTATGTATTAGTGTCTTCATTTTACTTGAATATTTGTTACAAGGCCTTAAAAGAAATACGCAGTCATGGACTGCATGTTCATATCCTCACAAAATTCATGGATTGAAACCCTAATCTCCAGCGCCATGGCATTTAGAGATGGGACCTCTGGTAGGTAATTAATTAGGTCATGAGGACAGAGCCTTGTCTTCATGGTGGGATCAGTGTCCTATAAGAAGAGACAGAATGTTTGCTTCTCCTTTTGCTCTCTGCCCTGTAAGGACATAATGAGAAAAGATGGCCATCTACAAGCCAGGAAGAAGGCCCTCACCAAGGACTGAATCTGCCAGCTCCTTGATCTTGGGACTCCTCAGCCTCCACAACTGCGAGAAATGTTTGTGGTTGTTTAAGCCACCCAGTCTGCGGTAATTTGGTGTAGCAATCCAAGCTAAGACATGTGCCTAGTCTTCAAGACTATGAACACAAATGGTCCAAGAAAACTCCATTTTGTTAAAATACAAAGATGAGGGGCGCCTGGGTGGCTCAGTCGTTGAGCATCTGCCTTCGGCTCAGGTCATGGTCCTGGGGTCCTGGGATCGAGCCCCACATCAGGCTCCCTATTCCTCGGGAAGCCTGCTTCTCCCTCTCCTACTCCCCCTGCTTGTGTTCCCTCTCTCGCTGTGTCTCTCTCTCTGTCAAATAAATAAATAAAATCTTTAAAAAAAAAAAAAGAGCCTGTGTTCAGAGAGGCTGCTCAGGGAGTGCTTCTTCGAGGAGGTGACAAAGAACTGAGACCTGAAGAATGAGGAGCCAGTTAACTAGATGAAGGAAGGGAGGAGGAGCCATCTAGGCATAGGGAAAGGCTTGTGTGAACCATACACAAGGGGACTAAGACAGCGACATGAGAGCCAGAAAGAAGATGGCCAACAATTCCCACCCCAGAATCCAGGCTGACTTGGGCCCCCCAGGTCTCCCCCTGGGGGAGGAGTCCTCATCCGCAGCTCACACCTATGGTGGGGGAAAAGCCCGGCCATGGTGGTGCACACACATTTCTGGCAAGGCCTGGGACTGCTAAACCCTGATGGGCTCACCCTCATAAAGCTATAAAACTCCAAAGGCCTCTTTCCAACAACCTTCAGAGGTTCCTACACCCAAAAATAAAGGAAGAGAGGAAATAAGGCAGGGGGGCCTTGCTTACGGTGGCACCATTTCCTGTCAGGATGGACTTCCCCAGCCTTTGGGAGGTGGCAAAATGCCCACACGGCAAATGAGCCTCAGCTTTGTTCCTATGCCTCAGAGCCCCGAATAAGAGAGCTCAGGTACGGGGCGCCTGGGTGGCTCAGTTGTTAAGCGTCTGCCTTCGGCTCAGGTCATGATCCCAGGGTCCTGGGATCGAGCCCCGCTTCGGGCCCCCTGCTTGGTGGGAAGCCTGCTTCTCCCTCTCCCTCTGCCTGCCGCTCCTCCTGCTTGTGTTCTCTCTCTGTCAAATGAATAAATAAAATCTCTTTTTAAAAAAAATAAAGGGGCGCCTGGGTGGCTCAGTCATTAAGCGTCTGCCTTCAGCTCAGGTCATGATCCCAGGGTCCTGGGATTGCGCCCCGCATCGGGCTCCCTGCTCGGCGGGAGGCCTGCTTCTCCCTCTCTCACTCCCCCTGCTTGTGTTCCCTCTCTCGCTGTGTCTCTCTCTGTCAAATAAATAAATAAAATCTTTAAAAAATAATAAAAAATAAAATACAAAGATGAAGAAATGATTTACTTCACTGCAATTTACTTACGTCTTTTCATCTATAACCTACTTCATTCCAAATTGGTAGGGAGATAGCTTTCTATGAAAAATGTAATATGTTACCAAAATGAGAAAATTAGGGCAACAGGCAATTCAGTTCATTAACCTGAATTTCAATAATTCCATTTGCCAATCAGTGGCAGCTAACAGAAGACCAGCCATCACTGCCAATTAGTGAGTTTCGTCTAAACTGCGCAGTTGTTTGGTCTTAATTGTAGGCTATCAGTAAAAAGAAAGTACTCCTGACCTTTATGGACTTACTAACTTGCTTTTAAAAGTTAAGAAATGCTTTGAAAATGTAAATGGCTGACTTCTTTTTTGGCAGGTAAGGTTAGCTGTTATAATTCTTTATATATAAAAGAATTAGGCTACTGCAAATATTTATTCTCAAACAAGCTATGTCCACACTTCCTTTCTGGTTCTTCTTACTAAAATAGAGGTAACTTAAGCCAATACTGCGGCACTGACACAGTCTGTGAAACAAACGCCAGGATATGTCCTAGAATGAACACATAAGTACAGCACAGTAAATTCTATGCTTCTTCACCTCTCCCCCTCTCACCAGAAGTGCACAGTGTTTTGTGGTTGTTGTTGTTTAATTTCCAATTCTCATTTCAACAGATTTTATCTTCAAGATCAACCTGAAGGTTCAACACTCGCCCCCTCCCCCACCATGAACACACACTCCCACACTTGGATCCTGAAAAGTATTGGGACATTCAAAGGGGGGTTAGAAGGTAGGAGGAGCCAAGAGGGAAGACAGCCTCCAGAAAGAGCCAAGATGACTTAAGAGTCCTGCTACTTCAGGTGGTTTTAATACATCAGTCGTTCTTATTTTTGTAGTCAGGGACTTTGAGAGCCTGATGAAACTTGATCTTCTCCCCAGGAAAATGTACATTATCCACAACATACACACAATTCTGCATACACTTTTAGGATAACTGTAGACTCTCAGAGGCCTTCAAGTCCTTTTATCCCCAACAAAAACACTTGAAATAAGATGTAAGAATATTATACAAATAAATCATTTTATTAAGTTAAATCTATTGATTTCTCCTATGTGAAGTATTTCTGGATAAATAACACCAATAACAAAGAAAGAAATAATTGGGAGAGGAAGGTTAAACAAAATCAAAGGAAAAATACCTTCAATGTTTTGAAGAAAAAAGTTCTTGGGGGGAAAAATCCCATTTTGTTGCTATTGATTTTTTGTGACTATTCTTTCATTCTATCCAAGGAGCGGAACAGCCTAAGAAACACCTAAAATGGCAACAATTATTGAATGTTTACTCTAAAAGATTATACATGTAGTCACTGTATAGCCATTGAGTTCCAAAGTAAAGTGCTAGTTATTCTTTATAATGTGAGTATTACACACAATTTCTGAGTGTCAATAATGCTGCTAGATAACACACTGTAATTCATTTGGGCTTGGCAGATCAAGAAGGGAGAGGCATATTTTAGAAGAGGTCTATAGCATACATACTATGAAAAGATGTATATTAACTTTTTATGAGCAGGTTAGTAACCTGCCTTGAGCTGTATATATGCCTTTTCTGCCTGATCACAGTGGTTTGTACATTGGAATTTATGACTGAACCAAGGCAAATTCATTAGCATCACTGGAGATGGGCAAATATTTGTAGGCTAAGTTAGAAAATGAGTGCTATATGGAGCGCTGGTATCTGAATCCCTGATCATTAACAGTTTGATTTAGCAAAGCCAATCAATCATCCACCCCACCTAAGAGATGAATTAGAGGCCTTGTAAGTCTAAATAATCAGAGTTTTGCCTCTGGTAGTATAGCTGAACAGGCCTAGTGACTTTATCACAATTATACAGCATTTTCCAAGAATGCTTTACATATATCCATTGACAAATGAAAATGCACAATACTGGTATAAGAATATACCAAGAGTCTCTCACTCTTCCAAGTCTAAGGATCTTTAAGAGTATAGAATAATTCTGAAAACTTCTCTGGAACTGAAAGACCATGATGGACAAATAATTTTCAAAAACAAAGACCGACAATGGGGACTCCCTCCATTACTGTTCCAAAAGCAAAAAGCCTCTCTTCTGAAGGAAAAATCCACTTGGCTTCAACCAGAGATACCACTGTGTGGCATTTTTCCTGTCAATGTTAATTCTGTTTAATCAATACTCACACTTTACTTGCTACTTCCTATATAAGTGATAAAAAATGAAAAAAAAAGTGCATTTTTTTCTTTATGAATTTCTACAAGGCAATCCATTACATTTAAGACATTGTCCACCATTTTTTAATAATTAAAAGAGCTCAAAACAATTCCAAGTATATTCTTTTCTAAAATTCAAGATATTAAAATGAAAGAAAAAGAAAAGGCCTTATGAGTCATCACAAAAAAATGAATGTTCTACATAGTGATTTAAAATAAATTAAAGAGCTAAAAACTGCAAACCACCTTAATGTTGCAACACCAAAAAAAGTTTTAAAATACAGCCTAAGTTGACTTTGAATATACCAAACGAATCAATGATCTATAAGTAAAATCCCACGTTATCTACTAAAAGTCAGACAAAATTACTCTACACTTAAGACAAACCAGAACGAGTGGCCTGAGAGCAGCATGCAGTGGTTTCCCAACCAGGCAGATTTCATTTCACCCATCACTGGATACCTGTAGTCTGCCCTTGTTCATTCATTTCACTAGCTGCTTAAGCGTCCTTTTCAAATAATCTACTACAGGATCCAAAGTAACAACACAGAAATACTGAAAAGAAAACCACAGCAAGGCATCAAGATTTTGTCTAGAAAGTTGTCAATAATAAAACTGAATGGGAAAAAGTCAGAGAGAAAGACAAACCACGCAAGACTCTGGACTCTGAAGGTCACAGAAGGGAGAAGAGTGGGGGAATGGGGTGACTGGGTGATGGGTATTAAGGAGGGCACGTGTTGGGATGAGCACTGGGTGTTATATGCAACTGATGAATCGTTGAACACTACAACAAAAACTTGCGATGTACTATATGCTGGCTAAATGAACATAATAATAATAAAAAAAGAAAGATGTCAATAACCCTCCTCAGTCCAACTCCCCAACACTGACTTATCAAGAAAAGCCAGTTTAAAGGGATGTATCATTTCCTAGCCTAGAGGGAGTGCCCAGTAACACTCCTTGTTACCTGCTTTTCACTCAGGGTGTGGCAAATCCCTGATAGAATCAGAATCAGAAGGAGGATTTAGGAACAGAGTCAAAATATGTGCTCCACATTTCTGCTCTGTTCTTTCATCCACTACCACTGTCGTGACCAGTCTGACACAGCCAGTTGTTCTTCTAGGGTTCCTCAGCAACACTGCCAGGTGGCATTGTGGGTTTGCAGTCTTGTTGTGAGGCGATCACCAACCCTTCTACTCTGACACTGTCTGTGTCGCTGTTTGACCTTGTTCAGAGAAGTCTGAGATTACACTTGCCCGCAAGTGGGATGTGTGCATGTGTTTGTTGGGGCGGGGGTGGGGCAGGAAAGATGGAGAGAAAGATAGGGAAATGGGGCTCTGTTGGTTTGTTTCAACAGATTTCACACTGGAAAATGCAGCCTGAGAGGCAAAGTAGGATTTTGCTTGAAATCCCTGTAAACACTTCCAGTCAACTGTGTAAAACTAAAACCAAAAAAATCTCACATTTACCCTTTATGTTTCAGACAACGGAGCAAAGCAATGAGGTTTCTTTTTTTCCCCCACTTTAAAATGAAGAATCATATTAAGATTCTTCTTTAATGCACAATGTAATTGGTGCATACGTGCCTAAACTAGGATAAGACTACAAACCAAATGAACCTTCTTTCTCCCAGAACTGCTCAATTCCACGGTAAGCCTGCTGTTAACAGGTAACAAGAATTCAGTGAATGACATCTGGACTGGGGAACAACTAAAAATTATTTGCAGATACCATAAAGGCTATGATGGTGGTTAGGGGCAATGCAAATGACAACCAATGTAATTGCAAAGACTGACCGTCCCCAAAAACAGATGCAGGCACAGTAGCTGAATAGTTGGGGGAGAAAGCCAACGACCCAGGAACCAACATACTATATATTTTCCCCCCAAGGATTTACATTTTAAAAAATAAAGTACATGTCTCCAGTGGTGAGGTTAGTCATATATCAGCTGAATATGCTCTGAACTCATATGCAAATTACAGTGCAGCAGCGATTATGGCATAATTTATGAGTAGGTTTGTGTCATGGAGAATTTGTGGAAAACAACTGGATATGTTTTTTTCAGGGTGTGTATCTGACTGTCACCAAACACAGCTGGCCTAATGAGACGCCCTGAGGCTGACATCTCCTCTGAATCCCTCAAGGACACACATCTTCCAGACTTGTAGGTGAAGAATATTCACAGAGAAACCCACATAACCATGGAACACACTGTCCCAAGCTCCTTCTTCCTGAATATTTGAATCGCAGCACTTTGTTGTTGACTATCATGCATGTCACAAGCTGAGTCATTAAATGGTACGAGCAAACAGTCCACTTTGGGAGTTAAACTGCTTACCTTTGAGCAATTCCAATAATGCACATCTCAATTTACATGCAGTTATTTACTCAAGTGTTTTCAGGAATTAAAGCACAAAGAACAAGTTTTAGAGGCTCTCTCACCCTCATTCCCACATTCCTTCTGTGGGTTTCTGTATAGTTACCTCTCACTGTTCTATACTAAAGAGACAGACTGTTGATAAGGATAATCAGACATAAGCAGATGGTTTTAAAATAATATATTTGGCTGACACGAGTTAGGTTTTTCTTGTCTCCTCTTCAGTTTGACTAAGATGAAAACTATTATTAATCTCCATTTCCTGATATAAAAGCATAGGTGGGAAGGGAAAGATAGTTAAAGGATTTAAAACTAACCTCAGATTATCAGTACTCTGACCATCAGTGGTGCACTATTCTTAGTATCCAAGAAAACCAAGGAAAAGTCCCAACAACTTAGTTTCTACTTATACTGCTGAGATACATACCTGAAGGCTGACTTATCCTATATGTCCTAAAATTAAGCAGACGTGGTTTGACTATTTAGTTCCAAATATCCTAAATTTTCCTACCCATGAAATACTTAACTGATTTTTCTTCAAATTGAGCTTCATTCTGATTTTTCATTGCAGTCTGACTAGCATCTTCCCAAGGTGGAATTTTAAACAGTTGCTTTGGCTGTTTAAGAGAGATGTGAGTAAAGAAAAAAGTTGGAAAGCTCTATTGTCTTAAAATATTTGAAAGCACTATAAATAGTCATAGCTATAAAATAACACTAATAGGACTACAATAATTTCTACTAAATTTTTAATTTCTGCATTTAGAAAATGATATCACACTGTGCTCTTAAAATGTCTTCCCCAAATAATTCCTTACCCAACCTAAAACACACAAATTGTAGGGAAATCATTACTTGAAATTTTAAACATTTTATTCTTCAGGATTATAGAGCTAAAATTCTTCAGGATTATAGAGCTAAAGTATTCTCAAACTGTCTTGCTTTCAAACATCCTTAGAAGTAACTAATCCTAAATTCCAAAGTCTATGATGCAAAGGAATAAATAAGGTGGGAGCTTGCTAATGGATACACCTGGGCAGTTTTAACCAGTCATGAAAGCTACTTTTAACACTCACAACCTTACTTGTGGATAATACAGCACTGATGTAATGTGCTTTTAGGAGTTCAGGAAGGTCTGATTAACTCAAAATTATGCTTTCCTTCCATTTGCAAAATTATTAAAAATTCTACCAATAGAAATGTATTCTTTGCCTCCTCCCACTCCAGTTCATCTTTTCGAAGGCAAACAGTCATGGGATAGAAAACCATTAAACTAGTTCATTCTAAGGCAGGGGGTCAGCAAAGTAGGACACTAAGCCATTCTAACCTGCCACTTGTTTTTATAGGCTCACGAGCTAAAAATGGTTTTTATACTTTTATTTGGCTAAAGAAAAATCAAAGTAAGAAAAATATTTTATGACACATGAAAATTACATGGAATTCAAATTTCAGTTTCCCTAAATAATTTTTATTGGAACACAGCCCACTCATTTCTTTACATATTGTCTATGGCTGCTTTCAGTCTGTAGTGGAAGAGGTGAGTCATTGGGAGATAGCATATAGCCTGTAAAACTGAAAATATTTAGAATCTGGCCCTTTACAAAAAGTTTGGCAACCTTCAGTTCTAAGGTGTTAGCAGCCTATAGGAATTACTTCCTGCCTCACAGACGGAGGTCACTCTACAGCAAAACAACCCCTGTCAGTTTCTGGAAGGAGCCTATAAGGTGAAACACACTGACCAGGGGAAAGAAAAGACAACAGGAACCAGAAAATTTTTACCCAACTTTTAAACTTTAAAATAACATCAGAAAGTTGTATATGCATAAATACATATATCCAGAATATAAATCATTCCTCAGGGTATAAAAGTTTCTTTTTTTTTTTTTGTCCTTTATTCCTTTTATCCATCATTTTTTTCTTTCCTTCCAATGTCTTTCCTCCCTCCCACCTTCCGTCCCTTCCACTCACTTATTCATTTAATTAATTCATCCATTCGTTCACATTTATTAAGGCAGACACTTTGTTGGGCATTGGGTACACAGTTATCAACAAGGAAGATAAGGTCTCTCTGCCTTCATGGAGTTTACATTCCAAAGGAGAAGACACATAAATAAGATACTCAAAAAACCGTGATGGGGGGTGAGGGCAGAGATTTACTTTAGACAGGTTGGTCAGGTTAAGTTCCCACAAAGAGGTGACATTTGAGCTGAAACTCAAAGGATGAAAATGAGCCATCACTGAAAGAGCTAAGGGAAAAGCATTACAGGGAGAGGAAGTAGCAAATGCAAAGGTCCTGGGACAGGGAAAGGGTTTGCTTAATTTCAGGAATAAAAGGGAGAATGGTATGTGTGTTGTGGCTGTTAATAAAAACATCCTTTTAAAATACCAGTATCATAAAACTCAACACTATTTATTAAAAGCTTATTATTTGCTGAAAATATGTTTTCATTTAATGCTCCCCCGAACTCTCAACAGGTGAATATTAATTAATTTCATTCATTTTATAGTCCGAGAAATAGACTCAAAGATATTAAATGTGTTGAATTCCACATTGTGATTGGGTTTAGACTGTAATCCAGGTCCACATGACTCAAAGGAATCTATACTTTCAAAAACAAATTAAAATTCACGTTAAAAAAACTACGTATGGGCACCTGGGTGGCTCAGTCGTTAAGCGTCTGCCTTCGGCTCACGTCATGATCCCAGGGTCCTGGGATCGAGTCCCACATCGGGCTCCCTGCTCTGCGGGAAGCCTGCTTCTCCCTCTCCCACTCCCCCTGCTTGTGTTCCTGCTCTCGCTGTCTCTCTCTCTGTCAAATAAATAAATAAAATCTTCAAAAAAAAAAACTATGTATATATTTATATATTTATCTATACAAACGATACCTTTTTTATTACCACTAGGGCTATACTTTGTGTGTGGTGGAGGTTAGTGTTTACACTGGAAAACTGTTTCAGAGCCTCTTTCTCAAAATTACACATGCCAGAACAGCATTCCAGAAACTTATTTTTAACAGATGTCAGGTGACAGTATGACAAAACACATACTATACCACAATAAAATTTCATGTTCAAATAAAAACCATTATTTGTACACATTCTTATAGTCATTTACCATATAATCAAAGGGATTATGTTTTTGCCATATGCCTTTCTTAAGTAAGTTGCAACTGCTTCTGACTTCTGGGTCTGGCATTAGGCCAGCTAAAGCACATACAGCCAACACCAATGGGGAAATATCAGAAAAAAAGAATAAAGAAAAGCATAGATCCAAACTTAATTAGCTGTGATGCTATACAGCAAACTGGCACCTCTATTGTGCTCATCTCCCAAGTCTTTCAGGTCTGGGCTGTGCAAGTTAGATTCATTACTGAGCTCATAAATGGCCTCTCCCCCCACACCTGCTTTACTGGTGACAAATTTATTAGTTCTTTTCTAACAGTGAAATGAGAACTAGGGATTTCAATTACACTCAGAATGTAGTAAAGGCATGGAATCTCTTGTAGGTAATATTTTTCTATTCCATTTTATGAGCAAATATAGAAGTACTGTTAATAGACATTAAATGTTATTTATTAGCATGTTAATAAGCCTTCACACTTTTAAAAGTAAACATTAAACTTCTAACAAATTACATTTAGAAGAGTAAGTGTAATGCAGATACTCTGGAAAGGGAATGCACTTCAGAATCAGTTTTTAAAAACCCATATCATCACTGATTATGCTAAAAAGACAAAGATAGGAGGAGATGCTTATTACTCATTCTTTCAGCTCATTTTAGTTTTATCACTTTTTGCACAATTTAAAATTTATGCAAACATTTTCAATGTTGCCTTTAATTTTTGCCAGAATATTTTGAACCTGGTTTAAAACTGAAATTGAAGAAGTCCAAGGAGGGCTTTAATAACAACTTTCTTTGGTCTGTTTATTTAAAACATGATGAATAAGCAAAAAGAAAAGGTGCAGAATGGAAAAAGAAAAATGAGCCCTTCTCCTTCCTAGAAGTGTTTGAGATTACTGGATTGTTCATAATCTTGCACCAGGAATTAAAAATCTTCCCCACATGCCAATAGCCAACCCACACACACACACCCAGTTGCCATGTATATGTAAGCTTAGAGCTAAGGGTTTGTAAATAGTTTCAAAGTTAATAGAAAAGCAGTGAGGACTTTCATTAATATTAGTCCCCAGTATTGCCTGATTTACTTAAGGCACTTTCAACAAATCATTTAGCTTCTTATAGTATTTTTCTTGAGAAGGTAAGGGGTGAGTTAGTATTTTACCACACTAAATAAATACTTAAATATTTGTAAATATGTTTTCTAATGAATCATTCTCCTAGAAAAAAAAAAGAGATGGAAGAAATTCAAAGAAGGATAGGCCAAGAACCCAAAGAAACAAAAAAAGTGTGGAAATTCTTTTCTCCATAAGCTCTGGAGACATTTAAGTACAAGAGTACAAAAGACAGGCAGATTCTAGTATAAGTACTAGCCCGGCCAACTGCTGGCTGAATGAGCTATGAGCCTCCTTTATCTGTAAAATGAAAATAACAGTATTTATCTTGTAGAAATGGTGCAAGGCATCGATGACATAGATTTATAAGTGTTGGCACAGTGTTTGACACAAAAGCATTGTCTGGCACCATTAAGATCATTCGTTAACCAGCCAGGGGGTGATATTTTCTTCTCCTTTGATGCACAGACCATCACCCTTTGGGATCGATTTAGCAGAATCTTGACAGGAACTAACAAGTACTAAATCAGTACTTGTTAATAATTGAAACATAGTATTAGTGAGTTTTTAAGATCCCAGTCTGGGGAAATCCTCTCCAGTGATTCTTTACCTTCTGGAAAATCTTCCAGAGATGGGGGTGGGAGATGGCCCTAGAAGGGAGAACTACAGTTTCTTTCAATGATCTTCTATTAATACTTGGAACCTCAGAGATTTGTTTTTACAGTCAATGTAAACGGTCTCAACCAGAAATGTATTATTGTTGAGCATCTGTTCCCAAATCTGTTGCACACTATAGTCATCCCTTAGAATATTGTTTTCACAACTGTCATTGTCATCAGGAGACAGAAGACAAGATGGAGAATGGGGCGTTATGGCCTGAATGTTTGTGTCCCTCCCTCCAAAATTAACAGGTTGAAATCCTAATCCCCAAAGTGATATCAGGAGATGGGGCCTTTAGCAGATGATTGGTCACAAGGACAGATCCATCATGAATGAGATGGTGCCCTTAGAAAAGATTTAAGAGTGTTCTATCTGCTTTTCTCCTGCTATGACCCAGGAAGTAGGCCAGATACTGAAGGCAGGTACTGAATCTGCCTTGATCTTAGACTTTCCTAGTCTCTAGAACTGGGAGAAATAAATGTTTCTAGTTTAAGCCACTCAGTAAACGGTAGTTTTGTTATAGCAGCCCAAACGGAAGACACACGATTATTTATCCAAAGTCTGAGGCCTATCCAGGGGTGTGGCTGAGAAGAATAAGCAGATACACATAAAGGAAAGTGGTCTTGAAGTGATTACTTAAATTGCGACCCAAATGAAATTGCCCCGAACTGTAAGGTGACAGTTGACTCTGGAAATGTGGCAAAAACTCCCAGACAAGCTCAACACT